GCTGGGACGGCAAAGAGGGCATTAGGATTGTCAGCGTGACATCTCTGTGTCAGGGTGGTGGAGCCCACCCCAAAGATACTTGTTCCGATGAAGCTCCCCAGGCACCCGCTAACAGTAAGTTTTCTAGGCCTTACAGGCCTTTCTTACTGGTTGTGTCCTACAAGGGTTGTACTCTGTCCAGCAAGAGAGTATGTCCACTGGATTTCTGACTTTCTGGAAGTGTGGAGCCTTTTTCCAGTTTAAGCTACTCTAAGAACTCTCCTTTATCTTTTGGGAAAAGTCATGGTGATATTACCTTCCCCTTCTCCCTCTTCCACCCTGGGTTACGTGTTGGTTGTCTCCCACATGTAGCATGTGGTAGTGGGGAGGCTGCTTGCAGAGCAGAATGAGGGTATGACAAGTCAGGCCAGTTTTCTTAGCCTGACACTGCTTGGGTTACAAGGCAACAGGTGTCTAGGACACGGGGTGGGCCACATGTGGCCCTCTAGGTCTTCAAGTGCGGCCCTTTGACTGAATCCAAACTTCCCATGTGGCCTCAAGGCCACAGGTTCCCCACCCCTGGTCTAGGAGAAGACAGTGGCCTATTGGCGCTGGGCATCTGCTGAGCAGGCATCCTCTTCTCTGATCTAGGCCTCAGGCAAGAGCTGTTCTCAGGTAACATTGTAGAACGTTGGTTTGGAGTCAGGACCTAGGCTTGAGGCCTGGCTCTGCTGATTTCTACCTCAGGCAAATCCCTTTCCCTCTTTGACCTTTAGTTTCCTCATCTGTAAAATGAGTGGAGTGGACCAGGTGATCCCTAAGGCACCTCTTCAGTTTTAGAGCTTGTGGTCCTACCCTGAGCTCCCTGTAACCTGATTTCTCGGGGTAGGTGGGAGGCAGGGAAGAACTTGATTGTTGTGATGTTCTTTCTGTATCATTCAGTACCAGTGACATGCAGTGTATAAAACAGGCCTTTTTTCTCCTCAGTCTTAACCTTCCAGCTTCATCATAGATCAGTGTGCAGGACACCAGGGAGCTTTCTTGTCTCATTACCTCCCCCAACTCTGCCACTTACCAAGAATTTCTAGGAAGTGTTCTCACTGTTCCTAGCTATCTAGGAAGAATGGCTCCTGTTTTTTTCTGGGGAAAGAAAACACTCATTTATTCTTTCACTTGGTCTGCCTGTTAGTGCTGGGAGACCAGGCTATAGAAGTAGGAAGCATCGCATTAGACTCTGGAGAAAGGGCTCCACCTGCCTTTTGCAGCTGCTCATCTTGTTTTACTTATAGGTGATATTGGGATTGGGCTGGGGGCTTCTGGTCCAGTGAGCCAGCCTGCTTCTCCATATCCACTGAGTCGGGGTCGGAACTCTGCCCTCCTTGTCAAGAAGAAGATTGTGGACAGAGCCATCTTCTTCCACAAGAAAGTAAGGAACCAGGGCATCCCGGGGTTGGTGTTGGTGGGGGGGAGGGCAGGAAGCAGGAAAAGTGGTCCGTGACTTCTGTCTCACTTCTACTTGCCTGGAGTCAAAGTAGTGGAATTAGTTATGTAACCTTGCACAAAGCATTTTGTTACTCTGGCTTCAGTTGCCTTGCCTGTAAAATGGGAGTAGAGAGGGTAGTGGAGATAGACTCGTCAGAAGGTGGTCCCAGGTTTAACTAAATTTATATGAGAAAGGGCAGTAGTGCCCTGAATACAGGCCTCAAACTTAGGCTGGCCTCCAAGGCTGCCCCCATCTGGGAGGTGGCAGTCCTTTCTGTTTCGTTGAGGGAGGCATGGGCCATTATAGCCAGGGGTTGTACTCTGTCCCCCATTCCTGTCTTTTCTCCATCTTGGAGGGGGAAGGGACTCGAGGATGTTGCTGCTTGCTTCCTCCACAGGCCACTGTCCAGAATGCCCAGAGGGGCACTAGCTCCTCTTCTCTCCCTCTCCTGGTAGGAGTGCAGTCTCCTGGGACCAACGCTGGCCTTCCAGACCTTAAGGACTCCAGCCCACATGTGAGTAGATAAAGGAATGGAAAGATGAGGTAGGTGGAAGCAGCATGCATGGATGAATCTCTTGAGAATGTTGGAAAGAGATGGTTAGGGAGAGCAGTTTTTGAATTAGGGACACGTGAGCATGTCAGGCAGGGGGAAAGCTGCTGTGGAGAGGTGATTGAAAGAATTGGGAGGTGCTAGCTTGGAGAAGGTTTACTTAGAGGTGATGATGACTACGTTCAGGTGTTTGAGGGCTGTCTTATGGATGAGAGATTTGGTTTGTGCTGCTTGGCCCAAGGAGACAGTTATAGAACCTGTTTGTGCTGCTTGGCCCAAGGAGACAGTTATAGAACCTGAGAATTGGAAAAGGCAGCATCCTTGAAGTCCAACCCGTACATGAAAGGAGTCTCCAAGATAATATAACCAACACTGTCACCCAGCCTCTGCAGGTGTGGGGAATCCACCAATTCCTGAGGCAGTCCATTTCCATGTTTGTTGTTCTTCAGTTTTTCATTGTGTCTGACTCTTTGTGACCCCATTTGGGGTTTTCTTGACCTATTTGTAGAGCTCTAATTGTTAGGAAGTTTTTCCTGAATTTGGAACTTTTTAACTTTTTCCTATTATTCTGGCTTCCACTAAGGCAGTTAAGACATAAGAGGGTATTATACATAGACGGTCTTCTCTCTCATCCATTAAAGCCCTTTTGATTAAATTTTGACACCTGGTGATTTTTCTTAGCAGCCTTTGTAGCTGTGCTATATCTTTGACCAGTAATCTGTCATCTTTACATTTTAAGCCATGGTCCAGAAATCCAAATCCCATTCTTAGATTTCACCTTCTTAGTCATCATTGTTAACTCCCAAATTAGTTTTTTTCTTTTGCATCCCTTGTGTTCAGTTATACACCAGTGAAGAAAACAGAACCAGTGCCCCTGTGGTCTTTAGTTTCTTGCCCTAGACTTTGTAATTATTGGGAAGACTTTTTGGGTTTCTTTCGTGAGGATTATTTATTGGCTTTATTAATCACCAAAAGTGGAGAGAGTCAATCATTTTGAGAAGACTCGGGAAGCTCTTTCTTACGGCTCCCACGCAGGTCCTCATGCAGACAATAGAAAACCTTTCTCTTATTGTTGTCTTAGTGCCCCTTCGCCGGTCACCAAGCACTGCTACTCTGTTCTTTTCCTGATCCTTATGGGACAATCTCTCCTGTAATAGCTTCTGGGGCTCTATGTTATTGTTTATTGGGGGAGACAAGCTGCTTCTTCCTTTCTAGAGCCTTCAACTCCTCTCTCTTCGGGGAGAACGTCAATTCTTTTTTTTGCTCTAATTAATTGCATTGTTGCCTTTTTTCTTCTTTTACCTCCATGTAACGCTTCTACTCTACAACATTCAGACAAGTGTCAAATCTCCCCTTTTCTACACTGTTCTTTTTTTTCCCTCTGAAGCTTCAATTCTGACTAAAGGATAGAAGGTAGGCAGAATGTGATTTGATTTTAGGGGAAAAAACCTTCCTACCCAGTTCTCTCTAAGTGTGTGATGCCTCAAGCAAGAGTGATTAGGTCCCCCTTATTGGAGATTCTTTTTTTTTTTTTTTTTTTTTTTTGGCTTTTTTGGCTTTTTTGGCTAGGCAGTAGGGTTAAGTGACTTGCCCAGGGTCACACAGCAAGTGTCAAGGGTCTGGGATCAGATTTGAACTCATTTCCTCCTGACTCCAAGGCCAGAGCTCTATCCTATGTGCCACCTAGCTGCCCCTGGAGGTCTTAAAAAAGGAGCTTGGATGCTTCCTTGTTGGGTAAATTATAGTGGATATTTGTGTTTTATGTGTGGGTTGAACTAGAAATCCTCAGGAGTTGTACATAACCCAGGTTCTGAGCTGCTGCTGCTGCTCAGTCCCCTTAGGAGTATGGGAGGGGTGGAGAGTGCTGTTCGTTGCTGTTGCCTTCCAGCCTCACACTGTCTTTTCTCCCCATAGGTTCAGGACATGGGCACTCAGACCCGACTGCCTTGGGTCAGTGCCCAGGGCCTGGCTGAGAAGCTGGATGCAATGCAGCGGGCTGTGCAGCAGGTCCTACAGGTGCTCCAAGTGCTGACGGATCAGCAGAGCCGGCTAGAACAGCAGCAGGAGCAGCAGCAGCGCTGGCAACAGCAGGTGTTGGGGACTCTGCAGCAGCTCAGGGGGCCTGACCAGAGTCAGGGTCCTGGGACCAGGGAAACCCAGGACTTAGGGGGCCCTGGGACTCTTGAAGGACCTAATTTCCACCAGTTTAAGATGGAACTTCTTTGACCCTCTGACATAGGTGTGACATGCCTGAAGGGGCAGGACCTTCAGCTTTGGGAAATAAGGGGTCTGTGTCTTGGTACCATCTCAGCTGAAGACAGCCCTCATAAGATGGAAATTGTGGGCAGGAAACACTGCCCCTCTCCCTCTGACCCTTATGTCTATGTGCAACACACAGGCAGTAGCCCTCATCCTTTGCCTGTGTTAGCGCCTTCTCCCGACAAGCCCTGCCCAGCTTCAGGGCCTGTGGAGGGTGCTGGAGGTGGGGTGGGGGTGGTTTATTTACATACAAGCCTGGGATTTGGGAGCAGGTGACCAAGGGAGGCTTTATGACTTTTTCCTTTCCTGGGGCTTAGACTCTGAGAGAGTAAGTTTCTTTACCTTCATATGCTATTATAGGTGAGTGAAGGGCTCAGGTGTTTCTTTAAGATAGGGGATGAGTCATGGATTTCTGGTGACTACTAAGCATGTTCCAAGGCTTAGAGCACAGTGTGGGGCCAGGATTAAGGACATCGTTGGTGGTGGGGGGGAACAGTAGCTCTATGATACTAAGACCAGTGAGGATCATTGCAAGGGAATAGATGTTCTCATAATGGAGATGCTTTTCCATCAGGCATTCACAGTTTTAACGTGATATAAATCTACTCTACCTTGGACCAGTCTGATGGGTAGGTAGAATCCTCATCCTAGACTCTTTTCTGCCTGCTTGCGGAGGTTGTCATCTTTGGGTGGAAGAAGGGCAGACAGCTGGCTTTTATGCACAGCAGCCTGGACAGGAATAGGGTCCTGAAAGACTCAGGAAGTTACTTGGCTGACGTAATGCATTTGTTATCATTATAAAAGTAGAAACAAGGAGACAAGAGAAGACAGTATAGTCTCCCCAGGTTTCCAAGTCTAGAAACCATATCTATGTCATTAAATAGTTAAATGAGCACAATCCTGTTGTTATGTCTTCATTTTTCTGTCTGTGTCATAACTGTAGTAGATCACTAATGGGTCTGGACAAGCCCAGTCAATGCTGGGACTCAGCCTTGTAGGAAAATGTTAACCACTTCTCACCTAGGGGACTGACTCATGCAAATCAATTTTCAAGTCAGTTGAATTAAATAAAGTAAGTAGTGTGGTCTAGTGAATGGAGTGCCACCTTGAAGGCAGGAAGACCTGGGGTCAAGCTCTACCTCTTGACACATACTGGCTGGTGACCCTGCGTAAGTCACTTAGCTATATTTATATAGCAAGTCAGTGCTTTCAACAATTCTCCAGGACTCTGAAGTTGCAGAGAAGGTACTGACCTGCAGAGGGGATTTTCTCAGCCAGGAGTCCCTATACCATTGAAATCAGTGTTCTTCTCGGTCCCTAAGTGCTAATGTGGTACATCGTGGGACCTCCCATGACAAAGGGAGCCTGATGAGTATGAAGCTGGAGGAAGGCAGGTGTACACCTGCCTATTTGCCACAGGCCATTTAGTGGTGTGATATAGATGGTGCTGGGGGCAGCAAGCCTCTGTCTCCCAGTTCTTTGGTGGAATGTACTGATTTCTATTACGTTCAATCAAAGGATTTCTTCTGCCAGTGTTTCCCACTTTAGTTTTGCCTGCCTGGCCTAGAGCCACCGGATTGGCTCCTTTATCATTAACTTAAGGGATGCCATCACTAATGGAGAAGCAGCAGGGAAGGCAGTCTCAGACGTAATGAGGTTTGTCTTTTACTAAATACTTATGAATGTGAAAAGTGTTAGTGAACACTTTTTAGAAAGTGAAGTGTTTTTATTTTTGTTCCACTCTGAAGCACAGAAATGTTTTGGGGTTTTTTTTTGCCTCCAAGAGGGGCTATAAGCTTGGACTCTTTCTGCCCAGCTTTACAACAAAGTGGACCTATTTTTTTTTATTCTTTATAAATCTTTTAAAATAGATTAATCTTTAAAAAAAATGCATCCTGGTATTTTAACCCTCTTTGTACTTTTCAAGTCTGGATGGTAGACAGACCAGCAATTTAACATCATCTATCTGCCCATCTATTGTATAAAGCAATCACAGTAGTAATTCTTACTTCCATCTTCAGTGTAAGATTTCCAGTCAAACTCAAAGATGGTTTCATTCACAAGGGTGCCATTGTAATCCTTAGTAACATTCTTTTCAATAGTGTGTTCCTCATAAGAGGAATTAGTGGGAGGCCATTGTACACATTTATTCCTTAGGTTGCCCATAAACTACTGTAGTCCATTGACAGCAAATACACTCAGACAAAACACAAGTCAGGATCATGACATCAGAAAGCTTCACTGACTGAATCAGAGCCCCCACAATACTTCAAGCCTGGAATTAGAGAAATAGATTTTAAAGCTCTCAAGACTCTGAAAGTTAGAAGAGCTGAAAAATTGCCTAGGTTTACAAATTCTGTTACGCAAATGTAATGACAGTGAAATCAAGCCAGTTCCATGGAGAACCAGTTTGATGGAGAAAAGTGAAATCTAAACAGAAACCCCTAGCAATGATTTTTTAAGTGATTCAAATGTATATATTCCTGTGAAAGTGTACTCTACATTCTTCGTCTAGTCGGGAGGATTGTGTATCGTCATAAACACAGTTTGTCAAAATAGTGCATATGATAAGCATGCTGAGTAATGAATGTACCGAAATCTTAACTATTTTCCTAAGAGGATTGAAGGGAGTTAAAATGTGCAGAGCAGAAGTGGCCCTGAATGGGAAGATTGCCTTCCCTTCATTCAGTACTATGAAAGTTAGAAACTGGGTTGATGTAGGGAAAGTTTCATGGAGAAGGTAACCTCTGAGCTAAGCCTTGAAGAAAGGGAAGGATTTGGATAGTGGGAGATGAGGAGAGAACATTCCAGGCATCTGGACATATGTTTCACTCAACCATTATCATGATGGCTAAGGATGGGAGGGGTATGGATGGTATAAGGTGGCATGTGGAGGCCAGAAAAGGGAAAATTTCTAAGTGTTTTAAGTTGGCAGCAACAATAGCCGTGGAACATCTTTGTTGGAGTCTGTTACCACCTCTGCTGGAGGAGGGGTGGGTACGGGGGCGGGGACAGTTTGACTGGCTTTGGAGTTGGAAGAAAAGTTAAAAATTTTGAATGACAGCACTCTTCCTATTCATACCCACAAGCCCTTCCCTCTGAAATGAATTGGCTTGTCCACTGCCTGTACTGTCCCTTCAGAGATTTTGGAAGTTCCTCACAATTCGTGGGTTTTGTAACGGGAAGAAAAGAATTTGCATTTTACTTCTGAAGCTGGATAGCATCAACAAAGGGACTGGGGTAAAGTGTGCCAAGGGGAAGCCATTCCCCTCGAGTCTAGTCATAGAAAAGACTCAAGGAGGTGCTGAACTTCATGATCTCTGTTTAGGGCCTGTACGGCAGGAGTTGAGCTCCAGGCAGATCCACACTGGATTTGGCCTGACCGAAAACAGACAGCAGAGCTGTAGATGAGGGGTTGATACCACTTTATTCTCTCAGACGGCCAGTCGAAACAAGGCAGGGGGCAGAGCATCCACTAAATCACTTTATTCTCTTAGAGGCAGGTCGAGACAAGGAGTAGGAGCATCCTCACCCGCCGGCCAGTGCTTGTTTGATATATAGAAAAACACACAAAGAAGGCAGCGTGCCAACAATAAGCTCCTAAGTTTACATTATCTTTGGTTATAGAATGATGTGTCAGCACGGAGCAAGCGCAGTGTTGGTGTTTATGGGCTAGGCTCCCAAGTTTACATTATCTTTGGTTATATAATGATGTATCAGCATGGCGGAAGTGCAGTGTTGGTGTTTATGGGCCATGGATCCTGGCTGCCTGTATCAAGCCAGATCCATGCCACATACAGGACCAAACTGCAGTGTTCAGTTAGGTTTAACAGGTACCCTGATAACTTGCAACAGATGAACCTGATTCAACCTTATAATCAGAGTTGGAAGGGACTTTAAAGGTCCTGCCTTTCACCCAGGGCCAGAGTCCTTATTACCACCCTGTTGGTAGTCATCCAGCCTTCAGACAGCTGTGGGGAAGCTTACATTGTGGATAGGTTCTGCCTTACATTAAGCCGAATTTGGCCTTGTGACTTCCACCCATTATACCTGGTCTGCCTTAAGAGTAAAAGAATAAGTTTAATCTCTCCTGGAGGGACACGTGGCCATGGTAGCCTTTAAGATCTTTAGGTTCAACATTTCTCATTTTTTCTACTATTCTTCATTTGCAAAACTGGCACTAGATGTATGGGAAGCTGTAGAAACACCCAGGACAAAACAAGTGGGACACAGAAAAGAATTGATGACACAATACTTTTTTTTTTAAATAAATGCACATATTTTTAATGTTCTCTGTGGCCTGTAGGTATTTTTTAATAAGTCAAGGCGCATGTGTTACATTGAAGGCTCAAAGCCTCTGGTAGGCAGTAGCACCTTTGTAGGAAAATAACAAAGTAAACAGGGTTTATCAAGAATGTTCTTTCACTGGGGGACTGTGCAGATACAATTTTCAAACCACACCTATGGCACACTGATGCCTCCTCAGCTATGTTCATTCGCTTATTTCCAAATCCCCCTCCTCTCGACAAACTCTAGTTAGTTATCATCCCACAGAAGCGGTGCCACCCAGAACTGAACACTGACCTGCAGATGACATCTGACTGGGGCATTGTAGCGCAATATTCTGACCTTCACCTCCAATCAGTATGCTATGTTTATAAAGACTGAAATATTTTGTCCACCATGATTAATGTGACACAGGGATAGCATCACACACGTGCACATGAACACATCTTGGGGGCATGCAGGGATTGGTGATGAAGAAACTATGAAGGGTAAGCACCATCTCCTGCCACAAATGGGTCCCCAACACAAGAAGTGAATGGCAAATTAATTCACCTATGACACAGAGCAACAGTCAGAGGTCACCATCCTGGAAAAATTGATACATGTCTCTGCCCAAGTTTGTATTTTGCTTAAATAGAATCAGGGTCACAGTTTCAGGTCATTCTGGAGAATAAGAAGCAGAATTCCCTGCTTTCACACCTTACTCCTGGACTCCAGTGGTGTATCAATCTCTTTATGCTGGTGGCCACTGACTCCCATGGAGCCAGATATCTTGGGGTCTGCCAAATGACTAGTGTGAAGATTAGCACTGTCCTTTCCTTCCCTGAATACCTTACTCCTTGACACATTGCTTAGAGGGCTTCTCTACTGTGGGTTTTGGCTTAGTATTTAGGGCTCTGAGTTGCCTTAAATGACTACATTCACAAGTAAATTCACCATGAGCCCTAAGGTCCTATTCTGCTGTCCAGAGCATGCTCGTCATCTCTAGTCTGAGAGCAGTATGAAAGTCTGTTAATATGGATACTTAGTTATCATATCCATAACAGAAAAAGAACCAACTAAAAATAAAGGTGCAGGATAAAAAGTGGTGAGCGGGTGTCATTATTTGTGTGACAACCCTTAACAAGTACCCCCACAAGCCAACTTTGTGGATGCTGCCGTTCACCGTTCATCTTCTGCTGAAGATTGTAAATGGGCAAAGCTCATGAAGACTTGTTCCAGTGAGACTTGACTGACGGAATAGTCATCTAGTCCATACTTTTCTTTGGCTTTCTCCAAAATGCCAAACACCTGTGGGAAAGCACAGAGTCACTACTACGGCCTTCACCTAATGGGAGAGAGGGACTGCTTCTCTGTTTATGCCAGGGGGCCAAAGTGAGGCTTGACAGGGAAAGGCTTCTTTACTCCGTCACCAGCACCCGCAATGTGAAAATAATGGCCTTCGGTAGGACAGGATGTCCAAAAGTTATGAAACTACTGGGTCTTTGGACAAGAAAGGAGTTTCCCCCCAAAGTACTGTCTTTAAGATTTCCAGGGAAAGACATGCTTTCAAGGGCAAACGTGCTAAGCACATTGCTCTGCTTAATTTACAAGGAACTTAGATTATCTTAAGAGAATTGAGGCTAAGAAATCTTGGTCTGTATTGCCAAGGTGAGTTTCAGAGGAAGGACAAACTAACTGCTCAGGAAAACTGGAGGACTGACCACATTTTCAGATGCCCAAAGGCCACGTCATCTGCCACCATGACTGCTTAATTCCCCCTGCGTGCCCCTTGCTGGAGGTAGCATTACTACAGCTTGACAGTGGGAAGGTGTTCGCCACACTCACCTTTGCCCAGCTGAGGTCCTTACTGGGCAGGTGGTAATGGACCATTCCTTGGTGTTCATCCTTCAGTATGCTCCCTGCCAAGGTAAAGACACAGTTCCTGTTAGGGACACAGTGGGCAGAGCTTTCTCATCAGGGTTAGTTTTCCACCCAGTGTTAACAATCCAGTCAATTCAATTGCCCATTGTATGTAAAGCAATATGGATTTGTTTTGATACAAGTTCCCAGGATCATGGCCCATAAACAACCACTCTGCGCCTGCTCTATGCTGACACATCATTATGTAACCATAGTTAATGTAAACGTTTGAGTTTAGCTCGTAAACACCCCCAGTGCGCTTGCGCCAGGAGTTTATGGCTGGCATATTGCCTTTTTTGTCTGTTTCTCTATAAATTAAAGGCGCACTGGTCAGTAAGGCGAATTTGCGAAATGAGGAATGAGGAACGCTGGCGGTGCTGTGTAGGGGCAGATGCTTCCACCCGCTTCTTGCGGCGGCGGAGAGACAAGAGAATCAAGTAACATGACCCCCTTATCTGTGGTCTCCGGGGCCTGCCGCCCTTCTGAAATCTGCCCGGATCCAGAGTGAACCTGCTAGAGGCTGCAGCTGAGGAGCTCCCCTGTTACGCCCACGTGACCAGAGGGAGTAGAGGGCCGTTAATAAAAGAGCAGAGGATCCTTTTTTTCTCTTTGGCTTTGGAAGCCCCTAAGCAGTTTAATTCTGCAACACACGCATTTTTGTTTTCAAGGCTGTTCGGCGTCTGCCAATAGCAGTGAGTTTTAGTTCCCTAGGGAGATGAAAGCATGTGTCAGGCAGTGTGCAAAATAAGCCTGACTACGGAGAATCAGTTTGCAGATACCTGAAGAAATCACCAGATTTCTCAGGGAGAGGGAAAATGCGACAGGGGCTGAAATAAGACTGGTAAGAATCTCAATGCCAGCACCCTTGCTTTCTGAAGACTCCATGTCTAGGCAGGGGCTCTACGGGGAAGCTTTCAGTTACAGTACCTGGGAAAGTCTGGTTGATAAACATCTTGAACAACTCCAGGGCCTCCATTTTGCCCTCTTGCCTGTCGCTTTTAACCTTGGCTAAGAGGGTGTAGCCACTCCCAAACTTGCTCTTGAGATGCTGTGGGCTGCCCAGGCACTTGAACTGCCCATTCACCATCATGGTCAATCGGGTGCACAAAGCGTCACACTCTTCCATGCTGAAAAGTCAAGGGGTTAGAGGGAGAAAGGACTAGAGAATCCTTCTCTCAGAGAGTGAAGGTTTGGGTTCTCATCTTTACAGAGGGCAGGCTTGGTAATGCAGGCCCTGAGCTAAGACTGGTGAATGGTGATATATCCCTAGAGTTAGAGCAGTCAGAATGAAATGGAAGGAACACTCACCCAAATCTGGTGGAAATTTCTCCCACTGTTATTCCATCCCATAGCACACATTCCTACAGCCCTTTTTGGAAGAGCCTGACTAGTCCCCTGCCAGTGGGATCAGTTTCTTATAACCCTTCCCCCTTCCTTAACATGAAGGGGTCCATGAACACACATGAGATCTGTACTAATCCATGTCCTCAGTCCTATCCCCACCCCTCATCTTTGTCCCTATTGCAGTTTATAGAACAGTTTAAACTCCTCATTTTCAAGTAAGATAAACCAAGGACCAAGGAAATGATTTGCTATCTTGGGATCTCCTGCCTCAATCCGATGCTCTTTCTACCACCTCTACCACGTCCCACTGTTCTTCCTCTACCTGTGGGAGGTGATGACGATGGCTTTGCCAGATTCACGGGCTCGTGTCACTGTATCCCAGAGCAGGCGCCGGGCTACGGGGTCCATGCCAGTGGATGGCTCATCCAGGAAGACAACCGATGGCTCTCCAATCAAGGCAATACCAGTGCTCAGCTTACGCTTGTTGCCACCACTACGCCATAAGAGAAGAGAAGAAATGGGGAAACTATAAAAAGACACAAATTCCAGATTCTAGTTCAGGACACTGGGGAGCAGAGGGATAGGGGAATATGTGATTAGGATATAAATTTAACTACCTCCCAGCTAGACGTTGTTATAGTTAACAAACTATATGATATAAATAACTATCCAAATATGCATTCATTCATTTATTTAAATGATTTATTAAGAGCCTATTGTATATAATTTCCTTCAAGGACTTTATGATATGGTTATGGGAGATAAGATATATATAGATAAATAAAATATAAAGTATAATAAGTACATAAGAGGAACAAAGTGTTAGGGGACCAGATGAGGGAAAGATCACTTCAACAACTGTTAAAATGGTCTGGTACTGGGTTAAAATAAGAAAATAGACTATTAGAAGAGAATGAGGCTCATAGAAGAATATTCAAATTACTATAAGAGTTTAACATGTGACAAATCAAGTAAAATGAAGCAATAGAAAACAAACAACAATGCAGCAAATTGCACAGGGAAAACCAATATAGAGAATATAGAGAAAAATAAATTTATACCCATACCTAATAATATATTCCAAAATATAATAATTCCAAAGATGTCAAAGAGTTTAGTATTTTTTAAAATATATTTTAAGAAAACAGAATAGTATTTGTATCCCAATTGCAGATGGGAAAATTTTCTTAATTATTTAAACAACAGAAGAAATGAACAGTAATAAGCTGATTATATAAATATATAAAATATATAATAATTGATTATATAAAAATAAACTAATACACAAGAGAAAAACAAAAACTAAGATGAAAAGGCAAACATTTTGGAAAAAAATTCCCAATTATCTCAAACACAGTTTTTTTATATTTTTGTCCTATTGTTTTTCCATATTAACTTTTACTATAATTTTGTCAAAATCTATTGAAATATACCCATGGAATTGCAATTTATTCAGACTATCACTTAAATGGGGTAGTAGTATTATCTTCTTTCTTTCCTTTTTTCTTTTAAAAAAATTTTTACTCATTTTGCACTTAAATACAAAAAGACAAAAAAAAAGAAACATTTCCATTTACACAGAATAACATAAGAGGATTCAATAAAAAACCATGAATTTCCTTTTTACACTGTTTACTTAAAAAAAACAAAACACGACCCAAAACTAATCCTCCCTATTTCATCTACAACGTTTATAAAAGTATCAAGTACATCTTTACCTAAATCACTGATAAAAATATTAATGCCAGACCAAGAACAGATCCCCGGGATCCTCCACTAGAGGTCTGTTTCCATATTCATAATCATTAATGCCTCCTCTTTGGATCTGACTGCTCCACATTCTCTAATTCCCTCTTCTTAAGGGGAAGGTTGTATGGCACAAGGCTCTGTCCTGGGCCTTCTTTTCTGCTCCCACCATACTATTTCACTTGGTGATCTCAACAGCTACCATGGATTCAACTACTAATTCTTTTCAGATTATTCTCAGTTCTATTTGTCCAGCCTTTATATATCTTGAGACCTCCAGTCCCTACTCCAAATACCTACTGGACATCTCCAGTTGGATGTCCTGTAGCTATCTTAAAATCAACATGTCCAAAACTGAATTTGTTATCCTTCTTCTCAAACCTTCCTTTTTCCCTAATTTCTCTATTACTATTGAGGGGTACCACCATCCTTCCAAGCATCCAGGCCTGTAACCAAAGTGTCATCCCTGATTCCTCCCTCTCTTTTCTCCTTTCCCCCATATCCAATCAGTTATAAAGTCCTGTCATGTCTACCTTCATAATATCTTTTGAATCCACCCTCTTCTCACATTTCCACCATCTTGGTGCTGGCCCTCATCATCTCACACGTGGACTATTAAATGGCCAGCTGGTTGGTCTCCCTGCCTCAAGTCTCTCTGCATTCAGGTCCATCCTCCACTTGGCTGTCTAACTGAACTTCCTAAATCCTTTTCACTCCCCGTTTCCAATCAAGTCCAGTGCTCCCTATTGCTTCCAGGATCAAATATAAAATCCCCTGGTTGGCTTCTAATGCCTTTCATAACCTGGCCCCTTCCTATCTTTCAAGTCATATGATGCTCCATCTCCTGACTCCAATGCCAGGCCTTTTCATTAGCTGTTTCCCATATCTGGAATGCTCTCCTTCTACGTCTCCACCTCCTGTCTTTCTTTAAGACTCACCTAAAATTACACCTTCTACAAGAGACCTTTCCCAATCCAAAATCTTAGTGCCATTTCTCCTAGAGCTTTTCCATTTTAGCTTGAATACATTTTATTTGTACATAATTGTTTGAATAGTTGTCCCTCCCATTAGATTGTGGGCTCCTTGAGGTCAGGGACTTTGGTTTTGGTTTTTGCCTTTCTTTGTATCCCCAGCACTTCGCACAGTGCCTGGCACATAGTAGGTTGACTTGAATTTAAGAGGCTGGAGAAATACTCAATCTGAGTTAAGAAAAGGAGACCATGAAAGTGATTTGAAGAGCTCAGAGACTGAATCTGGGACAGAGAAATGTTGGAGAATTTGAAGAAAAGTTGAAGAACAAGACAAGTTGAACATAAAGAGCTCAATCTGAAGGAGGAAAAGGATAGAGGAGAAGGAGGTAGTTTGTAAGTAAGGAAAAGTAACACAATGTGGTAAGACAAATGATTAACGAGAGAAGGGAAAGGGAGTTGGGTGTGGCGGCCAGATTGTTGGTTTTTTGGAGGGATTTGGACCTGTAATTTTATAAGTGTGGTGAACTCTCAGTGTGTAAACTCCCTCTTGTTGTAGATCAGCAGCTCCTCTGAACCTAATTGTCTAAAGACTAAGAGTTGTCTGGAATCGTGATTTACACATGAACATACCGCCAGTTTGTGTCTAAAGCAGAACTTGAACCCAGGATTTTCTGACCCTATGGTAGGTATGTTGATCCTCTCTCCTCTCTATAGGTTACTGCCTGTTATCAAGTAATCAAGAGGTTATAAAGGATTGTAAAGATATTAATGAAAGGTCACAAACTGTCTGAAAGACAAGGACCTGGTATCTTGATCAACAAGGAAGAGCAAGGCAAAGTCTGCAATGACTTGCGAATATAGAATGTGTATCTAGGTTCAAAGTGCAGGTTGGTATCTCAGTTTAAAAGAGGTGAAGGGACGCAAGAAAAGTCTCTCTGTACTCTAAGTTATCTTGCACAATGGAGTATTCCTTTAAAAAAAATCAAAAACGCATTTCAATGTAAAAAAAGAAATCTTGTGTAGTGATGTTTGCCAGCTTTCAACTTGAACTGAAAATACCACCTCTGCTCCAGAGAGAATTTTATTTTGTTTTGCTTTTTGGTGAGGCAATGGGGGTTAAGTGACTTGCCCAGGGTCACACAGCTAGTAAGTGTCATGTGTCTGAGGTTGGATTTGAACTCAGGTCCTCCTGACTCCAGGGCCAGAGCTCTATCTACTGTACCACCTAGCTGCCCCATCCAGAGAGAACTAAAGGGCCCTTACAGATCGTTTAGCTCACCCCCTTCACTTTCAAGAGAAGGGAACTTCACCTGAGAAGCAGAGGGATGTAGCCAAGGGCTTCCCTGGCTCCTTTCAAGTCCCAACTTCCTCAAGAAGCCTTTCCCAGCCTTCCTACTTCATCTTGGTGCCTTCCCTCCGCTCTCCTCCGTTTCTCCTCTGTAGCATGTTTTGCCTGTAGCAGTCTGCATGCTCTCTCTCCTGTGAGCTTGCGGAGGGCAAGAACTTCTGCCTTTCTTTGTATCCCTAGCACTTAGCATAGGGCTCAGCACACAGCAGGCACTTCATAGATGCTGGCTGACTTGACTTGGCAGACAGTTAAGTGGCTGAGCTAGGATTTAAATACAAGGATTCTTACTCTCAGTCCAGAGCTCCTCCACTCCACCTTCTATTTCAGGCTGAGGACAAAGTATATGGGTGTGTCCCCTCTGACCTCTATCATCATCAGGGGTTACGGAGGGCCTGGGAATGGTTTTGTTAGGTGTTGAAAGTCAAGACACAGCATTCCAAGAAGAATGGAAAGAGGGAAAAGGGACTGTGTTGGGTTGGTGAGGGATGAGAAAGGAAGGTTAGGGAACATTACTTCGCTTAATGAGGGTGCATAAGTAGAAATCTATAAAAACAAGGAGGAGAGAATAGAAGGAGTGGCTGACACCTGTACCTCACTCTCATCTAAACTGATCAAAAGAGGGAAGAATACAAACACACACCCACATACACACATACACACAAACACATATATATACACATACACATACACATAACACACACACACACAGAGCTGAGTACAGAAATACATTTCACTTAATGGGGAAATAATAGGAGAAGGAGAGAATGGAGAAGGGGGAATTAAAAGGAGGGTAGTTTAAGGGAGAGAGTAATCCTTAACAAAACTAATTGCGAGAATATACAAAAATATTTATAGCTCTTTTTGAGATGGCAGAGAATGGAAATCTGAGGGTGTACCCATCAACTGGTGAATGGCTGAACAAGTTATGGTATATAAATGTGACAGAATACTACTGTGTTGTAAGAAATGATGAAGGGAATGGTTTCAGAGAAACTTGGGAAGACCGGTATGAACTGATGTGGAGTAAAGTGAACAGAACCCGAAGAACAATGTATATAATGACAACAATATAGTAAAGACAAACAACTTCGAAAGAATTAAGAAATTCTGATGAGTGTAATGACCAACCAGGATTCCAAAGGACTAATGAAAGAACATGCTATCCCACCTCCTGATTAAGAGGTGAAGGACTGAGAGTGCAGAATGAGACATACACACACACACACACACACACACACACACACATATACACACACACACATATATATACATATATATATATGTATATATTTGGACGTGGCCAATGTGGAAATTTTGTTTTTCTATATGCTTTTATAAAAGGGGTTTTGTGTTTCTTTTGTTCTCAATTGGAGCGGGGGCAGTTCAGATGGGAGGGAGACAAGGTGGATTTTTATTGAATGAAAAAAATAAAATATAATTCAAAAATTCCATAATTTTAACATACTTTTAGATACATAAAATAAAATTATATTAAAATAAAATATGATAAAAATAAATGTTTTAAAAATGCTTAAAAAATAGGCCAACTAGAATAAGAGCCTAGAAAAAATATACAGCACATAGATAAACTAGAATATTTCCAAGAAATATACAAGTCTCCATTAAAGTCCCACTATGATATATCACAGTGGTGTGTTTTCTCAAAGGCTATAGCTCATTTTAAAATAGCACATTAAGATTTCAAGTGCGTAACATACATGTCACTTGATCTTCACAATACCTCTTAAGGCAGGTGCTACTATTATTCCTATGTGACAGAGGAGGAAACAGGCTCAGAGGGGCACTTGTGAGGGTAACACAGTGAGAAAGTATGGAACAGCATTTGAACTCAGGTCTTCCTAAATATAAGATATGACTCATCATGGCAAGTTGGATGGGCTTCAAGTGTGGTGTGGTCACGTCTATCATCTGAGGATCAGCCTGAGTTAAAAGAAACCCATTGCCAGATTTAACCCAAAACAATGGACTGTTGGCCACAGCAACTCAAACTGTCTTTGAAGCCGTGGGTTACGGCTTATGTCAGAATTTTCCATACTTATACTAACAAAATCACAAGTCCATTAAATGTTGAAAAAATATGATAAAACAGATAATTTCTATATTTAAAGTAAATATATTAAAGTCTCCCAAAAGAATGTGGGAGGCAATAATGAGCAACAAAAACTGGTAAATACAGATGACTGAATATGTCACTGGAAAATAAGCAGAAAATCATTAAGAACAAAGATAAAACAGAGCTTCAAACCCACAATAAAACAAGATAGATGAGGAGAAAGAATAGAATTAGATAACAGATAAAGGAAATCAGACTCTGAGGATTCCCTGAGGGAAAAGCAAACAAAAAAATCCAATGCAGCCGGTGTCTACATAAAGATCCCTGTAGGCTACATACTGACTTAGAAAATCACATATCCATGTTACTTATGTTCTATTGTATTTTTATAGACTTAGTTAGATATTTCCCAATTACACTTTTGATTTGGTTGGGCCTCACTCCAGAATGTTGCAGCCTTAATGCAGGCCCCATATGTGATGCCTCAGCTTTAATGGATTCATGAAATCATGATGAAGGCTTTCCTTCCATTATTTCAGCTCACAACCTTCACAAACACACACACACACAAAACCCCACCCTCCCAACACCTTCTAGAAGATCCCATGTTAATCTTGTACATATTCTCCCCCAAATCCTATATAACAAAGGAAGATGTGAGGTATACTCTGAGACAAGGGCCAGTCCCTGTATGGCAAGCCTGACAGTATGCAATGGTGACGAACCAGGCCACAGGAACAGTTCCCCCTGTTCCCTGAGTGGCCCTCCAGCTGTCAGTAGTCATCACTGTTATTTACGAGGCTGCCTCACTGATAGTGGCCTGGCCAATGTGGAAACATCCATTCCCTCTACTGAGGAGGGAGCCACCCCACTGCAGTGGAGAAGAAGCCATTTTATCTACATGTGGCACCCTGTGTAGGGAAGTGAATGAAGACGCCTACCTGTAGGTCTTGACAAGTTTGTCTGCGTGGGGTTCCAGGAGCAGCCCCTGTAACACATTCTTCACACAGTTGCCAATACGGCACTCAGGGATGCCCCGTAGCCGGGCATACATGGTCAGAGTCTCTCGGCCAGTCATGTGTTCCAACAAGGCATCAAATTGAGGACAGTAGCCTATTCGCTGCCGTACCTAAAACAATAATAAATCCCCAGGAGATGAGGGCAGGTAGAAAGGTGTGATCAAATGAGAAAACCCTATCCTAGGCATGTGCTATAGAATCTGTCAAGAAAAAGGACCCGGAAGCCTTTCTATCCATGACCCTACCCAGGAGAAGTATTTGTCCCAAATATTTCCCTTTCCAGGGTTCTCCACTATTATCTAATGGATAGCAATTAAAATGAAATTAAATTAAAATTTAAAAAAAAAAAAAGAATTCCCTGCATTCCCTATAGCTGGAGCCAGCTAGATTGGATTGGCACCTTCCAATGTCTCCCTTTCAGGATTATCCTTGGGTTGACTGAAGTCTAGGGTCAGAATGTTCTATAAAACATCAGTCTATATCTCTGCTAAATTCTAGCTGAGTGTGTCCAGCACAGAATACTGAGAGAAATTTACAATTGGAAAGTCACACAGGAGGATTTTGCCTGGCTCAATGATGTTATCAACATCACTAAGCTCTTAGGGTAGCTGCTCTACATCCCAAAATATGGGTTTACAATTAAACAGACACGGATGAGAAAGGCAGGAAAATACAGCCCTGGGGTGTAATGGTACTCAGGCTTGTCAAAGGGCTCTGGGAACAAGGGAGGTGTCCAGATACAGAGAAGACTGTCTAGGAACGTGGACTAGTCATGTCAGTAATGGCATTTAGCAACCAATCAGCTTGTGAGATGGACAAACTTCAGTTTTATAATTTAGTTTTTCATCTTAATAGTGCTACATGTTTAGTGCAACAGACAAGTAGAATTTCCCTCCCTTTCTCTCTTAAAGATATTTCTGCTAAAAACTCTGGGACCTAATAAAATCAAATCTAGCCAGATGCTACAGCATTTGTTGTTGGATTAAATGACTTGAATAGCTTATTTTCTTTGTGGGCCTTCACAGCCCTAGAAATGTGCAAGGAAGTATAGTAACATACCATCCTACTAGCATATATTGTTGTTGTTTCTTCTTTGTTCTTGAGGAGGACCATGACATCAGGAAGGTGATGCCATGAGTTGCAAGTGAATTGGAAGTGAGGTAGGGCTGTGCAAAGTCACCAGCCTTACTTTCTCTTCTGGAGCCATCTGGTTTCAGTGGCCAGATATTGATCAGGACCACTGGAGATGGTCCTGGATGCAGTGGGAGACCCTGGCCTTTTTAAGCTAAGGTCTTTAACAGGTCTTAGTTTGACTGAGGCAATTCCCATTTAGTGATGAAGGCTAGATAAGAAATGAGGCAAAGAATGGCCTCTTTTACCTAGTTAAAAAAAAAAATTAATCTGGGAGGGAGAAGAACTTCAGTGTTTCTGGCCAAAACAGAAAGAATTATTATTTACATTCACTCTGAGCCAATTAAAAGCCCAAACAATGACCAAGTGGGGCTTGGCCTGGGACCTACTGCTGACCAATCAACGTCTGGAGATAGACAACAAAGTCAATAAGGCTGTGGGCAAAAAAACTGAAGCTCTCATGTTCTTCCCCAAAATGTCAACCCTACACGAAAATCTTCGGTTCAAACCACATCTTTAAAGGCTTGCTATTCACACAGACCTTATGTGCTTATTGGTGAGCAAGGAAGCCAGGCAAGAATAAGAAGATATCTAGAATTCAAAGGGAAAGAGAAAACTAGTTTTCTACCCAGGAAGTATTTCTGTAAACAAAGTGGGAACGCATTCATTGCCAACTGAAGCATCCAACCTCCAGAAAACATAGACTCTCCCATCAGTAAATTAAGTCCTGGTCAGGAGCTCCCTGTGCATTGTGCTTAAACAGAGATGGTGAACAGGTTACCACAGAAGTTAATTCATGAAGGCAGCCCTCTCAGCTAATTAGCAAGAAGACCAAGAACTGAGGATCTTTCTTTTAAGCAAGTATGGAGGGCAAGGAGAAATTTGCAGTGAACTTCAGGGAATACGCTTTTTTGCCAATACCAAGTAACACCTCTGCTGATTTCTGCCCTAGAAGAGATGGTCAAAGGGCTGAAAGAAGCAGGTCAACTCTCCAGGCTGTCAGGGAAAATGAAGTGATCCTGAAAGAATGCCTTCAGGGACGAAACAAAGAAGAAAAATTACGTGAAGAAGCATGTGGAATCGTTACCCTGTGACAAGAGGCTGCAAGATGGAAGAATAAGACACAGAGAAGGAGGGAGGAAGGAGGCCCATTAAATATCTGGAGCTAAGTAGTAGATGTGGAGGGGTAGCTGGATCATCTCATAGGAAAGCAGCTTCTTATACTATTTTCACTTTTTTTTGTGGTTTTTCCCTTTTGTTCTATGGAACATGTGGAAACATGTTTAACATGATTGCACATGTATAATCTATATCAGATTGCTTGCCTTCTTGGGGAGGGGAGATGGAAGGGAGGGAGAAAAATTTCAGAACTCAGAATCTTATAAATGAATGTTGAAAGCTATCTTTACATGTAAGTGGAAAAATACTATTTACTAAATTTTTTTAAAAATAAATCATTATAAAAAAAGTGCTTTGTGAATCTTCAAAAAAAAGCACTTGCTTGGATTCCAGGGAAAGATGATTTAGAGCCACAAAAGCCATCAGATGAGAAATCATGCAGTAATAGTCAGAGAAAGAGGAAATGAGTGGTGGTGACAGGTGATTCGCTGCTGAGGGGAACCAAGACAGCTCTTTCCTGATTGAACAAACAAGAAAGAGAGAGCCTCCTGACACTTGTCAAACTTAATAGGCTTTACCTGGGTGACTTATTTGGTGATAAATGGTACTACCAGAAAGAACATTAGCTGAAGATTATGAAGTCTTAGGCAAAAAACTTAGGAAGACAAGTGTTTTTATTATTTGTGCCAACTGAAAGCTGGGCATTCAGAAGAGAGGCAGATTGGGACCTAAACAGCTGGCTAAAAAGAAAAAGATTTGGATTTCTAGCTAATGGCTTAAAGTATGGTAATTAGGGACTTTCAGTGAGGGATGGTATATAAATAAGAAGGCTCTCCCCTCTCCATGCCTTTTTACTGGCTATACCTCATGTCTGAAAGGCATATCCTACTCACCTCTACCTCTAAAAATCCTAAGTTTTCTCCAGAGGTCAGCTCAAGCACTATCTTCTATATCTTTTATCTACCCTTTCCTAAATTCCTGGATGCTAGTGCCTTCCCCCAAAACTATCCTGCATCTACTCATATAGGCACCTGTTTCTCCCTCTCTACCCCTCTCCCTCTGGGCTAGACTGCAGCACCTCCTGTCTCTGTCCTACCAGCATCTAGCATGGTGCCTAGAATGTTACAGGTGCTTACTAAATGTTTACTGATTCATCAGTTGACTGGAAAAATCTATTTGCCTAAAAGACTGCCAAGAAACAGAGTGAGAACATTGCCTGTATCGACCTACTAAAGTTTGATGCCACAAAAAGCAGCAGATGAAATGGATTCCTCCATTAGCACTTTCAGTTCTTTTTTATGATGCCACATTCATCTTAGGGCACTCTGTCCTCCTGGGAAAATCTTACCTTTTTTATGTCAGTGATGATGCTGTAGCCATCAACAAAAGCATCTCCAAAGGTAATTGTGTCTTCTCCAGTCAGCATTTTGAAGGTGGTGGTTTTCCCAGCCCCATTGAAACCAAGCAGTCCAAAGCACTCCCCTTTCTGGACTGTGAGGGAGACTCTGTCCACAGCTAGGAAGGGCACCTTCTGGCTGTACACCTAAGATGTATCCAACAGAGAACCCACAGATTGAGGAACCATTGTCTGTATTGTGAAAATTGGGGCTGCAGACCCTTAAGAAATAAACACAAGCTCCATCTCCTAGGAATGTAATACAAGTGCCATTCCCCTTCATCCCAGGTTACTACTCCTTAGATGTATAAAGAAAACACACATACATTTTAGAAACCAGTTGCTCCAAGTTAATGACATATCTGACATGCTGTAGTTGGGAAAGACCAGGACAACAATGACTGTAATCTGGCCTTACCTTTGTCAGTTCCTTAATAACCAGTGGGGTATTCAGCAACAGCTCTGGTAGGGATTCTAAGACTTTCTTTTTCTCATCTTCTACATCTTGGTCTTTCGGAATCATTGATGATTGGATATGCATCTGTGCCTGGGTTCCAGAGACAAGGATTAAAATGTAAATACCTTGAAGATGTCTGGCTCAACTAGGGTTAGAAGGGGGTTAGAAAAGCAGGATCTGAAGGGTAATAGGGACGTTAGGTCTTCAGAAATATAAAAAAAAATACAGTGTTTTCTGGAGAAGACTTTTCAGGAATTTCTTAGCCCTCCCTCAGATTATACATATATATATATGTATATATATACACACATATATGTATGTATATGCACATAAATATGCAAATACATATAATCTGCTGCTTTCCAGAAGGACAAAGTGATATCAGAAATTAGGCTCAATCATGATGATGAAATTGAGGAAATAACTCATGTTCAATTGCAAATGTATTGAGAAAATTTTAGAAAAGAAACAGAGTGGTACATTTCTAAGAACAAAACCCCAGGAGTAATCCGCTGAATAAAGGGCATTTTCAGTTCATGACCAGGTAAAGGACAGAGAAGATCATCAACAATTTTGACTATGTAACACTGAAAAGTTTTTGCACAAGCAGAATAAATTCAGTTAAAATTAGAAGGGAAACCATTAACTGGGAAAAATATTTGCAGCAATAAAAGCAATTTGCAGCAGATCCAGTAAGGGTCTGATATCTAAGACATATATGAAATTGATTCAAATATTCCCCTAATAGCTATTCTTCAATAGATAAATGGCCAAAAGACATAAAGATGCAAGCTTCTTATGAAAAAAATCCAAGCTATCAACAGGCACATGGAAGGATGCTTCAAGTCACTAATAGAGAAATGCAAACTGAAACAGTTCTGAGGTTCCGTGCCATTTGAATCAGACAGACTAGCAAAGGTGACAAAAAGGGAAAAAGACCATCGTTGGGGGAACTCCACAGAGAGAGGCTCACTAGTGCGCTGTGAATTTGTCCAGCCATCCTGGAAATCAGTCTAAAAGTATTTCCAAGAAGTCACTGAATTATGCATATGCTTTGACCCAGCAATACTACTAGTAGGCTTATACCCCAAGGAGATCAAAGAAAGAGGAAAAATATCCATCAGTACAAAAATAGTAATATCAGCTTTCAGTTGTAGCAAAGGACTGGAAACAAAGAGGATGCCTATCACTTGGGGAATGGCTGAACAAATTATGGCATATAAAAGCAATGGAATATTACTGTACCATAAGAAATGACAAAAAGGACCACTGTGGAGAATCTGGAAAGTCTTGCATGACCTGACGCAAGAGTGAAGTGAGTATTACCAGGTATTAATAACAACAATATTACAAATAAATAAATAAATAATGATGAAATAATTGAGAAGTTTGATCAATGCAATGACCAACCATGACTCCAGAGGACTAATGCTATTCACTTTCTGACAGATGGATAATGGAATCAAGGTGCAGAATGAGACACACATTTTTGGACATGGCAAAGTTGTGGATTTGTTTTACTTGACTATGTATGTTGGTATCATGGATTATGTATTTCTTTTTTTCTTGGGGAGATAGGAGTTTAAAACATTATTATTATTTTTTTTAGAGAAAGGCTAGTTTTCTTAGCAGTTGGGAGTCTTGGTCTCAGGAAGAAGGTTGAATCCATAAGTGAAAGAAAAGACCTCCCCTTCCGTTGGGCTTATAGATAATAGTGGGAAATAAAGATTCTGTTGTGGTGACTTGATTTTGTGAAACTCTATGAGGTTTGTTGATAAATTTTGTTTGGACACATCATACAAAACCCCAGTGCACTCAAAACTGAATCTCCCAGCATACATTATCTCTGAAAACAGGTAAGCAAAACAGCATAAAAATTAATTGTGATTGATAGTACCTGCAAACTTAAGCTTTCTCAGTTATCCATTTGTTAAAAGAAAGACTGAGTATGTGCCTTCCAAGTTAACACCAATATTAGTCAACATTTTTGATTAACACTGTTGCCAGGTAAAGTAGTCTCCATTTATAACAGTGTAGTAATTGTTCATGTTTTTCTTTTGGTTCTGCTTTGGTCATTTTGCATAACTTCATTCCCATATTTTTTCTGGATTCTACATATTCATTACTCTTTATTATGTCTGCATTCTTATATCTCCATTTGTTTAGTCATTTCCAAATTGATGGGCTCACTGCTTGTTTCCAATTTTTTGCTGTTTCGAATATCACTACTACACATTATAATATTGGTACAATGTACAGTGCTTATATATACTATACTATTTTTATACAGATAGATCCTTTCTTATTTTCAATAACTTTCTTGAGATATAAACCCAATAGTGAGATTGCTAGCTAGAGTGTAAATAATTTTGTAACTTTTCTTGTGATATGGACCTAGAGCTTGGAAGAGCCAAGGGTAGGATATATATCCAGGATATATACCTAGGATAGATCTAAGAATCATCTACAAAGAGATGATAAAAGAGGGATAAGGTCAGAGCCTAGGGAAACAGGGGGTGGGACACAGATGATGATCTTGTAAAACAGAATGAGGAGTAATCAGAGAGGAGTAGAAGCAGGAGAGACAAGCAGCATGAAAACTTAGGGATGACTAAGTATCCAGGAAGAAGGGATCAATAGTGTCAAAAATTGCAGAGAAGTAAAGCAGAATGTGAGCTGAATAAGTCCCATTGGATTGAACAGTTAAGGCACTTTTGGTAAACTTACAGAAAGTAGTTTCAGATGAGTGGAAGCAGATGTAAACCAGCTGGAAGTGTGAAGAGGAAGTGATTAAATTCAGATAAGGAAGGTGCCAAACCTTTCTGAGAGTTTGACTTTGAAAGGGAGAAAGTATTCAAGATAGTCAAGGGAACACCAGAGCACATATGAATGAGTAAGCTTACTGCTCGAAGGGATGAGACAGATTACTTTCTTTTCTGATAGCTTCTAAGGCACAGAGATTCATTTATCTGGTCTGTTGGAAATTGCATCTGTTTTTCTGGAATAGCACTTTGCTGAAATTTAAAAATAATATCTTGTGTACCATTCCCTGGCCCTGCAGATAGCCTATGGATTTAAAACAGTATCATCATGGAAAATGGAGTTTAAAATCACGTCCCTGGCCAACCTTATTTTCAGATTGGCAGAAGTTATACAATGTTCATGGCTATAGGGATAAACTTATGGTGCATCGGCTAAATCTGATTCAAATTTATTTTTTCTCTTCAGGAAAGATGGCTAGATTTATCTCCTTTATCCAGTTTAAAGCTGAATAGAAGTGAAATCTCATATAGTTTTCTTACTCACCCAATTCTGTGTCCTGAAGATGTTACTGAAGAAGGTTCTCAGTCTCCAAAGGAGGTTAGTCTCAATGAGGAATAGAAGAATGAGGAAAACAAAGCCAGAAACAGCCATAGAAGTCATGTATTTCCCAATCCCAGGAGCTTTCCATGCATAGAAATTCTCTTGGTATTTAATATCTGGAGATGGTAAAAGGATATGTGTTCACTTTAAAACCCTGGGGTGCTATGGCTTCTTTCTTTCCTTTTACTTACTGTGGAAAGACCTCCCTGTCACTCCCTTCTGATTACCCCAAAAGGGACCCATGTGTCTTTGAGAGGCCCAGGAAGGCCACGTCATTCTTCCCATAATTTGGCTAATGCAGCTTCCTATTAACCTTCAGTTCCCTACCCTGTAGCAAACTCAGTGTGGCCATGCCATGAAAGGTTTGGGGAAAAGGTAAATGTTGAGAGAAAGGCCTCAACCTACCTGAACTGCAGCCAATGTTAACTAGGTTCCTGGGAAGGGAAGAAGCCCTGTGTTTCCTTTCCCTCTTCTCCATCATTACACTACTGGTTTCATTCATATCAAACTGCCTTCTGCTTGGTTGCTTCCAGGTATCCTAAAGTTATAAGTCTGAATGACAGATTTTCCACCATGTGTATATGGAGCCCAAAACTATCATCACTTTATTTATGAATTACCATTACACTAGAAACTAGAGCTTAGGGATACTCCAGAGGTGGGTCTCCAATACTGAACCAATTACCATATTGGAAACTTTGAAACTAGAGCTTAGGGTCTCTTGGGGCCATGGCTTATGGATGTGGGTCCAGAATATAGTCAGCTCAACGCCCATGTGCAGCCAAGCAGACCCAAACAACAAGGGTTGATTAACAGTTTTATTCTCTTTCCTTCCTCCTCTTTCTCTAGGATGCTCATAATACATCATATTCTCTGCCTCACCTCTGAGCTATGGAAGGTACCAGGGAACCCATCGTGGCTCGAGAACACATAGTGTTTTCATGGTAGCAAGAAAAGAGAGAGTCCTTTGGAAGACTATCTAGACCAAAAACTCTCAAATTACAAATGAGGAAACTGAGGTCCACAGAGGGGTAATGATTTGTCCAAGGCGACATAATAAGTGGCAAAAAAAGTCTTCCAACTCCAAATCTGGTGCTCTATCCACTATACTATGCTGCTTTTCTTACTCAATGGCCTGTAAAGGTGAGTACCCGTTGGGTTTGGGAAAGAAAAATACTGTCCTGGAGTAGCTCAGTTCATGTGCCACTGACTACCTTGAATTTTCCCTAGGTCATCTTTCAAAACCTCCACGTACTTTACAGAGGTTCTTCCATGTTTGAGAAATAACTTCTGCGTCTCCTGAGGATGCTCCAGCTCTTTTCCTTCCAAGGAAGATTATAAACTCCCCCCCGTTTATCCTCTGTCTGCTTTTAAGTATGAAAAATGATAAGAAAGGGACTGCTAAACCAGGGGCTAGGGGAATTCAGGATACTCACTAAATTTCTTGCAGTTATGGGCTGCAATCTCAGAGGATGTGCAGTATCTCTTGGTCTCATAGTTTTCAAAAAAGTTGCTGATAGACATCCCTAGGCTATGACTGGGCAACACCAGGAAAACCATATCCAAGGTTTTAGAGAGTTGCAACAATTTTAGCCCTGTAATGGAAATGTGATAGATTAGTTTACTGTGCAGCAAACCCCTCTTTCCCCAGGGCAGCCAAATGAGGCTAGTGCAATAACCCAGAAGCCACAGAAGTTCTCCACACAACAATATTCCTTTCCCCTCACTCCATGTGAAAACAAGAGTGTTACTCTGGGAACTTCCTCAAAATGGACTAGGGTTATCAAACCCTTCAACTTTGTATCTTTCACTCATATGGTCAATCTGCCTTACTTCAGTCCCAGAAGTCAGAAGTTATCTCTGCCCTAAAAGCACTAGGTACATTCCTAGTTTCCCTTGAACATTCTTCCTTAAACTTGAGAAAACAGGTTGTCAGAGAGGAAATAACAACAATTCCTCCAAGTACTAATCCAAAATGGTTTCCAAAGTTATGTGACTGCAGGATGGGAAAAGGGGATGATGAGGTAGCTACACCCAAGTAGCCTATTTTCCTAACTCAATGTCAGCATGTCTGATTTAGCTCCAGCATCAGACTAAAAGATTTTTGAAAAGCAGAGACTTTTATTGATATCTCAGGAACTGTCTTCTTCTTAATGATGGTGCCCATTCATGAGCCTACTTCTCCTCATATGCTCATTATTTGGAGAAGGGAGTACTATGTGTCTGCTGGGGGAGGGATGCTGACAAATTCAATGTCCCCCACCTGGCATACGCAAGATGCTGATGATGAGAAAGGTGGCAAGGCCCGAGAGGATGTTGAATATGCTAAGTCTGGTGTAGGCAGCTGCAGCTCCAGAAAAAAAGAAGCTCATTAGGTACATGAGGGGGATGATGGACCAACCATAGAGCATTAAGATCATCAAAGCATCTGCAAGGTGGTTATCCTGGGTGAAAACTTCCACGTCGAAGGCTCTGAACACCACCTATATCCCAGAGACATATTTGGAAGGGAGATGGGGAGAAGAGGGTGACAAAAGCAACAAGAAGTTAACTCATAACAACATCAGGAAGAAAAAACAATAAAATGCTGTTTCAAGTACCTTTTAAAATAGATACACAACTCCTTAGTCTCCCATAAAAACTGACACATCAGCAGTGAAACCGATGTGCTCATGTTCTCTTTACTAAAGGAGTCTAACGATGACAAGTCTAAAGATGACCTTTATCCTAGTTAGAGGACATTCCCTCTCTTCTCTTTGGAAAGAGTCAGAGGTGCTCTAACTAGTGAAGATTCCTCTAGTAATACCAACCTGGGACACCTTAATGGCTACAAAAAATAGAGGAACTGAGGCCTACAGAAGATTAATGTTTCTGCAGACCCTGGGAAACTGAGGCAAGTTGTTTCTAATGTTGCTTCATCTGCAATCATTTCCTTGGATGGATTAGTGCCTGGGTACCAATGGCCAAAGGAGAAGAAGCTCCAAATTAAGAAGACCCAGAAGAAGGATTTATATGATGACCACAATAAAGTAAAGGAAAACAACACTGAATAACTTTGGAACTCTGAACAACACAACGTCCAGTGGTGACGTTACAGGACTGATGGTAAGGCAAGTCTGCTACTTCATAGCAGAGAGGTGATAGAATATGGGTGCAGATTAAGAAACATGGTCAATGTGCTGATTTGTTTAGCTTTATTATATTTATTAGTCAGAAGGAAAAGTTCTATTTTGGGGGTAGTCATTGGAACAGCCATATTCAAAAAAAGAAAAGGGCATCAAGTAAAGCACTTAAAAAGGAAATAAAAATAAAAATAAATCTCCTGCAATGTATGGGAGACAGGGTTTCAACCAACATATTATTCAATACTCACCAGCAGCAGGGAACAGGAGATAAGGAAAGTTAGAAGATCCCACAGCAGGGCAGAAAGCCAAAAGTGAACAACATAGGCTCCACTGACAAACTGGATGTGCTTTGCCTTCATGTCTCTTTCAATGACTGCCAGGATGGAGAATGTACTGGCCAAGAAAGCCATGCTGAAGAGCAAATTAAGAGCTAGGTGAAATCCTGTGTGGCCCCTGCAGGAGACAGAATGGGTAGAAGAGAGCTCTCAGTACATCTAGATAGAAGAAAAGAGCAATCCCCCTTAGCAGCTACATTCCAGAACATGACCTACTAACAAAAAAGTTAAAACCAGCCGGGCTTATGGAATGAAAACCTAGGCCCTGGGTGAAACCAAGGGTCATGTACTTACTCGTTGGCTTGTTCTGTCGTGGCCTGGCTAGCACCTCGGGGCTGAGGGTAGTTGGAGACAGTAATGGAGGCACTGGGGCCAGAAAGCAGCTTGAACAGAATATTGTCCACGACTGCCAGGGCAGTGGCTGGAGAATGGTAGGCTTGGTTGTTGAACAGAGCAGTGATAACAGTCTGCTCTCCAACATCTTTGAAGGAAGCTGCCACAAGGCATCGTTCATTAAAGCCTTCACCTTCCACCGAGGCCCTAAAAATCAGGAAGTCTTCCAAATCACCTTGTGTGGGGAAGCAACAGGCAATTAAATTCAATTAAATAGATATTTATTAAGCACCTACCAAATGCAAAGCCTTATTTTAAGTACCGAAGGAGATACAAAGATATGTTAAATAGAATTTATGCTCTCAAAGAGCTTACAAGATAAGAGTGCATATGTGTGTGTGTGTGTGTGGAGGGAGGAGAGATGTCCTCACGTGACTACAATACACAGAACATAGAATATACAAAAGGTATCAAGTGCTACTAGAGTTCTGAGGAGAGATACTTTTTGATGGGAGGAACTGGAGAAAGCTTCATGGAGGAGAAGGCATTTGGACTGTCTTAAAGTATCAGTAGGCTTGCAGTGAGTGATGAGGGAAGAGTGCCTGGGATGGGAGGGCATTCCATATCTAGGGAATAACACAAGTAAGGACATTGAGGTATGTCCGTCCCAATCATGAGACATGTTGGAGGGAGGAGTACAAAAAGGGGAAAAATATGAAATAATGTTGTTATTGGCTAGTGGTGTATTTTCTGGAGGTTACTGAATGCCAGACTAAGGCACTGAGACTATTTGATAAGCAATAGGATACAGTGGCTGAGTGGACAGAGTGCCTGGCCTGGAGTCAGAAGACTCTTCTTTCTGAGTTTAAATCTGGCCTCAGACACTAGCTGTATGACCCTGGGCAAATCACTTAACTCTCTTTGCCTCAATTTCCTCATCTGTAAAATGATCTGGAGAAGGAAATGGCAAACCACTCTAGTATCTTTGCCAAGAAAACCCCAAATGGGATGACAAAGAGTCAGACATGACTGAAATGACTCAACAACAAAAATAATACATCACTGACATTCTGAGCAACACAGTGTCATGACTGGATATGTACATGAGGATGGTTAATCTGGCATCAGTGTGAAGAACAGATTAGAAGGGTTATGGAACTAGAGATAAAGATACCAGTTAGAAGGCTATTATGCAGTAATGGAGACAAGAGACAATAAGAGCCTGGTCAGAGATGATGGTAATAATGGGAGTGGGAAGAAGAGGGCACATGGGAGAGATCCTTTGAAGGTAGAATAACAGAATAACAAAATGTGTACTACATTTTAGGAAAGGCACTGTTAAACTTGAGAAACATCTAGGTCACGGCAACCAGTGTGGTCAAGAGCTTGAGTTCATGGAAAAATATAGTTTCATAAGTGAGTTTAAGAACTCTTATTTGAAGAAATGCCTGTTGAATTTAATTGAACAATGTCAACATGAATGGAGGTAATTAGTGGCATTGGGTAGGGCTCTGACCTTAGCACTATTCTATTCAACACTTTTTATCAATAATGATAAAAATATAGAGTATATGCCTACCAAAATCTGCAGCTACACCAAAACTATGAGGGATAGCTGGTGCTGGATGACAGAACCAGGATCCAAAGTCATCTTGACAGGCTGGAACTTGAGAGATTTAATAGGAATTTAAGCTTTTTTTTTTTTAAATGAACTACACAAAGGTATAGAATGACCTTGCTAAATAGCAAGTCATGTGAAAAACTCACAGGTTACTACAAACATCAACACAGACAAGAGCAGGATTAATGTTTTAAACTTAGGATCCCCAACCTTTTTCGGATGAGATGCCTCCTATTTTTATGATCATCAAAAGGGATGTGTGTGTGTGTGTGTGTGTGCACACGCATGTGTGTGTGCACACGCATGTGTGTGTGTATGCACAGCAGGTACTGTAAATATAAGCAATGAAAAATTTGAACATCAACCAGGAAAAGCCCAAAGACCCTGATGATCAGTTGGGGATACCTAATTGAACCTCTGTACTGGGGAGGCAAAAGAAAGCAGTTGGATGCCTAGGGAAGGCTGCTGAACTGTTACCTTTCAAAATGTAAAATATTTATTTTCACTCAATACTTTAAGCGATGCCTCAAAGACACTAAATCATACCAAGGCATCTCATTCACCTTCCCCAGTAAAAGACTAAGAGAAAAAGGCGGCATTTTGCTTTTAGCTTTCTTTTTCGTGGTTTTTTTGATATTTTTTCTCATTTATTTTTCCATAGGAAACTTATGATTTCATATGATTCTATGAAATAGTCTATGGGCATTCTGACTGGCATTGTGTCAAAGCTGTGGTTTGAGAAGCACTGACATTTTTTACCATATTTGCTCAACTCCCCCATGAACAAGCTCTTTCTTGTTCAGCTCCTCCTTTACATCTGTAAAAATCAGTTTGAGGTTGTTTTCATGTCATTTGCATGTCTTGATAAACCAATGTCTAAACATTTGATGCCCGCTCTGGCACAGTTCCTGACTTCCAGATTTCAAAACCATGCCTCTGCTGCTGTTTCATCCTGAACTTCCCTTGGGGCTGGGGGCCTCTTCACCTTGGAACATCCAACCACTTCTGCAGCCTTCTTAACCTGGAATAATCCTGTGCAAGCCCCAGCCCCTTTTCCCCTTGGTGAGTCCCTCCTAGGGGCTCCCCTTTGTGGAGGGGCCCAAACCAGCCTTCATTCCCCTCTTGACTCTGTCCTTGACTTCTGGATTTCTGAACCATACCCCTGCACTGAGTACCTTGATTTTTGTCTCTGTTGGCCCCCACTCCCACTTCCCGCATAGAAGGTACGCACCTTGAGGTCAGAGACTGTCTTTCTTTTTGTCTATATCTATAGTTCCAGAGCTTAGCACAGTGCCTGGAACATGTTGTTTATCCTTTGTTTCAAAGAGGACCAATGACATCATAGGGTGATGTCTTGACTTGCCCATGAATTGGATTTAAGTGAGGCAGAGTTACACAAAGTCTTCAGCCCCACTCTCTCTTCCAGTCATTGAAGTCCACAGGCATGACAAAAATTAGGATGACTGGCGATTGTCTGGGATGCAGTGGATAACCTTGGCATCTTTGAAGTCTGACCAAGCTCTGTGTGCTCCGTGGCACTTGCTTCAGCCACCTTCGTGGCCATTGGAACTCTGTTCTCATCTGCCCATTCCACCAGGGGAAGTCGTCACATCCTTGGCCTCACCAACAGGTTACCCTCAGCCTAGCCCACCTACCCAGATGGTTTACTGGGGTGTGGCCACCGCGCATGCTACAGCTTTGTGGAGCTACAGGTGAAACTGGGGTGAAGATGGAGCAGCCTTGAAAAGGCACAGCAAGTCCTGACACCAGAGACGCTGGTCCTTCCTGAACACCCCATACACCCTCCTGGCACATAGTAAGCACTTACTAAAAGCCTGTTTACTGATGTGCTTGTTTCATCTGGATAATTCCAGAGATAAGCCAGCCTTCCTTCCCTCCTTCATTCCTTCCTTTGGTTGTTATTATTAGGGGCATTTCTCTTTTTATCAGTTTTCCTTGATTCTTGTTGGAGGTGAAGGTGATTTTTGTGGACTTAATTTTAGAGATAAGGAAACTGAAGCCAGAAGCTGAATGACACAAGTAGTTAGTGGTAGACTCAAGATTTGAACACAGGTCCCTTGATGACAAATTCAGTCCTCTTTTTACTATACTATGGAACCTTTCAATGATCATATAGCTTTTAATTTTTCTCTTTTTATGTTGAATATTTTCTGATATTAAATCATCCTATTCTAGTTATAAATTCTGCTTGGTTGTGATAAATTAAAAAATGTTATATTTAGTATTTTACTAATTTAGTAAATGTTTACTTAGTATTTTTGCACTGGTCTATTATTGGTCTATTATTATTGGTTGATTATTTTTTCTTTCAATCATTTTAGTGTTTGGTATGAATATCAAAGCCATTCCTGCTTCCCAGGATATAGACATGCACCTCTTTAAAGGATTGTCTAATTTCTCCTTCTGATGTCGGTCACTTGTTTTGTTAATTTTGTTCTTTCACATTTCTTAAAAATAAATATAAATTTCTTTGAGATTCTCAAATTTATTAGCAAAGAGCTATGCTTTTAACTTTTAAATGGTTCTTAACATCACATTCCCAAATAGCACATAAAGACAAAGTTTAGTACTTATAAATATGTACATCCTTGCACAAAGTGTACAAGGCGGAGTGCAAGGGTTTTGGGCAAGGAGTCAGAAGACTTGTCTCAAATTCTGGCTCTGACACTTAACAGCTGTGTGACCACAGGACCTCCATTTCCTCATCTATAAAATAAGGATAATATTAATTGTATTATCTACCTCACAGGGTAGTTGTGAAGCAAGTACTTTGCAAACCTCAAACCCTACAAAAACATGAGTTAATATTATCATCACTTCCACTTTCCTGAAATTTATCAGTCTGAAGGCTGTTTATGTTCCCTGCTAATTCTACATGATTTCTCTTCTGTGAGATGACACGGTACACATCCCAACTTTATTTCCTGGCCCCTGGTAGACAGGTCTTCGGACACCAGCAGCACTTACCTAACACCTCCCGAGGCACCTGTTTTTCAGCCTGCAGCATATCTTTAAAGCGTTCTGAAAGCTGCTGGTCCAGCTTGGAGGTTCCATAGATGGAAAAGGGCACAACTGTCTGACCATACTGGTCCAGGGTTAGCTGCAGGAAGGGGTCATCCCGAATCGCTGAAGAGTAGTTTATGGCCATGAGGGCCAATGTGATGCAAGTCAGGGGCACAAGGATCTGCGCCACCAGCATCTTCCAGTTGCGCCAGCTGTACAAGGCCTTCTTTGTGAACATGGCGCAGAACTGCTGGCAGTGAAGGTAGAACTACGAGAAAGGGACGACAGACTTGGAGTTAAATGGTTGACAGGTCAATCCACTCCAGATACTTGGCCATTTAAGATTTAACTGCAGCTCAGCAGTAGAAAGAAAACACAGGGTACTGAGTATAACTCTGAAGAGAAGCCTTGCTGGGTAAGTTCTGACATGTCTCAGCAGTGCAACCTGCTTATGTCTGTCCAAGGTATTTATTGAAAAGAAAAGAGAATAATTTCTCCTTTGAGGTCGCCAGTAGGGATCTAGTAACTAGATAAAGAGGATATCACCAAGGGGCAGCTAGGTGGCACCAGTGGATAGAGCACTGGCTCTGCAGTCAGGAAGACTCGAGGTCAAATCCGGCCTTAGACATAATACTTACTAGCCGTGTGACCCTGGGCAAGTCAGTGAACCACAATTGGGGGGAGGGAGGGAGAGAAAGAGAGACACAGAGAGAGAGACAGAAAGATCACCTTATATCCATGGAATGCTATAACATTTTTAAAATGTTTTTGGCATAGATTCTTCCAGAGCATCACACCTGCTCTGTGAGGTAAGCAGAACGGCTTTTACCCTCCTATTTAAAGAGGAAGACACTGGGAATCAGATAGGGTAAATGATGTTGCTCAAGGGTACAAGGCTTAGTAAGTAATGTAGCCAGGATCAGAACCCAGACCACCTGAATTCAATGCTCCTTCCAGGACTTTTCTATAGGAGGATGAGAATGGTTAATGCCCTGGTTAATGTGTAAATAGCCCTTAGAATGGGAAGAACATGCTCACCTTCAGGCTGTACCACAGAGAAGCCAACATCTCAGATCTATTGATTCTTCCAGGGCTGATACTGCTAATATTTCCTTGGATTTGGGTAGTTCAAACCAAACTGTGTCACTTATATCTATCCTGAATTTGCCAGGCTTTCAGTCCCAAGTAAGAATGCTCACCCTGGTGTTAAATTTGATGGTGGTACAATCTTCCTTGATTAAGGCCCCGATGCTATCGGTGAGATCCATTATTCCACTGAGGTTGCTATCCATGGCCCAGTCACTTGCCCGTCTCTCATGCTGGTACTGTAAAGCAGGAAGCTGGATGGCTTGGATATCCATGCTTGAATCTACAAGTTTACCAACTCTGAACCAAAAGAACACAAGTCATGTTTTTTATTATGGAAGCAGATAAAATTTGGTGTATATGAATTAAGTCAATGTGAAAAATGTGAAATTGAAAAGGCTATTCAGCACTTGCTGAAAAAAGGGAATGAAGGAAAAAAAGGAGCAGTTTCTCAAATGATTAGTGTTGCCTTCTTTCTATGACTCCCTAATTTATATATCTAGTCACTTAATAAACATTTATTAAGTGCCTACTATATGCCAAGCACTGTGCTAAGTGCTGGTTTGGATAAGAAGAAAGGCAAAGGACAGTCCCTACCCTTGAGTCTAAGGGAAGAACAACACACAAATAACTGTACAAACAAGCTACATACAGAATAAACTGGGAATAATCAACAGGGGAAAAGCACTAGAATTAAGGGAGAATGTGGGATTAAAACTGGAACTTGAAGGAAGCCAGTAGATGGAGATGAAAAGGAAGAGCATTCCAAGTGTGGAGGACAACCAGTGAAAATGCTTGGAACTAGGAGATGGAGTATCTTGTTCAAGGAATGGCAAAGAGGCTGATGTCACTGGATCAAAGATTACATGGGAGTGGAAGGGAGGGAAGGAGAGGTATAAAGTGTAAGAAGAATTGAAAGTTGGAGGGAGCAGCTAGGTTATGAAGGACTTTGAAAGCCAAAGAGTGGCTTTTATATTTGATCATTGGAGTTCATTGAGCAAGGGAGTGGCATGGTTGGACCTGCTCTTTAGAAAAAATTACTTTGATGACTGAGAAGAGAATGGACTGAAATGAGGAGAGACTTGTGGCAGGCAAACCAACCAACAAGCTATTGCAATAGTTCATGCACAAAAAGATGAAGACCTTCACCAAAGTGGTGGCAGCATCAGAGGAGAGAAAATGGTGTATCTGAGAGATGTTCCAAAGATGAAATTAAATATAACCAACTCTAGTTTGTCTTCCAAGCTGTGGTCTTACATTATGAATCGCTTCTTAAACTACATGTTCCCTTGATGCTCAAACTTGACATGTCCAAATCAGTATGAAATATCTACCCCTACCCCTAAACCTACCCCTTCTCTGAACTACCTTATTTCTATCAAGGGCACCATTATCCTTCCAGTCTCCCAGGTTCCAAACCTTAGTGTCATCCTCAACTGACTCTCACTCATCTCACACATCCTATTAATCGCCAAACCTTTTTGTTTCTGTCTCCATAACATCCCTCACATGTCCCTTGCTTTCTACCCGAATACTGACCACTCCAGTTCTGGCCCTTGTTACGTCTCATCTGAACTATTGCAAAAATCTCCTATTTGGTCTCCCTGGCTCAAGTCTCTTTCTACTTTAATCCATCCTCTAGTTTCTAGATTGATTTTCCTAAAGTAAAAATCCGTATCATCCCCCTTCTCAAAAAAAAAAAATCCAATGCTTCCCTATTGTCTATAGGATCATATATAAATTCCACTGTTTGGCATTTAAAGCTCTTCCCAGTATGGCCCCTTTTTACCCTTCTAGTCTTCTTACACTGAATGTGACACTTGAGCTCATTCTTTAAAAACAAAAAAAGGGGATTCCAAAAGGCAAAGGGAGATTATTTCAGGCATGGTGGACAGCCTCTGTGAAATGGATCAGATCATTTACTCTTGTTGTCTGGCTAAAAAAGGAAACCTTTCTATTAAAAATGAATTATTTAGTCCAAGATTTTCAGTCTTCTTTTCATTCATTAATGCAGAAAACTCAGCTTCATAGCAGCAACAGGAGCTTACCCAATTTGTTCTCAATTAACATCAGAGGGTCAGCCTAATTTTATATAGTATTTAACAGTTTTTAGAGGGTCAAAGGAGTTATTTTTATTCCCATTTCACACATATTCAAAGAGGTTAAAGTGTCCATAGTTACTAAGTGATTAAACTGACACCAGAACCCAGGTCTTCTGATGCCTGGAGGCCAGTGTATTTTGTATTATACCTTGCTACAGATGGCTGCCATCAGTGTGAGAATCCTCCAAGTATGTTATCAAAGTACTTATTATTTGGGATAATAATTCTGGGAGAACCAAACGCCAGTTATTAAGTTATTAATTCTGCCAACTATTCACTTAAAAATCTAGACTGGAAAGACATTCTTCATGAACTTTCTTCTGGCAAAATTGTCTGAATTAAAGATTTAGTCAAGTACCTGTCATATCATAATAATATTCACGATAGTCTCTAGGGGAAAGTATACATATTTTAACCCTAGGCATCAGTATTGGACTCCCTAACCAATTTGCCTATCTGTGTTCTAGAGTTGGACATTTCAGAATACATTGAAGAGCAATAATTCTCCCTTCAATATTTTAACCACCGATACTTCTAAATTTTAAGTGACCATAACAACAAAGCTCAGCGTTAAATACACACCTAAGGAACACTTCTTCCATAGTGGTGACAGAAGCACCATAGCTGGCAATGCCTAGCTCTTTCTGTTTCAGTTCTAGTTCAGTAAAGAGAGTTTCAAACCTAGAAGGAGAAAGGGGATAGAATGAAAATGATCAGTTTGGTTGTTCTTTAAAAAAGAAATCCATTGAAAAGAATAGGTATTTAAGTATATGAAATACATAAGAAATATGAGCATTTAAGTAAAATAAAACAAACCCAAGACTATATTTTTCATTATTTAACATTTGTTAAATTTTTCATTATTTAACATTCATGATTATTAATTTGATAATAATAAATTATTGTAATTAATAAAATAATTACATCAAATTATAATTATTAATATAACATCTAATTTACATTATTTAACATTTGTTAACATTATTTAACAATTGTTAGCCCCATTCTAAAAGGTGTATCAGCTTTAAAATAGCATTATCTATACCATCCTTTTCACTTTTCACCTTTTCTGGCTGTGTGTAACATGAATTTGTTGATTTTAACCACATGGTTATTGTCAACAGATATTATGAGTTTTTTTTCCTGGTTTTGCTTTCTTTGCTCTGCATCACTATATACACATATTCTTGTATTTCTTTGAATTCTTTGTATCTATCATTTCTTTTTGTACAGTTATATTCCATTACATTTATATACTATAATTTGTTCAGTCATTCCTCATCTAGGTGGCTAGATGAGGCAGCTAGGTGGCTCAGTCGACAGAACACTGGGCCTGGAGTCAAAAAGACCTGAGTTCAGATCTAACCTTGGATTTTTCCTAGCTGTGTATCCCTGGGCAAATAATTTAAACTGTCTCAGTTTCTTCAACTGCAAAATGGAGATAATAATAGCACCTACCTCTGGTGGTTGTTGTGAGAATAAAATGAATGATAATACTCGTAAAGTGCTTAGCATAGTGACTGGCTATATACATGATATTATTATTATTATTATTTGATACCTCATTTGTTTCTTGTTTGGTTTTGTTATTTTTTATTATTATAACTAGAGCTGCTAGGAATTTTTTGTCTTTTTTTTTTTAACTTGTCAATAATCTCCTTGGAATATAGTACCAGCAATGGGAGTGCTAGGTCAAAGGTTTTACATTTTTCTAACTCTTATTGTTTCACATAATTCCAGATTGCTTTCCAAAAGAGTTGGACCAATTTTACAATTCTACCAGTCATGTTGATAGCATGCTTATTTCATTATAGCCTTGCCAGTACTGAATGCTGCTGTTGATTATCTTTGCCAATTTTATAGGGGTGGGATCTCAGAGGTGTTTTGATGTGAATTTCTCTGATTATTAGAGATTTTGAATTTTTTAGTGAGATTATTGTGAATTTATATTTCTTCTTTTGAGAATTACCTCTTTATATACTTTGGACAGCTTATCAAATGGAAAATAGCTTTTATTCTCATGGATTTGAATCAGTTCCTTATAAATTTTGGATGTCATAGTTTTATCTGAAGTATTTGATAGAAAGATTTTTTTAATATAATCAAATCTATTTTATCTTTTATATTTTTTTCCAAGTCACCCAGAGCTTGTTAACAATTTATTTTTTTTCACAGTTGTAAAAAACATAATTATCCCTTCTATTCTAGTTTGTTTTTTTTTTATGCGTGTGTGTGTGCCTTAAAAAATGTTTGCATTGTTGCCAATGGTATCTTGGTAAAAGTTTAACAACCAATTACATGAAAATAAAAATTGTAGCAAGGCAATTATAGATTTAATCTGCATTTTTAATATTTTCCCATACTTTCTTAAGTCTATAATTTTACTATATGAAGTGATGCAGAGTAAAGAAAGCAGAATCAAAAAAAAAATTATACATGTTGAGAAAAACCAGGTGGTTAAAATAAACAAAACAGCAAAGTAAGCCCTGTTATGTAGGGCTTGCACATTTCTAAAATATATACGCTCACACTGTAAACTTAACATTCAGGTCTTGGGCACTGGTTTCCATGCTGGTTCCAGCACATCTTTGGCTGAGTCATTTAAAATGGTGACAAGTTTTGGTCTGTTCCCAATTTTGTCAAATCACTATCTAGTTTTCCCTGTAATTTTTCCTGAATAATGGAATGCCTTCCCTAATGTTTTGTGGTTCTGTGTCTATCAAAAAACAATGATAACTGCACATACCTGATTTGGGCTTGTTGGGATTTAACCTATTCTAAGATCAAAATTTTTTTTTATTTTTTAAAATCAGTATCAAATAGTTTTGGTTGTTTTGGTTTTATAGTTTAACTTGAAATCTGGGAATACAAGTCTAGTCCCCCTTCCTCTTTTTGCATAATTTACCTTGATATTCTTTACCTATTTTTCTTCCATATGAACTTCGTTGTTTTGCCTAATTCTATAAAGTACACTATTGAACTATTGATCAGTATTTGTATTAAATCTATCAACTTATTTGAGAAGTATTTTCATATTTGACTACATTAACAAGGACTAATCATGAACACTGACTCCCGAGTAGTTTGTTTTTTTATTTCTATAAAAATTGCTTTGTTGTTGACTTGTATAAGTCCTGTGTAGTTCTTAGTAGTTTAATTCCAAGATAATGAATACATTTTTTAAAAAATAAATTTTTATTAATATCTTTTATTTTTACATTGTCTAAATTTCCTATGGTATCCCTCCCCCTCATAACTCCCAGAGGGCCACCCCATATAACAAATAATTTTTAATTAACATGTTTTCTACCATTCTTTTCTATTTGTTTTTCTGGTAAAATATAATTATGGTAGTGATTTTTGCGGATTAATTTTATACCTTGCTATTTTGCTGATATCTTTTATGTTTGTTTACTTAGAAAACCCAAGAGAATCATATTATCTGCAAGTAGAGATATATTAACCTCCTTTTTACCCATGAGTATTCCTTTAATTTTTTTTCTTATCTTATTGAGATAGCATTTTAAGGATTATGATATAAATATTAAAGTGATATTGTTTCTAAACTTGCTCTTGAGTTAAAATAAATGTGTTCTATTATGTTAAAGAAAAATTCTTCTGTTTTTATGTTTTTGGTGTTATTAAAATGATATTTTATTAATAGCCTTTTCTACATTTATTGATAAATTCTATTATCAATGATTATGTGAATTATTTTCCTAACATTAATAATAATATTTAATAATAATTAACTAATTATTTTCCTAATATTAAACCATCTTTTTGGTTCTAGTATAAATGCTATCTGATCATAAGGAATCAATTTTTTTGGAGAAATTATGCTGTCTTCTTTTTCACAGAGTAGAGGTGAACCTGGGTTCTTTTTTTCTTTAAATTTCTTTTATTTTTTTTTTTCCTTTTTTGCGAGGCAACTCAGGTTAAGTGATTTGCCCAGAATCACACAGCTAGTGAGTGTTATGTGTCTGAGGCAGGATTTGAACTCAGGTTCTCCTGACTCCAGGGCCGGTGCTCTAACCACTGCACCACTTAGCTGCCCCTGAACCTGGGTTTTTAAAGGCTATGCCAGAGGAAGGCACAGCTCTTGTAACTTTGACTATGTTAGAGAGGCTTCAAGTGTGGTACTAGCAATAATACTATATCTATTTTCCAAGGATCAGCTTTTGGAAAAGTAACAGGCTCGTAGTCAGTAGGATAAATGCCTTGTTAGGAATTCTTTGGCCATTGCACCCATGAAAAGAAGAAAAATACAGGATGGTCCTTAGCCCTGTGGGGTTCCCATCTGCTTCTTTATTGGCAAGGACTGAGCTGCAGAAGATGAGGCAAAAGATGCTAAAAAAGCACCCAATTGTCAGATAATCTTTAAATATTAATTTCATTCTAAATGTGAGGTTCTTGTGAGAAGCTGAGTCCATGCATTGTTAGGGAAAATTAATTACAGAAATCATGATATTCATTTTAAAAATAAAACTCTAAGACAAAAAGAAGTTATTGTTAAATGGAAGGGCAGTCAGTCAATAAACATTTTTTAAAAAAAGAATGGCCTGAGCTGCATGCCATAAATTTCAGTATGATATATCGGTGTTGTCATCATCTTTTAGATAATTTTTTATTGTTTCTATGATTAGTTTTTTTACTCCATCCTTCTTGCCAACTATATTTTAGTCTCCATTTAGGCCTACATCTATTTATCACATTTTCTTTATTGATTAATATTCCAGTTGAATTATAGCATGTGAAATTAATGTTAGCTAATTCTCCCTTTTTGTGTTTATTTGTAAGTTCTTTATGCCCCAGAGTCCGATAAATTTTTATAAATGTCTTGTGTGTATCTGAACAAAAATTAAATTATCTAATAAACCCATATCAGACCTAATTTTTCTGGCCTCCTTTTCAATTTTATAATTGATTTCATCCTTCTGTTTGATTTATACCCTGTAAGTGGGATTTTGTATCTTCCATTATTAATATTTTTCTCTCTGGATTCTTTTGTAATTACTTGTTCTTGTAAAAGTCCTCATAATACTCAAACTTTTTCTTGCAGCTCTAACACATCAAGTACCCCTTCCTCCTAAATACTGTCTCCTTTGTTTCTACAACATCGCTTCCTCTCTCTTGGTCAAACAGGTTCACACCTTTGTAATTATCTTCTCCTCATTCTCCCTGACTCCCTATATCTAATCTGCTGCCACGTCTTGTCAATTCTCCTTCCATAACATCCCCTGAAGCTGTCTTCTTTTCTCTTCCAACACAATCACAGAACCAGTTCAAACCCTCATCATCTCTTTCCTGGATTATTCCAATAGCCTCCTAATAGATCTCCCTGCTTTCAGTCTCTACTCTCCAATTCATCTTCTAACACAGATGTCAAAATGACCTCTCTAAAGCACAGTTCCGACCATGTCATTCCCTTGCTCCATCCTATCTTATTTTTATAAGGTGTGTATATATATATATATATGTATTTCTATTTTTAACCTCACATTTCCCTCTCCACATTCTATAGTCCAGCCTAACTGGTCTGTTTTACTTACTGTTCCCTGAACTCTGCACTCCAATTCCTGTTTACATGCTTCTCGACAGGCTGTTCCTCTTGTTGGGGTGTATCCCCTTCCTTTTCTTGGCATGTCTTCAAAGTTCATGTCAGCTGCTACTTTTCCCGAACTCCCTAGTTGTCAGGGCTCTTTCCTTTCTCAAATTATCTCCTATTTAGTTATCTGCATAAATACTGTAACCTCCCAGTAGAAAGAAGTTTCATCAGGGCAGGGCCCCGAGTTCTGTTTGGTCTTTGCATCCCACCCACCCCCAAGCCTAGCACAGTGACTAGGACACAGAGGCCACAAGCTAAATGCTTGTTGAATATGCCTTGGTTCCTTAAGTTGTTGATGTTCACCAGTTTCTCTTTAGCCACTGATGACAGGGCTATCACGTGTGATAAGACCCGGGCCTTTCTCTATCCACATCAGAACCCGCTTCCCTTAGTCATTATCCAGTTTGATCTACTTTATGTTTGGGGAAACTTCACTCCTTGGGCCATCCCTAAAGATGACTTGCTACTTCTCCCTTCTGGTAACATCTTCAGCATCTGCTAGACCAAAGTAGTTCATGTATGGAAGATATTTTTCTCTGCTGTTTATTTTCTTGCCCTTTTCTTTTCCTTACATAAAAGACCTTTCTCTTTTGATGCTCTTTAGTTGCTCTCCTTTAATCTTCTTTTAGCTACTCATGGGGTAGATGCGCTGGACTGTGGAGTGGGGACTCTGTAACCTCTTATTCCACCAGTTTTCCAGAACTCAACTTAAGTAATGTTCAGATATTTCTTTGGCCTCTGAGATCTTTACCTTATTGTAAGACTGAGAATCCAAAGTCTCCCTCTACTAAATATGATCATTGTAAACCTGAAGGTGCTAATGAACAAATTACTAATAAACAAATCCCATTTGGGGATTTCAGATGTGGGGTAGATATGATAGTTTATGGAAAAGTTAACATTGGATTATGTAATCAGGAAGGAAATCAAGTACATTTTAAAAATAATTCATTTTGGAGCTGCCCTTTACAAATGACAACATCTAGTAAATCAGAAGCAAGGGATCTAAGCTTTTTCCTAAGGTGGTCAATAAGATCCTGTTTACATTATAAAAGGTGGAGAAGTCCTCTGCTTCAAATTCTGATCTCACCCAAAGAGAGTTTTGGGAGTGCGACAATGTCCTGATTTGTCATATGTTACACATGGGTGACAACTAAGTTTCTAAACATTCCTTACAATGAGTCAAATACCCCTTTGAGGGAACTGGGTGGTGTTGTCTGTGTACCAGAGGTGTTCCCGTTACTCTTCCCCAAGAATATCTGTCTTCCAGTGGTTTGGAAAGAGTGCTTTTCATGGTGTGAATTTCCTGACTGCTCATACTATGCATGTGGCACCAATGTAAATAACCTAGAGGTCACCTATCAGAACTCATCTACTAAACCTGAGGAATCCAGAAAACAACTGCAGACACTGAGCAAACAGAAGACATTAGTCTAGAACTCTCTGGATTCATACCGGTGTGAACTCTCTTTGGGGAGGATAAACGATAATTCAGCTCCAACGTTGCTCTCCAAAATGGCATTTGGTATGTGATGATAAACCAGACGAGAAATGTCACTGGTATTACAATGAAGTTCCTTCACTATGATCATATGATACCCTGCACCTGAAAGAAGCCATTTAAAAGACTGGATGAAACCATATGGGTTTTTATAGTTCTCTTCCCTAGGCTGCACCTGACCTTAAGTTGCTTTGATCGGGTTAGCTCCATGGGAGATGAGATACAGAACTTCCTGCAGTTTGATTGCATGCAATACATAAAAAGCTAATCTCAAAAGGTCAGTATTGGTACTGAGAATCTTGTCTCCTATTCCTCATAAGACGGTATGGAAATATGACATTGGGGATGATTGGCTTAATAAAGAAACTGTAATTTGGAAAGAAGGTTGCCAAAATTGTACAACCAACAAGGAAAGGAAATTCCATTAGATTAATATTGTGAGTGTTAGAATTGAGAATAAAGGCATCTATAAGGGGGGGAATCCATTCTCTGGAACATTTATACACTCTCCAAGACAGATTTCTATTAAACACTAATATGCCTTATCTTCACAAATGTTCTGTCTACGGCCAAGGATCCAGGCAGGACCAAAGAGTGGGAAGTTCAGTGTAAGAAAGCCTTTCATTATCAGATTTCAGGAACTACATATGAAGTGAACCTCCAAAGTATTTTACTCAATATACTGGAGATTTGATGCTAACTTAGCAATGAGGAAAAGGAGTAGAGACACCCAGTTTTCCTCCCTCGTCCTTCTCACCGTATTTATGCTTGAGGAAAAGTGAAGAGCCACAACACTGCAGGTCCCCCTTGGCCATAATAGCAATTCGGTCCCCCAAAAGGTCAGCCTCATCCATAAAATGTGTGGTCAGCACAATGGTGCGGTCATTTTTCTGCTGCTGAAGGAGATCCCAGGTGGCTCTCCGTGAAATTGGGTCCATGCCCGAAGTTGGTTCATCCAGCATCACTACCTACAGACCCAAAAGGGACAGTTATAAGACTAGTCAAATGGTACTGTGCCACTTACCAAATCAGGTGGGGGTCTTCTCCTGTTGGTGAAAATGTTCTTGCCACCATAATTGTCCATTCAGGAGAGTACAGTGAATTTTACTTAGATACAGCAGCTAATATATGAGATATATTATGTGTTAGGTATTCACTTTTCTGGCTGAGATGAGAGACAGTGAGGTAAGGTCAATTGTCTAAGGAGAGACAATAGGCCCAAGACTAAACTAGAATTAGAGATCCCCTCACAACTATGACCACACTATACCAACCTAACTAATGATCTGATTGCTCACTGGGCATATCTTAGCAGAGTCTTCCTAGGAGGAATGCTCCACACCAGCTCACTTGGGTCTGTATCAGCTAACGGTTTTGCCAGGCTGCAGAGGGGACCTGGTTCCACCCAGTACTGTACCTTAGAGCCTCCTATGAGTGCGATGCCAACAGAAACCTTGCGTTTCATTCCTCCACTCAGTGACTTTGAAAGTGAGTGGCGTTTATTCTCCAGATCAAGAATGTTCAAGATATGATTGACTTCCTCAGGACATTTTTGTTCAGATAATCCTTTCATCTATGAGACCAAGTGAAGGAGAGAACTTTAGATGGGGACCTTCTGAGAAGAGCCTGACCTAGCATTGTAGAGTTGATAGAGCCCTGGACTTAAAAGTCAGGAGATGTGGGCTCATATACTGCCTCAGAGACTTACCAGCCATGTGAAGATGGGTAATCTACTTAACTATTTAATATCTCCCTTCCACCTCCTCCCCTGTCTGTATTGTTCTTTGAAACACATTTTGGGACCCTGTGAAGGTAGGAGCGTTGACTACCTCAAGCATGTGAGCAAGGAAAAAAAAGATATTTATTTCAGGCTCACCTGAGCGTAGAAGTAAAGGTGCTCAGCCACTGTCATGTAGTCAAAGAGGACATCATGCTGGGGGCATAAGCCTAGGCTCTTCCGGATCTGAACTATGTCACGTGAGATCTCATACCCACTGATATATGCCCGGCCACTAGTAGGTGGAAAAAGACCTAGGAAGAAGCAGAAGATGAGCCAGCACAGCATTAGTGACAGGACAGCTAATTCACTCTCCCTCAGCAATCAGAGATTAATGTGAGTGAGGCTGACCTCTTTAAGGATCCTCGTTTTTCATGACACTCCTCTCACAACCTTGGGAATTTCCACTGGCTGTCTTAATGCCTGCAATGTTCTCCCTTCTAAGTCTCCATCCCCGACTTCCTTGATGTCCTTCAAGTTCCAGCTAAAATCCCACCTTTTGCAAGAAGCTTTTTTTTTAAAATGCTACTGCCTTCCTTGTAAGATTATGTCTAGTTCATCTGGTCTATATTATCTAAACATAGTTGCTTGCACATTATTTCCTAACTTAGACTGTGAGCTTCTTGAGGGCAGGGGCCTTTTTGTTTTTTGCATTGTTTGTTTGTTTTGCCTTTCTTTCTATCCCCTAGAATTTGCCTGGCACTGGCAGGTGCTTAATAAATGCTTGTTGATATGACTTGACTTGACTTGACATGAATCCTACCCTTCTGGCTTGTTCACAAAGACTAGCTGAGTTCTCCTTTTTTGCAAAAGGAATATACTAGGGCCTGGGAGAAACACAACAGAAATCAGAGGAATGATCCCTAATTTTTATGGAGACAAAATACAAAATTGGTCAAAAAATTTTAAAAGTAACATATTTACAAGTACAAAGTTATTTTCTTACTAATTGTATTAAATATTAAAGGAAAGCAGAATAAAGACAACAATGGAAGAGGTTAATCAGGTAACACCAGAAGAGAAGTTCTGAGTTGGTTTTAAAGGATGTGAGAGACATGAAATACAATTTAAATTAAATATAATATAAAACATAATAAGAAGGGTTTTATATATGGCTTATGCAATTAATCTCATTAACATTAGTTGCACTTTATAGGTTGGGCATATGAAGTATGAGGAATAACATTCATAGGTTTAAGTGGTACGAACTTCCTGGTCATAGTGAAGGGACTTTAAGCAAAGTGACTTAGCTAGATAAAGGGCCTTTGGAAGAAAGGGATCTCTCTCATTACCTTAGACAGACTATATCTGAATATTACTCTGAGAATCACAGTTCCAGCAAATTTGGAAATTGTGTTAATTCATCAAATAGAATTTTAGAAAAAAAAACCCTTCAAATAATATAGTATGAGGATGATGGGTTTTTCTCTCTATCCTATTTTCTGCGTTAATCTTTCTGATCCATCCTCTTCACAGCTGACAAAATGATTTTTTTTCTTTTTGGTGAGGCACTCAGGGTTAAGTCACTTGCCCAAGGTCACACAGCTAGTAAACGTCAAGTGTCTGAGGGTAGATTTGAACTCGGGTCTTCCTGACTTCAAGGCTAGAGCTCTATCCACTGAGCCACCTAGCTGCCCCTAAAATGATTTTCTTAAAATGCAAGTCTGACCACGTCATTCCTCATCTCAAACTCCAGTGGTCCTTATTACCTATAAGAATAAATTGCCTTTCCAGCCCATTTAAGCTACACACCAGCATGAGCCTAACTCATACCTCATCATCACTCATAATAGTAACAACTTCATGACCAAGAACTTTGAAATTCCACTCTCTGACCACAATTTTCTCCTCACTCACACTAAACCCAAGCTTCACAATTATAATGATCTCTGGTTCCTGGAACCATTCTTATTCCCCCAGTCCATCTTCCTGTATGTGGTCTTACTCAATTCCATATCAAGCTATGACCCTATGGTCAGCTACTTCATTGATATACTAACCATTAACCTAGAATTCCCTGTTTCCCTTATATTCTGTTGCATCTGTCCAACAAAGCCACATCTTTGGGTAACCCTTACCAAGCTAATTTCTCTGCTTCTGCTCCAGAGCTGAGTGTCACTGGTGAAAAATCATACAATCAAGCTGATTTCACCCACTTCAAATTCATGGTACATAACCTCAGCAGGAACCAATGCTACTTTTCAATAATCTTCATATTCTACTCTTACTGATTCCCTGTATGTCTCCAAAGTAATGGAAATATTTTCTTATCTCCTTCCCTCAACGGACCTCCCAATCCCCATCCCTTCCAGCAGATGACCTGATCTCTTACTTCACAAGAAAACTGAGGCTGACTAATATCCTCTTCTTAAGTCCCCTACTTGATTCCTCAAAATTTCTCACTATCATCAGCTGTTCTTTCCGTGTTCCTTCTTGTCATAAAAGGAGATATTTCTTACTTTTTTCTAAGGCAAAACCTACACTGTATGCTTTTATAAAACAATCACCTTTTATTCTTAACTTAAGAAAAAAACACCAAATAAAATGGGTATTTCCAAATAAAGTAAAACAGAAAAAGAGGATACAAATGAAAATAAGAATCTGTTATGTACAGCTTGCCTTTCTTTTTAAGTATATGATAAATTGAACATATAATTTTCAAAGCTGTCCTGTTTATCTGGGTTTCTTTCTGTTATCTTTTATGCATTTAAAAATGTTTCAATAACCATTTTTTCTTTCTTCTGTGGTAGGCTATCTCATTCCTAAACTCCCTCCTGTCTGCCACCAAATTAAAGCAAAAATCAAAACCCTTGTAGCAAATATGAATCATCAAGCAAAACAAACTTTCACATTGTCTGTGTCTGAAAACGTATGTCTTATTCTTGGGTCTATCACCTCTTTGTCAGGATGTGGGCAGCATGCTCTATCGCTGGCCCTCTGGAATTATGGTTGGTCATATCATTGATCAGAGTTCTTGAGTCTTTTAAAGTTATTTGTCTTTACAATGTTGTAGTTATTACATAAATTTTTCTGGTTCACTATGCATCAGTTTATATAAGTCTTCCAGGTTTCTTTGAAATCTCCCCTTTTGTAATTTCTTCAGGTGTGATAATACTACATTACATTCATATACTCTATATGGGTACCCCTTTCCCTTTGTTTCTTCTGGTTCTTTGCTACAAAAAATGAGCTATTATAACTATTTTGGGCCCTTTTCTTCTTTCTCTGATCACATTGTGGTATAGCCCTACTAGAGGTTTTTGCACCCTTGATATAATTTCCCCCTCCTTTCCTACTTCCTCTAAGAACTAGCTCTAGCAGTCATTGCCTCTCTCATCAATCTTCAATGTCTCATCCTCTCTCTCTCTACCAACTGCTTCCATTGGCCTATGGCTATGATCTGTTCTCTGTAAACCTTAAAGTCTTCTGTCCAGACTCTCTTTTCTGCCCTTAGCAGAATCCTTCTAGCCTATCCAACTTCCACCCCCTCATCCCTCATCCCTTTCTGAAAACTTTTTGAAAAAGTTATCTACAACCAGTGCTTCCTATTTCCTTACTTCTTACTCCCTCTTCAAATGCCTGCTACCTGGTTTCTTCATCCACCACTCTCCTGAAATTGTTCTCTCAAAGGGCACCAATGGCCTTCTAATCGGCAAACATAATAGTCCTTCTCCTTTAATCATAACATAGATGATCATGAAGAGATATCTCCCCAAACAAGAATAGAGAGAGAAGATAAGAGGGCCCAGAACAGAGACTCAAGGTACAACCATGTTTAGGGGGCAAAAGAAACATCCAGCAAAAGATGGTGAAGGAGGGGAGAAGAGAGAAAGAGAAACAGAGAGCAGGACAGAGCAGGGGAGGGAGAGAGACACAGAGAGAGAGAGAGGCAGAGAGAGAGAGACAGAGAAAGAGAAAGCAAAAAGATAGAGGATCATAATCACAAAGAACAGAATTTCAGACTTGGAAGGGACCTCAGGGACCATGTAGTTCAAGAATTCCTTCAACAGCATCCTAGGCAAATGGTCATCTAGCCTTCCTTTAAAGACATCTGGTGAGGGGCAGCTAGAGGGGCCTCTCTAGACCAGGGGTTCTTCACCTGTCTTGTGTTATGGACCCCTTTGGCAGCCCGGTGAAACCTATGGATCCCTCCTCAGAATAATGTTTTTAAATGCATAAAATAAGAAATATGGGACTAAAAAAGTAAACCAATTATACTGAAATATAACTATCAAAATATTAAAAAAACAAACAAGTTTAGAGTTCAAATTAAGAACTCCTGTATTGGGGATAGTCTACTAGGGTCAGCTGGATGGTGCAATGGACAGAGTTCTAAGTCTAGAGTCAGGAAGACCTGACTTCCAGACGCCCAGGTGGCACAGACACTTATTAGCTTTGTGGCTCTGGGGCAAATCACTTAATCTCTGTTTGTCTCAGTTTCTCAACTATAAAACAAGGATAAATAATAGCATCTACTCTCCACATTTACTTGGACCACGGCAGAAAGAAAAACACTGGACACTCTATGAAGGTCACTGCAGAATTCTCCCTGACCTCTATACTCTCTAAAAGATGTTTCTTTAGTCTCTTAGTGTCATATAAGACGAGGAAGGAGAGAGTATTGAGGTGGAAGAAGTGGTAGTAGTCATCAGCTAGATGACAAGGGGTTAAAAAGCAAACGGAGTGGTACAAGGAGTGGTGAGAAAATGGAGTCTAGATAATGTTTCTTAGGATTTTAGCAATGAAAAGGAAATGGGATATAGATAGGATGAGACCCTGAAAAAGTGGCAGAGTTGAGTGAAGATTTTTTTTTTAGAGACGTGGGCAATCTTGGCACATTTGTAGATATCAGTTTGTAGATATCAGGGAAGGAGCTGGCAGATAGGGAGAAATTGAGGATGACAGAAGGAAGGCAAATTCCATGGGGCAAATTCCTAGAATAGACAGGAGACAGGATCAAAAACACAAGCAGAGGGGCAGCTAGGTGGCACAGTGAATAGAGTCTGGCCTTGGAGTCAGGAGGACCTGAGTTCAAATCCAGCCTCAGACATTTAACACTTACTAGCTGTGTGACCCTGGGCAAGTCACTTAACCCCGATCGCCTCACCAAAAAAAAAGAAAAAAAACCCCAACCCAAACAAACAACCACCAAAAAAAAAACCACACAAGCAGAAAGGTTAGCTTTAGCAAAGAGAACTAGTCCCATCTCTTCCTCCAAGATTGTAGCAAAGGAAGAAAGGACGGCAAAGCCAAGACAACAAGCATTTATTAAACATTTACTATGTGCCAGGAACACAAACATAAGTGAGAAACAACAACAACAATCCTTGCTCACAAGGAGCTTAAATTCTATTGAGGGAAGATAACATCAAGATAAGCTGAAAAGATGGACTAGGGGGAAGGGAGACACTGGCTAACTCATCCTCAGAGTGAGGCAAGAGAGGAAAGAACAGGAGATGATGCTGATGTCTCTGAAGTCTAGAATTCCCCAATAAGCTCTATGATTTCCACTCGCTGGGCCAATGCTTGTTTTTTTTTTTTTTTTTTTTTTTTTTTTTTTGTGCTGGGAATCTCACTGCTTCCTAAAAGCCGTTAAATTACTGTTAAATTAAATTACACTACTGTTAAATTCCTAATTATCCTTTAAAAACCAACTCAAATGCCACCTTCTCCACAGAGCTTTCCCTGATTGCTCTTTCCCTTCTGAATTAAAAAAAAAAAAGATTTGTATTAGAACTCCCTTTATTTCTTTAATATTCAATGGATCTGTGATCACATAAACGTGGGTACTCCATCCCCTGGTGGGGACTGTAACCCAGCTACCAGGTCCTACTTGTCCTTTATGGTTCTTGCATATGTTCTTCTATGGATCGTTTATGGGGGATTCACCCAATAAAGACTTTCCTCTGGGGCTTTTTACATTTTCAGGATACCTAGGGAGCACCAAGGCTATCCATTTGTTATCCCTTGCTTGAGACATGTCTCCTGATAACACATTTCCTTAATAAAAACCTTACACAATTTCTCAAGCACTGCTCATCCCTGGAAATATACTGCAGTTTATTTGTACCCTGCAGCAAGCTTTCTATTGCCCTCAAGGTCACCTGCCCATGTTAATTCCTCAGAGAACATGGTGTTCCAGGATTCACAATCATAAACAACTGTTGGAAGAACAATTATGTCAAAAAGACAGAACTTTGAAACAGGGGGCTGATTAGTAATATTAAGAGCAACGCACCATTTCCTAAATGCAATCCACCTCCCATTCAATTCAAGGTCCCATTCATGGTCCATCTGCAATGCACATCCCAAATATATGGATTACCTTACTAAATCAACTATACAGCTGCATGTTATAGTCTGGATAGATTTTTTTCAAGAATTAGGATTTTTTTCTGAATAGACTGTTAGACTGATCATGCTTAAAAAAATCACGGCACTCATTGTGGAAGCTTGTGATGTCATGGGGTTGGATGTAATTAGTATAGCATCATCCACCAACAGGAGCTTTGTAGGCTGTCATCACTGACAGGGAATCCCTCATTCACTTTCAACCTTGCACAAGACATCCTTTTTGATAGTGGCACACACCCTGGGTAAGTGTGCATTGTCCTGGTTAATGCCTTACCTAACACTGATAAACAGACAGTTGCTGAAGAGTTATCCCTGTGGTTGCATTTATTGAGGAGTTTTGTATGATCTTAACATGTGCTTGAGGGATTCTGGTTTAGAACAGTCTTTAAAACTATAGTTTATACCTATTGTGTCAAATGTTTTCTTACTATCAACCAAAAAAAACCCCAGTGGGATTTCATAATCCCACTGTGAATTCCGTGATGAAGAAGATATGATCTACTAGAAAGAAATGTCCAGTAAACATGCCTGTTCCCTTCTTACCTTTTTTTTTGAAAATCAAATATTCCTTTGATATACATATAAATCATTTCCATAAAATTTTATAAAGATGAGAAAGTAGGTATATGGGTCAGAGTTACAGATATTTTCTTGATTCCTTTTTGGGGGTACTGATTTTTTGTAGTATTTTGGTTTTTTTTCTCCTGCTTGAGTTATCTTGTAAATCAATCTCTCAACACTGTCAAGATTGTATTGCCATCGACATAGATTTCCTCATTGTGTAATTGGCCCGGTCCTGTTGCTTCTTCTGACACTGTCTTCCTAAGGGCCTTTTAAATGTTAAACTTCCAATTCTGGTGGTTTCTCTGCCATTGATAATTATAGGAACATTAAAAAATTCGCTACATTAAGAATGTATTTGTTTTCTTGCCATTTTCATCTGTGAAGACACTTGGAATGATGTAGTTCATTTTGGTTTCATGCCAAGCTTTCTTTAGACTTGTTTTTGCTTCTTTTTTTTTGGCTGATTTATAAGATGATACTGCTTATAATCTTCTATCATTCTGTATAGTGTCTTATAGATTTGCATTAAAATTGGTGATACCCTTGGCTACCATCTCTTTCCACTTTGCATGGAGATCAAATGTTTGTTGACTGAAGTGATTTCTAGGCTCATTTGGCCTCTTCCTTGTGACAATTACTTTATTTGGGCTCAACTTTTCTAGGAAATATTAACCATCAAAGTCTTTAATCTTTGGTGTTTACATTTTCTACTTTTCCACACTGGCAGTCCATTTGTACAGATCAAGTTGAAACTATTACAACTATTCAAATGTCTTTTATCTTTAGCCTTCAAATCTGATGTTGATTTTGAGCTGATTTTGATATGACTCCTAAATCAGTAACGGTCTGACTCTACAAATATTTACATGCAATGTTATATATGATGCTGCACTTATCTATGTTTGTGCCTTATCTCCCTACCTTACAATAAGCTTCATAAGAACAGGGATCTTTTCTCACTTAAACTTGGGATCTCTCCCAGTACCTAAGCACAGTAATCTATACACAGTTATGTACAGTTATTTAATAAATGTTTGTTAAATGAATAACAATGAAAAATACTGAAATAGAAACAACTCTACCTAGGCAGGAAAGAAAAGGCCTGGCGCTAAGTAACATCTTTAGATTCTAGAAACATGAAGGGCTGTCCAGATACTGACCTGTGAGGATGGACAAGGTGGTGGTCTTGCCTGCTCCATTATGTCCTAGGAGAACAGTGATCTGTCCCTCGTACATATTCAGAGTCAGGTCTCTTATTGCCTCTTTTCTCTTATTCCTCACCATAAACATCTGTGGAAAAGGTAGAGAAAGAGTAAATTTACAGAAAACTCTAGGACTTGTGAAGGGGTTTACAATAAGTTAAGCATTAACCAACAGCTACTATTAGTAAATACAATACTTCCCCCTCCCCCCATGTCAGGGTCTACCTCATTTAAAAATTAACCTCTGAATTGTAATAAATAAAATTCTGGTTCAGTGACCAACCCCAGAGAGCAATAAGAGATGTTAATCTGGATAATAGTGTCTAGGAGAGTATTATATGTCTCTTTCTTTTGCCCTACTCTGTTTAACATTTTTATTTATGTCTTTGATGAAGATATAGATGGAATAATTATGAAAATCTGAAGCTGATATAGAGCTTAGGGGGATATAATTCACATCAGATAACAGAACTAACATCTAAAGACAACCTGACAGGCTGAACCACGATGAAACTTAAAAGGGATAAAAAGACCTACACAGGGTAAAAAAATCAACTGCATGTATACAGGACGGGCACAAACTGATATATCACTAGTAAATTCTACTTAGGTGCTGCTGCCATCATTCCACAACATTCTCTCCAGCTGAGGGGAGGGATAAAGGGTTGGGTCCTTTATCTAAAAGCAAACAGAAAGCCCAGGCTAAGCTAGAGTTAAACAGTCCTTTGATCTCTTCAAAGGGTATACCTCAAGTGACAGTCTCCTTCTACCCCAAACAAAATTTTAATCTGTTCTCAGATTGCATCAACTGAAATCTGTTATTCAGAATGACAGAAATGATAGTCCAATTGTATTCTTTCCCAGACAGATCACAACTAGAGTACTATGTCTAGTTTTGACTGCCATATTTTGGGAAGGACAGTGAAAAACTGGAGGGTTTCCAGAGGCAGCCAGGATGAGGACTCAAAACTATACTTCAAAAAGATTGGCTGAAGGAACTTTCAATGTTTAATTTTGAGAAGAGAAAACTTAGGAAGTGACTTGATTATGGTCTTCAAACATTTGAAGGGCTCTTATGTGGACAAAGAATTAGATTTGTTCTGCTTGGCTCAACAAGACAGAACTCAATCCATTGGGTGGAAATTACAGAGAGGCAGATTTTAGCTTAACAGGAAGAAAAACTTTCTACCACTTTAGAGTTGTCTAGAAATGTATTATGTTACCCCAGGACTGAGATATCTTTCACTAGTGTTCTTAAAGAAAAGGCTGGATTACACTTGTTTGAGATCCTGTAGAGGGTATTCATACTTCAAGTTGCGTTAGATAACCTGTGGGGTCCCCTTTAATGTTGAACGATTAAGTGACAGTAAACCCAGAAGAGAGAGTTTAAGAAAACAGATATTTTTACTTCCTAGTGTAAAAGAGTATGAAAGTTTCATAGGAAATTGATTTGGAAGTGTTTTAGATTGAAGATATAAGGATATACAAGAAACCGTATGCCCTAGTTCTATTAATACAAAGGCTACGTCAGCAAGGAAGGAGAAAACTGAGGATGAAGAGTCTAAGGGCTCTGACAGATAAGAAAGAGTCAATGTCAATTCGGTTTGACAAATCCCCCTGTCCTTCAAGGCTCTGTATCTCTAGAACCGTGCTGCAACACTTCCCAGAGGGGATTCAGTTCAAATATTGAAATACAAAATTCTTCTCCTCCATCCATTGTACTTTCAGGTTTTAGCATCAAGTGAGACAAGGCATTGAAAACTTTTGAGAAGGGAGATAACACTCCTCACATACAAACTGACACAGATATTCACAGGTACAGATTCTCAAACTCGATTTTACTTCTCAAAGACAAAATTCTATACAAGTCATCATTACAGTCGACATAAAACTTACTACATTTACGGAGAAAAGATAGAAATATGTTGGTAATTGGGTGAACAAGTAATGATTTCCTTGAAGACATGCTCCCTCAACTCAATACATTCGTAAAAATTTTCATTCTTAATTGTCACAGAGTACCTTGGACAGATGCTTGATCTTTATTCCAGCTACTAAATCTTCAGGTTCAGCTTCAATGTACTCAGTTTTTAGAACTTTCTCAGGATCATCCTCTTCCTCCTCTTTTCCCATCATAGATTTTTGATTCCCACACCAGTAGGAAGGCTAAGGAAGAAATCAAAACTGGATCACCAAGATGGCCAACTAATGACAATAATGACAAATTTTACTGAGATCAGAAAAGCTTCAGTCAATGCAACAATAAAATCTTTTGAAGCAAAATAATCTTGAATTTGGTATATAAGAATATTGCATAAGAATATTAAACATTACTAAAAGTGTTATTATTGGTCAAGAAGCAGTGGACAAAATGAAGCAACTCTAGAATAAGGTTGTGGCCAAAATGGTAGCATAGGAAGAATTTCTATCAAATTGAGACAGGTTTCTTTACTTAGGCTGTTCCTAAGCAACTGATGAAGCAGAAGTTAAGGGAAAGAGATAGCTTTTCTCTATTATTCTATGGCCATGATTGTGGCCCAAGTAATCAGTGGAAGAAATAAGGTGGTAGGGGTAGTTTCTACCTTCAAAAGATCAAATAGTACCATCAGAACTCACCATTAAGAAAAAATACCAGGGCTGGGGCATACCATATTCTCCTGGAAAGACAGCTTCCACATACCAGGTCACCAAGCCATAGAAGGCAGAATCAAATAGCAGCATTAGCAACACATGCCCAAAAGTGAAGTTATCATCAACATTAACTGATTTCATGAGGTATTTCCATTGAATTCCCACTCCTGAAGCACAAAAGGGAAGATAAGTAGAATTATTGGTAGGCTAAGACTAGATCAGAGTTGTCCTAAAGCTTTCTGATCTCAAAATGAAGAATATAGGGCAGCCACAAGACTGAAAAATATGTAAGCCTGTTATCTGCCCTGTTACTGTGAATTATTTACTTCTTAAAGCACTCAGTAATATTTTTTTTGCTTTAGTTTCTGTTTTTAATTCAATTTTACTTTATAGTATTGTATTTCAGTTCTTTTATTCTCCCCCTCTCACTTTCCCTCCTCCACCTAATGAAAAAGCAAAAAAAAAAATAAATAAATAAAACCCATTATAAATAGTGTAGAGTCAAACACAACACATTTCCAAATTAGCCATGTCCAAAAACAAAAATGCACTCTGAGTCTATTACCTCTGTATCTGGAAGGGGAAAGCATGTTTTGTCATGAATCCTCTGGAATTGTGATTGATCAGAGTTCCTGTCTTTTAGGGTTAAATATTTTTATAATGTCATTGTTTTTGTATAAATTGTTCTGGTTCTGTTTATTTAACTCTGTATTAGTTCATCTAAGTCTTCCCAGGTTTTTCTTTTTCTTTCTTTCTTTTTTTTTTTAGGCAGTTGGGGTTAAATGACTTGCCTAGGGTCACACAGCTGTTAAGTGTCAAGTGTTTGGTATGAGGCCGGATTTGAACTTAGGTCCTCCTGACGTCAGGGCCGGTGCTCTATCCACTAAGCCATCTAGCTGCCCCTTCCCAGGTTTTTCTGAAAACATCTTCTTCATAATTTCTTACAGCATAGCAATATTCTATCACATTCATATATCATAACTTGTTCAGCTATTCTCCAATTGATGGGCAGTCCCTTAATTTCCAATTCTTTGCCACCATGAAAAGAGCTGCTACAAATATTTTTGCAGAGACAGGCTCTTTTTCTTTGTGCAATTGGGGTATTGGATCAAAGAGTATGCCGTTTAATAGCTTCTAGGTATAGTTCCAAATTGCTTTCCAGAATGGCCAGGTCAGTTTATAGACCCACCAACAGTGCATTAATATAACTTATTTCCCACAGCTCTTCTGGCAATATTCATTTATTTTCCTCTTTTGTCAACTTTGCCAATCTGATAGGTGGTACCTCAAGAGTTCTTTCAATTTAAATTTCTCTAATTATTAGTGATTTAGAGAATTTTTTGATAATATGGATTTACATTCTACAATTAAAGTTTCTTTAGTCTTTAAGTTGAGTTTGCTTTGAATATTTCAGGATTAACCCAAACCCACTAATTGACAATATTACCCTTACATTTAATTTTATAGTATGGGTATGTATGGTCCCCTTTTGGATATGTTATTAAAGATCAATGATTGGTCAAAATGTGTTTCAGTGAATTCTTCAAGAGTTTCTTCTGCTTTCCCTGTCTGCACTTACTACACTTCAGTACCTTACGAAATTGCTACTTGGGTGTTCCTCATGATGAATCCAATAGAATTTTTCATGGTATATTAGAACTAATCTCTGGACATAGAATGCTCAACTACACATGGTGAATGTATACTTTGAAGACTACAACCATACTAACTTTAAGAAAACCCAAGACAATTTTAAAAAGGAATACATTAGATTAATTCTTATTTACAAATGATTTGTATGGAAATGATAGTGCATTTTAGTGATTTTGTGTCATTATAAACACAACAGCCTATTAGACAGAGAGGTAGGGACACAAGAATAAACCATGAGCAATCAGTACTGCAGTGGTTCTCAAAGGGTATGCTAAGGATGCCATATTTTGACAAGTATGCTATGAATTATATGGAATTTACATTTGCATTCAAGTGTGCAAGCATGAATTTCCCAACTCTCCTATAACATGCTATGATTCCTAACAGCAGAGAATCATAATGTAAAGTGAGGCAAAAAAAAAAAAATTGAAAACTATGTGTTTTGTTGATTTCAGAAAAAATTGAAAAAAGAAGATAAAGCATCACTGAAGAGTCCTTTACTCCTCTGATCTACAGTGGACAATAGCCACAAGGGGATAACTTAGGAAACTACAACTAGGAACTGTCCAACTGTAGTTCTCAAAGGGTACAATTCATCAAAGAAGGATTCTTTGACCTCTGATTCCAGGTGACAAATTGTCCAAATGTATACTGTCTTAATGTACACAGTACATACATTTACATTTTAAAAAAATTAATCAGGTGAAGAACATTTCAGATGAGAGAAATGCCACTGGCAAGAGGAATTTCAGTTGAAGGGTTAAAGCCCAAACTACTTCCTGGCCTGCCTGGAAGTCCAGATGTGGAATTGCTGTTTGGACTGTGAAGACTGAAGGTCAAATCTGTTGAGTAGTTCCATATTTGCCTTTTGGGGAGAAAGTGGTAGAAGCAATGGGTTATGATTTATGTTTTGAATATCTGTTGGTGTGTGCCCATGAATCTTTTGTGCTTCAGGCATTTCCTCTGTGACAGAGGTGAGTGGCTGTTGTATACCTGATATCTACAATATGTGCAATTATTGTCTTTCTTGAGAGGACTCTGTTAATCCTTTTTGGGGAGAACTTGGACACAAACCATGCAACTCCAGTGTAGGAGCAATGAGGTAGAATGAACATGAGAAGGATCTGACATCCTCTCCCTAAGAATGGGCTTCCCAATGGCTGAAGTGGTCTATGTGCATACTGAGAAGGAGCTCATTTTACTTATAGTCAAATGAGATAATATATTTAAAGTACTACATAAGTGCTAGTTATTATTATTATTCGCTATTTTATGTACATTTAACATAATTGCTCTAAAAATTGAAAATGATATTGCCATCCCCTTTATTCAAATACAACCAGAACTGACCATCCTAGACTTATCTTTGACCCAAGGCAAGCTAATGCTCAAACTTCAGAGTAAACCTTTCAAATACCATGCCTGGCATAGAGTAGGTGCTTAATAAAAGTCTGTTGACAGAATGGAGACCAATCACTTTCTGCCTGGTTCCATTCAATCAAAGTACTAACCGCTATCATCACAAACTGTTTGTCAATTTCAGGGTGAATAACTATACCTCAAAAATTTTTTCATTCACCCAAGCAAAGAATAAAGTTTTTTGGTATCCTTTCTTCAATTGGATTCAGCAAACATTTTTAAAGCACCTGCTATATGCTAAATACTATTCAAGGTGCTGGGAGAGTGACAAAATTTATAAAAAACCCCATCCTTGCCATCAAAATCCTTAATGATCTGGTCTCGTGTCACCAGGAAAGACAGTTGGCCAAGTTATTTATAGAAATGAAGTATTAACACAAAGCTAAGGATCACTAAACTCCCACTCTTTTTCTAACTAAAAACCTGCTAGCGTGGGTTTCCTTTTAAGCAATGGAAAAAAGAAGTCAGTCTGCTATGAAAAATATTTAAACCAGCTGACCCTCAGTATAGGTTGGTCTCACTTTAAGGAAGATAGGTTCCTGAACAGTTTCTATGGCAAGTGAACACAGCTATATTAATGCATTTCCTCCCCCCAAAGCTTAATTTCATTGTTCATCAGGCTCCTCTCCTAACTAAAGGTCAGGCTTGGAAATAGATGGAGTTGATAACAGTTCTCTAAGAAGCTGTTTCTTGGGTTGGGCTAGACTTACATTTTTTCTTTATTTCATCCACTTCTCATTTTTATGTAGCCTTTCTGATCCTCCAACTGCTCGTACCCTCCCTCTCATATTTATTAACTTTACATTTATTCTGTATATATTTTCATATGTACCAGTTGTTTCCCCTAGCAGAATGTAAGCTCACTGTGAATAGGGATTGTATCATTCTTTGTATTTCTATCTCCAGCACCTCGCATGGTGCCAGGCCCATAGAAGGCATTTAATACCACTTGTTCACCGACTGATGGATTCTCAGTCACATGTGTTGTCTTTAGACTACCCTTCTCAGCTGCCTAAATCCTTTCCATATGCCTACGAATATATTCAGGTTTCCCTCTTTTTCTAAAAAGCCTTTCTGTTGACCATTCTAGTTCATCCAGCTACAATCAAATGTCTCTCTTCTTCCTGTTAAACTACTTAGAAAAAGTTGCCTACACTGGATGCCTTCACTTCCTCACCCCTAACTCTCTTCTGAACCTTGCAATTTGGATTCTGGCTCCACAATTCTAAAAGACTATCTTCTAGTCATTAAATCCAATTGCTGCTTTTAAAGTCTTCATGCACTTGAATTCTCTGCAGTACTGAACACTGCTGACCAGTTCTTCTTACTGGATACTATTCATCCCCTTGGCTTCAAAGAAACCACATTTTCTTGCTTTTCTTCCTAGTCTAGAACTGAACTCATCATCTTTCTCCTCAAACTGGCTAGCTCTTCTTCTTAACTTCCCTATCACTATTGAGGGTACCACCATCCTCCTAGTCACCCAGGATGTCATCCTCTATTTCTCATTCCTTCTCATCCCCACTCCCCCACATCACATCCGATAATTTGTCAAGTCTTGTAATTTCTACCTTTGTACCATCTCTCACATATTTCCTCTTCTCTCCTCTGACACTGTAACTATCTGAGTACAAGACCTCATTACTTAACACCTGGACTATTACAATAGCCTGCTGGTTAGTGCCACTGCCTCAAGTATTTCCATACTCTTTCCATACTTCCCATACATACATGCTTTTCATACTTCCATCCATTTTGCATTCAATTGAGCTCTTAAAATGCAGATATGACCACACATTTCAACACCGTACCCCCCACACCAGTTTCCTAATAGCTTCAAGATAAAAAATCCTCTGTATGGCTTTAAAGCCCTTCATCACTTGGTCTTTTCCTATCTTTCCAGTCCTTGCACTTTACTCTCTCTCCACTTACTCTGCAATCCAGAAACACTAGCCTCTTAATTCCAAGTGTTTTCACCCAATGTCCTCCATGCCTGCTTTTCTCTCCCTCCTCATCTCTGCCTCCTGGCTTCCCTGGCTTCCTCCAAGTCTCAGCCATCTTCTGCAAGAAGTATTTCCTGGTCCTCCTTAATTTCAATACCTTCTCTTTGAGATCACTCCTAATTTATCCAGTATACATCTTGTTCATAGATAGGTGTTGGCACGTTATCTCCCCATCATTAGGCTGTGAACTTCTTTAGAGCAGAGACTGGTTTTTTGGCCCTTCTTTGTATCCCCATTGCTTAGAACAAAGACTGGCACATAGTAGATGCTTAATAAATGCTAACTGAATGACTGAAATCACAAAAGAGAAAAATACTACTTGGAGCTATGATGGTTTAAAAGAGGACACACAACAGCTAACGACCAGAATATGGCAGCAGAGAGCATTCAGCTGAGCTGCCAGCTTGCAGCCCAATGACATCACCCGAGGACAGTTCCCCAGGGGTTCTAAGCAAGCATAGTGCTGGCTGGAGGCTGCAGAGTTCCAGTAGGGCTGCTGCTTTAGAAATATGAGTTGTCTAGGCTATTCGCCCCCCTACAAGTTCACTGGTCACTCATGTTGCTTGTAGGTACTCTCTCCCATTGGTGGTGTAGTAGCCACAAAAAAAAAAAAGGCTCTCTTGAGAGGATGGGGGAAATGTTTCTTTTATTATAATGCTTATTTAAAGGTATTTTGCTTTGAATCAACTAGTCTGCTGGATAAAAAAGAAACATGCCATTAGACAATTAGGGGCTGTGACTTGTTGATGCTGGCTTACCAATAGGTCCTGAACCTGGGGTAGCTTTAAGAGGACCTATGTGTGAGACAGGTCCTAGTTGATACACCTGGACTTCTGCAATAGCTCCCTACTTGCCCTGCTCTAATACATCCTCCATACTGCTATTTTAATACTCTTCCTTATGCACAGTCATATTTCTCCTGTGCCCAGAAATTTTTAAAGTTCTCTAATGTCTACCAAGTAAAGTTCAAACTACTCTTCCCAGCATTCAAGGCTCACTGTACAATACAGACAAACTGGAGCGCTGTCTTCCCACTCCCCATTTCCCTTGCCCCTAATATGTTCTGTTTTTTTCCCCACTTCCTTGTATTTATGCAGGTTTGTTTCAGCTACTGTAATGGCACTCACTGCCTAATGTATTGCAAACTTATCCTTTTAAGCTCAAATCAAATGCTATTTCCTCTGTAAAGATAGTTGTTCTGTATCTAACCCTCTTCTCTATATTTATATACTCACTACCATTGTTTGCAACTGCAGGATGCTGGATAGAACTTAAAAATAATAGTTCATAAATGGCTGAATAAAAGAATGCTACAATGTTATGAGTAACATGAGGCATACAAAGAAATTTGGAAAGTTATACAAAGTAATGCTACTTGGAGAAAACAGAACCGGAAGAACAGTATGCACACAGTCTACAACTATTTAAAGGGAAAAATGAATATATAGATATAGAGAAGAATGGGCAAAAACAAAGGAAGGGAATACAAAGAGAAGAATTACTATGGGAACACTGTACATTGAAATTAATTTTAAAGTATAAACTAATTTCTATGACCACCATCAGAAATGTTGTAAGCAGAACTTAATTTTAAGTGTAAATTAAACATATAATGCTTAATCAGTTTTATTTTTTAAAGTCAGGTGAATGATAAATATAGCTAGGCAGCCAGGTAGCACAGAGGATAGAGTGCCAGGCCTGAAGTCAGGAAGATTTGAGTTTGAAACTAGCCTCAGACACTTACCAAGCTGTGTAAAACCCCAGAAAGTTACTTAACCCTTGTTTGCCTCAGTTTCCTCATCTGCAAAATGGGGATCATAATAGCACCGACCTCCCAGGGTTGTTATTAGAATCAAATGAGATAAATAATTATAAAGTGCCTGGCACTGTTCTAAGTGTTATATAAATGTTAGCTATTATTATTATTAATAATAAATTAGATTGAAACCTATAAACAAAGTGTTGGAAGAGACCGTAGGGATTATTGGTGCAGTTCCCTCATTTATAGATGAGAGAGGGGATGTGATTTGTTTAAAGACAAATGGCGAGATAGGCAATGGTAGATTCAGGACCAAAACCCGGGTTCATAGAAACATAGGATTATGTCTACATCAAGAACTGGAAGTGATCTCAGAAGCTATCTAATCTGAACTTCTCATTTTATGGACAAGGAAACTGAAGCCAAAGAGACTTAAATGATCACAAGATCACAAGGAAGTAATTGTCAGAGGCAAGATTTGAACCTAGATCCTATGACTCCAGAGATCTTTCTGTTGTGCCACCTCCTGAAGGGGTCTTCTCTTCAAAGGACATTTGTTGGACAATATTGGAGAGCAGGCGGCTTTGAAGACCACTCAAATGGTACGCTCAAGGGGCACTTTTAGGTGCTGCAGATGTGAAGGGTCACTCATACTTTATTAAATGTGTTCATTAATATTTAATAATTAATCAATAATATTCATTAATATTAATGTTCAATAAAAATGAGTTGAACGAAGTTAACTCATACTGAAAACTTCATGCTGTCATTGTCTGCCATTGGTAGCAAAGGCAACAATTACAAAAGAGAATACTCACCTTTTGCTTCAAACTTGCCTATGAGCTGGGCCCCCAAAGCCATAGCAACATTTGAGAAGAGACAGGAAGATAACTTTTGGTTGAGGGTCATCCAGTTGTATCGAGGACCAATGAAGAAGTAAGGAATATACGTAAAGAAATAGAGGAAACCTCCTATGGCAGCTGCCAAATTGGCTGCAAATGGGGAAAGAACGAGAAAGAGATTAAGCAATGTTCCAAGAACAGAAATACAAACATTTCATAATAACAAGAGCCCTATACATCTATCAAGGTTTTTAGACGAAATCCAATCCTCCACTTAAGAAGCAAAGTGAACCTTTTTTGGAAATTAGTCTTCCATAATACAACAATCAAGGAAATTTATAGCCCATTAAAAGAGAAGCAAAACACTTCCATTTAAGAAAGTTGTCTCATGTTCTCCTGCTGATTAAATTAAACACAGCAAGACAAAATAATCACATATTACTTGCATACCAGAAAATCATACTGGCAAACTCCCATCTTACCCTGGACAATACTTGGAAATCCTATCATAGTCCCTTTATAGCCTATTCCTCATAGGCAATCTCTCCTCTCCATTCCTTAATTACTTTTCTCCTCCCCTCCCTTGCCTCAACCTCACCACATATCACGTCCTACTTCACAAAAAATTATTAAGGCCATCCTCTATGAGCTCTCTTGTATTCCACAAGCTTTGCTTCTATAGTGATGTTTTCTTCCTTCTGTCCTGTCTAGAGTAGGGAATACACTATAAAGAGACTGACAATATGACCTTTCATTCTGTTGCCAAATTTCTTGAATAAGAGCTCTAGACTGACGTCTTCATTTCTTGGCCACATCCTTCTTAATAAATTCCCTACCAATGGACTTCTGTCCCCTCGACCCTACAGAATAGCTATCTTCAAGTAACTGAAAGGCATCAACTTGAAACACAAGTTAGATGTATTCCACCTGGCACCAAAGGGCAGAACTAGGAGAATGGGTGAAAACCGAAAAGAAATAAATTTAGGCTCATTTTAAGGAAATACTTCCTAATAATTAGAGCTATCTCAAAATGAAATGGGCTGTCTTAGAATGGCAAAGTTAATATTTTTTAGGGGGAGAGCTTTATCTAAATTTACAGAAAACACAATTCTTTCAGATAGGTCTAGTTATATACCCTTGGTGGGTGGGAACAATATCCCAAGGCCTCATCCTGGGCAGGTGGTTGTTATTGGTTTTTTTTTTTTCCTTAAAAGGTACTGAAACTGTCATCCAGATTTAATTGGCTAAATGGAGGAAGGCTTGGGCTGCTGACATAGCTTCCTGGTCTCTTTTATACAAAAACATGAGGGGTTTTGAACTCTTGCCTTAGGCTTAGGACCAAAGACCAGCTGTATAACCAACAGAAGTACAAGAAAGCTGTGCTCAACCAAATCAATTGTATCTTCGATGAATGTGAACTTTAAGAAAAAAGGTTTGAAAGCTTTTAAGAATGAAGTTCTGAAGACACAAAGAAAAACTATTCTGATGAGGAAGAAAAAGAAGAGTTATCTTAAGGGACCTATGTGGATGGTAAAATCACCACCCAAATTTTTAGAAGTCATATACAGGGGAACAGATTAGATACATAACATACAGAAACAAACATAGTAACATAGTGTTAAAAAAGAAACAAAACAAAGAATGAAACTATTAGGCTAATGACTCATTATCTGACAGAAACTGCTGAGAAAACTGGACAATAGTTTAGCAGAAATTAGGGTTACAGCATGATCTCTCACCATATACCATAATAAAGGAACAAGGAAGGAAATATTTTTTGGGTAGGAGAAAAGTTCATGACAAGACATTGGATAGAGAGGTCACAGAAGACAAAATATACAATTTGTTGTTGTTGTTGCTTTTTTAGGCAATTGGGTTAAGTGACTTGCCAGAGCCACCCAGCTAGTAAGGGTTAAACGTTTAGTCTGAGGTCACATTTGAACTCATGTCCTCCTGACTTCAGGGCTGGTGCTCTATCCACTGCACCACCTAGCTGCCCCCCAAAATACACAATTTGATGACATAAAATTGAAAAGTTATCACATGTATAAAAATCAATGCAATTAAAATCAGAAAGGAAATAGCTGGGAAAAATCTTTGTAGAGAGTTCCTCTGATAAAGGTCTGATATGTAAGACATACAGAAAATTGATTTAAATATATAAGAACGATAGCCACTCCCATTAGATAAATGGTCAGAGGATATGAAGAGTTAGTTCTCAAAGGAAGAAATTCAAGCTATCAACAGACATATGAGAAAATGCTCCAAATCACTAATAATTTTTGAGAAATGCAAATTAAAATGATTCTGAGGTTCTATCTCATACCTATCAGATTGGAACAGATAACAAAGTAGGAAAATGACAATTGTTGGAATGGTCATGGGAAGGATATCCTGCTGCACTGTTGGTGAAGTTGTGGGCCAGCCATTCTGGAAAGCAATCCAGAACCGTGCCCCTGGAGTCATTAAACTCTGTATACCCATTGCCTCAGAGATACTACTATAAGGGCTACAGTCCAAAGATATCCAAGAAAGAAGGAAAAGATGCCTATGTATAAAAATATTGATAGTAGCTTTTTTGTTTTAGCAAAGAAATGGAAAAAGAGTTGGGGGGTGGTGCCCATTACTTGAACAATGGATGAACAAATTAGGGTATGTGAATGTAATGGAATATTATTCTACCATAAAAATGATAAGAGGGACAGTTTTAGAGAAAGCTGGCAAGATCTATATTGAACAGATACAGAGTGAAATGAGCAGAATCAGGAGAACAATTCATACAGTAATAAAAATACTATAAGACAAGATAATACCACTTGTTTTTACATGAAATTAAATGTTTTATTAAAAACCAAATACTGAATATCAATATAAACAATTCAGTTTTCATACTGACTCCATATGCTTTAATTTCAGTACATAAGATGTCAACACTTTTCCCATCAGCCCCCGCCCCAGTCCTGTTCAGAGTTCTAAGTCGTTTTAAAAAATTAAGAACTCAGATGAATGTAATGAATAGCCCTACAGGACTAATAATGAAGTATGTAGCCCACTTCCTGACATAGGCAGTGTGACTCAAGGTACAGGATAAAACAGATATTTTTGGACATGGCAAATGTTTGGATTTGTTTTGCTTGACTATGTTTACTGATTACAAGGATTGTGGGTTTGGTTTTTTTTTTTTTATCAAGAGGGAGAAGGGAGTTAACAACAGTAATGCTACAAAATAAACAAGAGAAAGAAAAGATCATTAAAACATTTTTCAAAATTCAGTAAAAGAAGTAAAATTAGAAGTAAAGTAAAAGAAGTAAATTTAGAAGGAAACACAAACAGGACAACTTTGAAAGTAACATGCTGAATATACATTTTAAAAACTGTAACAGATTTGTGATTTCACATGTAACATTCTTTTTCTGTTCTACTTTGTATACAGAAATGTTCTTTATAGGAGTTCATTACATTCAGAATTCTAAAAATTATAAAAAAAATTGTAGAGTTGATAGAAGCAAAGGCAGGCAATAAGATTAATACAAAATCAAAGCTTAGTTCAGTAAGAATGTTAGAATACTAAAGCTCCAAATGACCTAATTGCCAAGGAAAGATAATGACAACAAAAAGGGATTTTAAAAGCTATGTTAGGGAAAAAAGGAGGGTCAAAATTGGCTCAAGTTGGACTGGATGTTGATAAGCGAAGACAAAGAGAAGACCAAAGTTCAATTCATTTTTTTTGCTTTTCTCCACCAAAGAGAATAAACTTTGGACTGGAAAAGACAAAAAAAATATGGCAGATAAGAAGTACACACACAGACTAAGTGAGGAAACAGTAAGAAAGCATCTAACCATTCTTAGGGAGTTCAAGTCATTGGGTACAGAAACACTATCAGTGATCCATGAGAGACCATGCATAATGGATCTGAGGATTGCAAAAGGACAGTGTCATCCAAGCCCCCAAAAGGAAGAAAGTGAAGTGTCTGCAATCTCTGAGTAACTGAACTTGACTTAGATTCATGGCAAAATTATAGAACATATAATTATAGGGATGGATACTTAATATCAAGAAAAGGGACACAGTGACTACAAAGATCCAGCGTGACATTATCAAGAACAAGTTGTGCCCCAAGAGCATAAACTACTTAGGGACTTAGACTTTCCTGTTGGGAAAACTGAAAGCAGTTGAGCAAAAAAAATGAGGTTAGATCAGCATCTTATATCATATAAAATAGTAATTTCCAAATGGATACTTGACTAAGATATAAAAAATTACATAATTTTAAAATAGATGGAAGTTATCTTTGACAACTACAATTACAGAAAGAATTCTTACAAGGAACAAGGGACATCTCAGAAAAGTTTAAAAAAGATCATTTTGCTTACATGAGGTTGCCAACTTTTTCAAAATACAAAATCAACACAGCTTATATAAGAAGGGAAATTGTCAATTGGAAAAAAATAGTGTTTCTTCAAACGTCTGATATCTAAGAGATATAGGTAATCATAAACATATAAAGATCAAGAGTCATTCCCCAACAGATACATGGTCAAATGATATGAACAATTCACAAAAGAATAGCAAACTATTAACAGCCATGTGAAGAACTGCTCTGGATCCCTTATAATAAGAGGAACATAAATCCAAACAACTTAGAGGTTTCATCTCACACCCAAAAAACTGGCAAAGATGAAAACAGACAAAAATAGTCAATGCTGGAACAGTTGCAATGTGAATTGGACCAACTATTCTGGAAAGTAATTTGAAGTTATGAAAAAGAAGACTAAAATGTTCACGCTCTTTGACCCAGAGATCCCTATGCTAGGCACCCCAATCAGGTCAAAGAAAGAAAGGTTCCGTATGCAGCAAAATATGCACAGTAGCACTTTTTGTTGTAATGAAGAACTGGAAACAAAGTAGGTACCCATCAACTGGGGAATGGCTAAACAAACTGTTGTACTTAAATGTAATGGAATATTATTGTACCATAAGAAACAATAATACATATGAAGAATTCAGAGAAGTTTGGGAAGACTTAAATGACCCATGCAACGTGAAGTAAGCAGAACCAGGAAAATAATATATACAATGACTTAAAAATGTAAACTGAAAGAATAATAAGAAAATGCTGAATATTGTGTGATATCATAATGGCCAAGCTTGGCCCTTAAGAGAAGAGCTGAGAAAATGCAGTTCCCTCTTCTCTTCTCACTAGAGCAGTAGGGGACTATGGATATGGAATGTTCCATGTGATGTTTAACTCAGCTGATGTTGGTTTTGCTAAACTGTTTTTTCTTTTGCTTTCTTAACTTTTATTACAAGGAAGACTCACTGTGTAAGGAAAGTGGGAAGGATTATATCTGAGGGAAGAATATATAAAAACAAAAGATGCTAGTTTTTTAAAAAAAGAACAGCTGTGCTGGATTGACTTCATTTCCTTTCACAATGTTATTAGATTAACAGATTAAGGGAGCACTGTAGACCATGTTTTTCCTAAATTTTAAACTAAGCATTTGATAAGTCTATGAAGCTATTCCTATGGACAAGATAGAACGATGTTGGCTAGATGACTGCACAAATAAAGTATATTAGGAACAGGATGAACAGCAACACAAAGATATTCATTAATGGTTTGATGTTGACTTGGAAACAAGTCTCTAGTGGATTGCCCTCAGGGGTTATGTGCTTGGCCCAGTGCTGTTTCTTTTTTCTTTTTCTTTGCAAGGCAATCAGGGTTAAGTGACTTGCCCAGGGTCACACAGTTAGTAAATGTCAAGTATCTGAAGCCAGATTTGAACTCAAGTTCTCCTGACTCCAGGGTCAGTGGTTTCTCCACTGTACCATCCAGCTGCCCCTGTCCTGTGCTGTTTCAAAGATTTATAAACGAATCAGATAAAGGCACAAACGGACTGGTGAATGACAAAGATCTACAAAGATCCTAACAGGCTAGAATGTTGGACTAGATCTAAAAAGATGAAATTTAAATAAATGACAGAGATAAATGACTAGTCTTAAACATTGGTTTGAAAAAAAACAGTCTTACCCAGTGTATGATATGGCTTGAAAACAGTTTGTTTGAAAAATCTGGGGAGGTTGAGTGCAAGGTTCAATCTGTGTCAGAAGTATGATATGGTAGCCAAGGACAGGATGATTAAGAATAAGGAAGTGATAGCCACACTGAATTCTGTTTTGGTTAATTAATCAATCAATAAGCATTTATTAAGCACCTATTATGTGCCAGTCACTGAGTTTAAGTCACCACTTGTTGGGCATGTTGCAGAGGTAACTCTTCTTCAGGTATGGGGCACTGAACTCCCAACTCCACAATTCTGTGATTCTGTGAACAAATTCCCTTTAAATTCCCTTTCTATGATCCTATGATTAAGAGAGCACAATTATTTTCCTCCAATTTTTGAGATGAGTTAACACACTCATAACCACATAAGAATGAAAATTTGACTCTGGGAGAACTGAATGGTCCTCAACAATCTCAGCTTCTTGTACGTGAAAACTGCAAATCACTGGGATGCTGTACAGAAGGGGCCCCTCACAAACTCATTTCCATGATATCTCTGGGAGATACAGAATTTGATGGATTAGGGCCCCTAGACCCACTCACCTTTATTGAAGAAGGTGCTGACCATAAAACTGAAGGAAATGGAAGAAATGGCGAAACATATCAAAAAGACAAATATCAAAGATGGGTCACTGTTGGTGATCACTGCAACGTCCTCTTCCACCTATAAAACATTCATTAAACCTGTTTAGTCATATGGGTGGAAGTATGCCAATATGATGTAATCAAAATGATCTATTTTCCCTTTTATGATCACCTCATTCTCTTGTTTAGCTAGTCCTCCCCCTAGCCATAGGTGTAAAGGTACTCCTCCTTATTCTCCTGGAATTTTTTTATGCTGTGATCTTTTATATTTAGGCCATGTATCCATTTGGAGCTCGTTGTGATACAGAGTATAAAAAGATGATTGTTGGTGTGAACCTAATTCCTACCAAATTGCTTTCCAGTTTTCCTAGCAGTTTTTGTCAAATAAGGAGTTCCTGCCCTTATCCTAAGATAGAGTTTAACTCAATGCTACACTAATGTATTTGGTTGTTTTGCAGTCTTTTTTTTGTTTAATCAATATTAGTTTTGATGATTTATGCTTTATAGTGTAGTTTGAGATCTAGTATTGCTAGCCTCCCTTTCATTCCTACTTTCTTTTTACCATTTCACTACCTTTTTTCCCTTTAGATGAATTCTGTTATTTTTTTTTTGTCTCATTCTATGAAGTGGAACTTGGTAGCTTGACTGGCAAGGCATTAAATCTATAAATTAATTTAGGTTGTATCACCATTTTTGTTATCTTGCTATGGTCCAACCACAGACAATGGATATCTTTCCAATCATCTAAGTCTTTCTTTATCCCTATATAAAGAGTGTTTTATAGTTATATTTGTCATCTTGCTTGTTTAGGTTCCAGATATTTTATGTATTTTGCAGTTATTTGGAATGTAAGTTCTTTTTCTATCACCTCCTGCTGGGTTTTGGTAGCAATATGTAAAAATATTGCAGATTTTATGAGTTATTTTATATTCTGCTACTTTAATGAATTACTAATTGTTTCAAAGAACTTTTTTGGTTTTGTCACCAAAATTCCAGTCACATGTATAAGTGATGAAAAGAGGAGATGGGATAGAAAGCATAACCTGTTATTTAACATTACAGTACTCTATTGCAACTAATTTCTACTTTAGTAATTGTTTCCCAAGAGACATAGCAAATAATAGGATAAATGTTTATCCAACACCTACTACGTATGTCCTAGGCACTAGGCTAGGTGCTGAGGATACAAATACAATAGTGAGGCAGTTTCTGACCTCAAGGAGCTTACAGTCTACAAGGGGGAGAAACATTCACAGATAAACACAAGACATATGCAAATATATAGATATAGATATAGATACAGATAGAGATACAGATAGATGGGAGTGGGAAGAGAGAAAGGATAAACAATTGGGGAAAATTAAGAAAGGTCTCTTAAAGGAAGTGGTATTGGAACTAAACTTTGAAAGGCTTAAGTGGTTCCAAGAAGCAGATGGGAGTACAGAGAGTACTCTAGGCTACAGGACAACGTCTTTGCCTATAAGGCATAGATAAGACACGAGGAGGGGGAATGTCCTTAGAGGAAAGAATAAGTAGTCTTGTTTGGTGGGAGCATAGTATGCATGAAGGAGAACAATGGATAATCTGATTAGAAAGACAGGCAAAAAAAAAAGAAAGAAAGAAAGACAGGCAAGAGCTAGGTGTGAAGGGCTTTCAATGCCCTTTATTTTAAAAATAATTTTTTATTTTATTTTTTTCCCCCAAAGCAATGGGGAACCACTAAAACTTCTTGGACAGAAGTCAGACCACACAGTCAGATCTGAGCTTCAGTGATATCAATTTGGCAGTTGTGTGAAGAAGATGGATTAGAGAGGGAACAGACCAGAAAAGAGAAGACTAGTTAAGAGGTTATTGCTTGGGGACAATGGTTCAGGAGAGTTCTCATGCTATTCTACAAAAAGAGACTAGTTACTAAAAAAAAAAAATCTCCTTAAAAAGGAAAAGAAAAAATAAGACCAAAAGATCTGAACATGTCATGGGAAAATTTTATAAATAGGAATTTATTAAAACTCTATTATATTTTTTAAAGGGACGACTGCAATAACTCAGGAAAGAAATGATGAAGGTCTGTATTAGGATAGTTCTAGTATGAGCAGAGAAAAGGGGGCAGATGCAAAAGATGTTGAGGAGGCAGGATTAAAAAAAGACTTGGCAACTAATTTGATATTGGGGATGAGTAAGAGTGAGGAGCAGGGATGACTCCTAGGTTGCAAACCTGGGTGACTGGAAGAATTCTTACTTTTATATTTTCCATCAGCTATCACCTTCATCACACTGAGCCCAAGCAAAGCTCCCCTCTCAATAATCAAATTCAAAAAGCTGGAGAAAACCAAATACTTGCCTTGATACAGAAAAGCACAGTCATAAAAAAGATGGTAAAAAGTAGGAGGAGGAAGAATGTGAGGAACCAGGCAATCCAGTGAAGCCAGTTGCTGAGTCCCATGATGCGCATGTACTCCTGTGAGGGGTGAAAAAGAAAGCAAACATTACAAGATTCGACATTTTATCTGCTGTTGGATTAATATGGAAAACGATTCCCTACATCCTGGGAAAACTAAGATGAAAGGTCTCTGTGATGCTTCTTTACATCTAGGATTGGCAATTTTATTTTAATGCTTATATGTAAGTATGTGTGCAATTAGGAGAGAAGAAAGAAAAATGAAGACCATCAGTGTCTATAGAACTTTGGAAGAATACAGGTAGGTTCACCTCTTAAAGTAATTCACATTTTTTTTTTTTGGTTTTGTTTTTTGCTCGGCAATGGGGTTAAGTGACTTGCCCAAGGTCACACAGCTAGTAAGTGTCAAGTATCTGTGGCCGAATTTGAACTCAGGTCTTCATGACTCTAGGACCTGTGCTCTATCCACTGCACCACCTAGCTGCCCTTTAAAATGGGGGGAAAAATCCTTCAGAATCAAGAACATCATGTAATGACTTAGCACGCTTTGCTCCTCAAAGATTTTAACATCTGCTGTCTTACTTTGCCCTGTAAAATAGAGCAGGGATCACCTCCATTTAATAGATAGAAAACAGAGGCACAGAGGATTTTGTGTGTGTGTGTGTGTGTGTGTGTGTGTGAAAACCACAGGCACTCCATGATGAAATGGCTGATGCACCAAAAAATTCAGAGAACTTCTCTACTAGGCCAGTTATGAAACTCGAATTTCCCCAAATGAGCATGCTGTTACTATTTCATGCACAGAAAGGGAATGCTTGGGATTTCCAGCATTTCTCAAATCACACAACAGTAAAGAAACAGCAAGTAGATTTATAAAATCCGAAGACTTAGAAGGTAGCTTAGGGGCCATATACTTTAACCTTCTACTCAGTGTAGGAAGCCTCTCTGCTACATCACTGGCAAGGGATTAGTCAGCCTTGGTTTGAACATTTCCAATGACAGCAACCACTTTACCTCATGGAGCACCCCACCGCATTTCTGGACAACTCTAATTAGGTTTAATTCAGTTCAATGTTAAGTACCTCCTATGTACATAGTAAATATAAATGGTACTTATTAGGTGAAATACCAGCATACAAAGAAGTATAGCTCAAATGTTTAAAGTCTGATGTCAGAAGTGAAGACAGATACACTAAGATATTAATTATAATATGCTATATGCATAGAAGAGGCACAAAGTGCTAAGACAGATTCTTAGAAAGTTCTACCTCCCAACAGCTCCGCCCATTGCTCCTACTTCTGCCCTTTGAAGCTACATAAAACAAATCTAATATCTATTTCACATAACTGACTTTTAAATAACTTAAATATCTGATGCCCTATGTATTATGTCCTCTTTAAATCCTTTTTCAAGCCTAAACATCTATGATTTATTCTGAAATTTTTTCTTTTTAAATTAAATTTAATGATTTTTGATTAACAAAAATCTATTTTTGCTACCTCTCCTCTCTCCTCACTCCAATGGGAAAAAAAACCCCAACAACCTTGTATCAAATTTGAAGAGTCAAGCTAAATGAATTCCCACATAGCCATATCCAAAAAATGTCTCATTCTGAAACTATGAACTCCCTGTTGAGAGTTGGGTATCATTCTTTATCCTCAATCCTTTAGGATCACGGCTGGTCATTGCAATAATCAGAGTTCTTAAGTCTTTCAAAGTTGTTTAACTTTACAGTGTTGTTACTGTATAAATTGTTCTTCTGGTTCTGCTCACTTCACTTTGCATCAGCTCATACAAATCTTCCCAGGTTTCTCTAAAACTGTCTCATCATTCTTATAGCTCTGCAGTATTCTGCTACATTCACATACCATTATTTGTTTAGTCATTCCCAACTAATGGGCATTCCCTCAGTTTCTAGTTCTTTGCCACCACAAAAAGAGATGCTTGTACATGAGTCCTTTCCCTCCTTCTATGACCTCTTTGGGGATCCATCAGCAGCTACTTTGATAGGACAACATGGCTGATGGCAAACCCTTATCATCTAGGTCTGTCCTCCATGAAAGTACTTCTTGTTTATTAATGTCCCTATCAAGAATGGTACCTAGAATTGACCACAATATTTCATACATAGTTTGATAAAAACAATATCTTTTAATTGCTTAATCACCAAACAAGTATTTTTTTAAGCCTCTTCTATTTATAAGACGACGTATTAGGCATTGGACTAAACATCAGAAGCAAAAGGTCCTCCTATCAATGAGGGCCTTTATTATTTTAACAGAGGGGACAACACATATCTACACAGGTATATACAAATACAAAGCAGACATAAACAAGATGATTTCAAATGCATGGAGGGTACTAATGTGGAATAAGGCTAGGAAGGGAAGATGGGGCCAGGCTGCAAAGACCTTTAAATGCCAAACAGAGGGGTTTAGAGAATAATCAGGAGCCACTAATGTTTACTGGGTAGGGGATGAGAAGGTCAGAACCGTGCTTTAGGAAAAAAAACAAACACCTCTACAAAGGAGAATTATTGCTTTTACTATATATTTTTAAAATTAATGTAGCCACTATAATTTTATTAATGCAAAATAAAATCACATTAGTTTTTGAGTCAGTCAAAGCACAGTTCCTTATATTGAGCTTCTGGAGGATTTATGTAGTCAGGGAAACAGGGACTAAATCTGTGATTTCATTGGCATAGGAAAATTCCTACTACCAAGGAAGGTCACTACCTTCTCTGAAACTTATAGACTTAGAGGGTTACCTAGAACACAGAGGTTGATAATTTGCTCAGGGTCACAGAGCCAGTATGTGTTCCCTATGTATCCCTGATATCAGATACTTATCAGAGATATCTGATGCAACTGGTGGTGCAGTGGATAGAGCTCTGAGCCTGAAATAAGGGAAACCTGAGTTAAAATTCAGCTTCACACAGTTACTAGCTGTGTGACTCTGGGCCAGTCACTTAAACTCCATCTGCCTCAGTTTCCCAAACTGTAAAATGGGGATGATAATAACTACCTCACAGAGTTGTTATAAGGATCATATGAGATGATAATTGTAAAGCACTTAGCACAGTGCCTGGCATAGAGTAGGTGCTTAATAAATTTTTGTTACCTTCCTTTCACCTTACCTTTGATACAAAGATTTCTTTCCCAAATGACTACTTCCCTTCTTATCCAATTTTTTTTTTGTTCTTGTTCATACAACAGCTTTTCAACTTCACTTCATCAAAATTATCTCCTTTGCCTTCTGTTACCAACTCTATCATCCCTTGCTCGGTTAATTTTTTTCATCAAGCTATACCTATGAAAGGAAACTGATCTGTTACCCACCTTATGTTAAGATGTGACCTTTAATATTCAGGTTACGTATCCATTTTAAGCTTATTGTGTTATATGCGTTAAGCTGTTGGTCCAAAATGAATTGCTTTCAAATTGCTTTCCAGTTTTTTCAACAATTTTTGACAGATAGAGAGTTCTTCCACAGGCAATTTATATTCTTGGGTTTACTGAACACTGAGTTACTAAATTCAATCATTTCTGATCCTTCCTGATTTAGTTTGGGCATGAAGAGATTTCAAAAGAACTGCAAACTACTAGTACGACATGAAAGCATGCTCCAAATCACTAATAGAGAAGTTCACATTAAAATGACCCCAAGGCTTCCCTTCATGCCCTACAAATCAGCAAAGATTAAAAAAAATTAAATATCAATATTCAGAGGGTTACAGGAATTTAGATAAACCAATACAGTCTTGATAATGCTATGAATTGTTTTAACTGTTCCAGGTTTCGATTTCATAATTACGCAAGAAAAGCACTACACTATTTATATACATCCTGTGGCCCAGTGGTTCCCTAAGTGGGCATACACTTTGAGAAGGTGTAAGAGAAGAACAAGGATCTAGCATATGCCAAAATATTTCCAGCAGCCCTTTCTGTGGTCGTACAGGTCTGTACGGGTAGGGACTGTCTTTCTTTCTGCTTGTATTTGTATTCTTGGCACTGAACACCATGTCTGGGACTTGGTAAGCGCTTAATACATGCCTGCTGACTGACTTGACTTGACTCGGTTGTCCATCAACTAGGGAATGGCTGAACAACCTGTGATATATTGAGTGTAATGGAATATTACTGTGTAGAAATGACAAATAAGAAGAATTCAGAGAAACCCGGAGGAAATGTATAAAATGATACAGAGCAAAATAAGCAGAACCAAAATCTGAAGTATACACACAAGGACCATGACAAAGTAAATGAAGAGATAAACAAAAGGATGCCAAACTCTGAGTAAGTGAAATACCAATAATGACCTGGAAGAACACATTATAATAAGGAAGGCCATCAATGCTCTCCCTCCTAGCAGAGAGGTGGGGGACAGACAACTAATGGAGAAGATTGTATATAATGTCAGATACAGTCACCATATTGGATGCTTTTGGTAAGCTGTTTTCCTTTGTTAAAAGGTGAGGTTCAGTTTGGAGGGGAGGGCCAGGCCATATTTTTAGAAATGACTGTGACATAAAAATACAGACCATCCATAAAACTTTAAGAAATAAACTTGAGTATAAAACTTGTACAAGATTACTATGAGAACTAAAAGATACATGAAATATGAAAGATAAACTATGCTGTAATGAAAAGAACACAAAATCAGAATGTCAAGGTATGAGTTCGGGCTCTTCTCTCTATGCCTTTGAAGTCAGGAGAGACTTAGGTATACATCTTCCCCAACATTTATAAGCTGTGTGACAACTGACAAGTTATTTAACCTCAGAACTGTGCTTAGTGGGCAAGAAAAGGATGATGATCTGACTAAAGAAACAGACAAACAGGTAGAATGATAAGCAAAAGATAGTAGAGAATCATAATCACAGTGAAGGAAGGATTCAAGTCCAACTTTACTTGAACAAGAATCCTCCATTGTATAGGATATAACAGATAAGTGGCCATCCAGCCTAGACTCAGAGACCTTTAGGGAGGGGAAACCTACAACCTCTTGAGGAAACCCATTTCACTTTGGGATGGCTCTAACTGTTATGGCATTTTTTCTCTGCTATCAAGCCTAAATCCACCTTTCTTCACCTTGTTCCCACTGTTTCTACTTCTACCTGCAGAGAACAAGCCGAACAAGTTTAATCCCCTCCATAGGACAGTCCTTCAAATATTTGAAAGTAACTATTTCCACCCCCCCCCCCACCTCCCACCCGTCCCCACTCCCACTCCCCAGTTCTCTCCTCTCGGGGCTAAACCATTCCTAGTTCCTCCAATTAATCTTCATATGGCACAGTTTCTAGGCCCTTCACTGCCCTGCTGAATAAATTTCTGCTTGTCTATGTCTTTCCTAGAAAATGGTGCCCAGAACTGAACACAGTACTTAAGATGTGGTGTAACCAGTATAGAAAGAGTATAGCAGCTCTCTTGTTATGGACACTGTCTCTCTTAATGCCAACCAAGTTAGTATTAGCTTTCTTGGCTGCCATCTTACTCTCTTGATTCATAATAAATTTGCAGAGCACTAAAGCACCCAGATCTTTTTCACAGGAAAGACTGTCAAGGCCACGTGTCAACTAAGTTGGTTTTTTGAACCCAAGTATTAGAACTTTACATTTATTCCTATTATCATAGATGGCTTCAATTTAGATTTAGAACTGGAAGGGGCCTTAGTAGCCTAGTGAGAAATGGCATTTGAGTTGAGTCTTAAGTGACAGCGGTGTCAAACTCAAATAGAAATGGGTTCCCAGATGCTGCATTGTTGACTTAGAAAACACAAATTAATATTACCTGTACTGTATTGTATTTTTATTTATTTTGTTAAACAGTTCCCAATTACATTTTAATTTGGTTGGCTATATTGAGTTGTGCCTGCTGGCCAGAAATTTGGCACCTGTGGAATAAATAAAGCATAAAGGTTTAAATAAAGAAGGATGAGAACAAGGAAGGAAAAATAGTCCAGTTTGGCTGGAACAAAAATATGTAAGGACAGTAGAATGAGATAAGACCAGATAGGCATGTTAGAGGATCTTGAATGAATGCCAACATCAGGAGTTTAAATTCTCTTCATTAGGCAATGGAGAGTCACTTGAGGTTTTTAAATAGAAGAGAAATGTAATAATAGTGATACATTAAGAAGATTCCTTGGGCAGTAGTACAGAAGATGGATTGAAGAGGGAATTAACTGGAGACAAAGAAGGCTCTTACAAAGGTCTAGTCAAGAAGAGATGAAGGCTTAAAATAAGGTCACTGAAATAATAATAGCTAGCATTTATACAGTACTTTAAGGTTTGCAAAGCACTTTACAAATATCTCATTTGTTCCTTGAAAATGCCTTGGGAGGTAGGTGTTTGTGTCTCTTTTTTACAGACGAGGAAACAGAGGCAGACAGAGGTTTTTGTTTTGTTTTGTTTTTTTGGGGGGGAGGTTGGTTGTTGTTGTTGTTGTTTTTAAGTGACTTGCCCCGCATCACACAACTAGCAAGTATCTCAGGCAGGATTTGAACTCTGGTCTTCTTGACTCGAGGTCCAGCACTCTATGCCTGTACCACATAGCAGCCTCCTAAGTGGGAGTGAAGAGAAAGGGCCAGATTCTAGACAGATTGTGGAAGATAACTGAATGGACATGTAAGGCAAGGCATGGGGAAGAATTGAAGATAACTCCAAGGTTCAAGCCTAGGTGATATGGGGGATAGCGGTGCTATGAATATGGATAAGGACGTTATCCTTCTGTTATTCATTTGCAGCTACTGTCCAAGTACATATATTTACTGAGTAATTCAATAAGTTGCCTATCTGGGCCTAAGGTGTCAAACATGTGGCCTGTGAGTCTCCAACCCAGATTGAAATGTAATTGGGAAATATGTAACAAAAAATACAATAGAACATAGTTAATGTTAATGTGTAGTTTTGTAAGTCAATATGCAGTAGCAGGGATCCTCATGTCTAGTTTAATGGCCCTGGTTTCTATTTGACACTACTGGTCTGGGCAAGACATCGTTTCATCTGCTCTGTGCTTCTCCTGTGGATGGTTAGACCAGTTTCTTTTGCTATTATAAATCCTACTAAATTTGATCTTTTTATTTTGGCCTTTTGGTTCAACAAGTTGAATTATTCAAGATTTGTGCAATGTATTAGCCCTTTCTCAAGAGTTTTCTGTTCTATGCAAATTTGATAAGCAGGATTTCAGTGTCCTTCACCCAAGTTAAACAAGACAAAGCCCATTTATCCTGATAACTCACGAGATCCACCTTCATGGTCCTGCATAATGCCACTAACAACCTCCTTTCTGCTTAACAAATAAGTCCATTCATTACTGCTCTTTGGGAAAGAATTATGAATCTCCGTAATTTTTTTCATCAAGTTCACCTTTCTTTATTTTCCCCACAATGACATTATGAAAGACTCGGTCAAATGTGTTACTGAAATTAAGGTATTTGAAATCAAGGTCTACAATACCACCTTGCTATTTACATACAACATAAATAGTATACAGTTATACAATAGTAGATGCTTCATACACCTTGCTCACAGCCATATCCATCTCCAGAAATGCCTAGGGAGTAAATGGAAGGATGTGCAGCCAGAAGATGCAGCTCTTTAGAGACTGACCATGCTGGGATCTACATTAGAGAGTAGGAGAATTTCTGCCGCAGTATTCCACATTCTGAACCTTCTCAAATGCAGTGTTAAATGTCTTGAGTGACTTTCCTCATTCAATTTTCTAAAACTTTTCACTCAAATCATTTAAATACTCCTGTAATCCCTTCAAGGTTTGTGCCCACTTGAGACATTAAAAATAATGAGTCACTAACTTTGAAGATAATTTAAAAAAAGAATCCCAAAAATGTTTTTGAGTAAAAGTATTATTATTAGATTAAGTATATAACCTCTTTAAGAGACTATTTTGAGAGGAAAAACATTCGCTTGAATGCATAAAATTCATCCGTTGGTTAGAAAATCAATCACATTAGAGTTATACTTCATCTACTACCTAGTGCTACCTTAAAATATATCCATATCTATATCTATATCATCATGGGTAGCTATGTGGCATGGTGGATACAGGCCTAGAGTCAGGAAGACTCATCTTCCTGAGTTCAAATCTTACTAGATTTACACACTTACGAGATGTGTGACCCTGGGCAAATCACCTAACCTTGCTTGTCTCAGTCTCCTCATCTGTAAAATGAACTGGAGAAGGAAATGGCAAATCACTCCAGTATCTTTGCCAAGAAAATCCCAAATGGAGTCACGAAGAATGTCCAACAACTGATACAACTAAACAACAAAATGAAACCACACATCTATATATGATAGAAACCACCTTATTGTTCAGTTAGACATTAATGTTTTTATTCTGCTGTTGGTATTTTATGTATTTACAACATAATCTCTAACTGTTAATACCTGAAGAGCAGAGATTATATTCACCAAGGCATAGCACTTTGCATAGTGCTATGCATAAGTATCAACACTTTATATATGTTTTCTGATTTTTGATCAAGGCTGTGATTTGGGGTAAATCAACAAGCAGAATAAAATCATGCCACAACTTTTACACTATATATACCCATACTGCTGTTATATATTTAGTGAATAATCCCTCTGGCTGCCATGCAAGCTCTGCCCAAATATGGCAGCTAGCAAACGTCATCACAACTCCAACAGCTCTAAAGTAGCAGTTCCAAGACAACATTTATTTATAGAAGTTAAACTGCCAGGATTGACTTGTTAAGTAGTTTAAAACTCCAAACATAAAGGTGGTTACCTTCAGTTTTCTTTCCTTTTCTTGTACAATGGCACGAGTGATGGTGAGTGTGGAATAAGTAAAGCTCAGCATGAGCAGCAAGGGAAGCTGGTACTGGATGGCCACAAGAAAAGAGTCTGAAATGAACGGTGGGTATGGGAATCTCTTTGCAATGATGGTGACCTTCTCAAACAGTCTGGTCATGGCAGCGCTTGCATGGTATTGCATAATGGCTTTATCCACAGCATGCTGAACAGCCAGGAATCCTTCTCGGATGTATCCTAAATAAGAAAGGAAAGGACACCAACCCAGTAAGTAGAAAATAGGAGGTGCCAAGCAGCTGGCTCTCAGAGTGCTACCCACCACGTAAGTGGAGATATGAAGGACATTCCCACAGTTCTCATGTTGAGGGATGGAGGGAAATGATCATTTCTCTGGCCCTACTGTTGGCAACCTTTTCTGCCTTAGTGATCCTACAAAGCAAATGTACACACAAAATGCAGTACAGGAGCAAGCAGTACTATTTTCACCTCTACTTCTCCTTCATGTGAATAGTAATTGATGTGAACAGAACAGATATGACAGTACGCAGTCTAAAACTAGGATAGGCAAGATTATACCATAAAAAAATGAAGGCGATGGTTCAATTCAACTCAACAGGCATTGATTAAGAGCTTACCATGTACAGGGTGCTATCAGAGATACTAGGGATGCAATGACAAATGAAAAACATTCCCTGCCCCCAAGGAGTATACATACTGCTGTGGTGATATAACATTTGCTTCAGATAAGTAAATATATAATTTGAGGAGGGAAAGAGCTCTAACCCCTAGGGGATCCTAACAACTAGAAAAACTTTCCTGTACAAGGTGGCGCATAAGAGGGACCTTGACAGAAGCTGAGAATTCTAAGTGCCAGAGGTGAGGAAGGACTATAGTTCAAGCATGGTGGCTGGCCTATGCAAAAGTGTGCAGGGAAGAGATGGAATGCTAAGTCTGGGGAATGGCAAGTAGGCTGGAACGCTGAGTGAATAAAGGGGGACAATGTGAAATAAGTCTGAAAAGGTCGGCTGCAGCTGGCTACAAAGGGCTTTAAATGTCACAGTGAAGAGTTTATATTTTATTTTTGAATAAGGAGCCACTGAAGTTTCTTAAACAAGGTCAGATTCGCACTTCTGGCAAACATGTGAAAAGCAGACTGGAGAGTTAAGACCAATGAGGAGGCTAGTGCAATAACACAGCGAGAGTTGGAACAAGAGTCTGACCTAAGGTGGTGGCTGGATGAGGGACAGAAAGAACTGGATTGGGAGATGTTGGAGAAATAGACCTGAAAACATGGGGCAATCAATTGGATGGGGCAGGGGAGGAGGCAAAGGAAAATAAGCAAACAGAAAACCAAAATAAAGTCCCTAAAATTCAAGATGAAGCAGATGTCTAGAACATTTGTTATCTTGTAACATTGTGGCATTTTATATATACCTATATGTGTATGTGTCATCTTCCCTGATGAGACAGAATTTCCTTATTTAATTCCTAGTTTAATTTATCTTATACTTTTAGTGTATGTGGTATGTCCCCATTCTAGATTGTAAGCTCCACAAGGGCAAGAATTAGGTCTTATCTAAATTTTGCATTTCTCTCATACCTAGTACTACTTCCCCCACATTGGTTTCTTAATAAATGTTTACTGAACTGAACTGACTTGGGCAGCTGAAGAAACTCTGCTATTTAAAAACAAACAAACAAAAAAACCATGCATATCAAGTTCTCCTCACCAGGTTCTCCTCCATCAGGGAATGAGGGTTCCCTGGGTCCTGGATTCGGGAAGAGTGGAAAGAGAGAGGTAGTGTGCCATCCTTCAATCTCTTTTGGAAAAAAGAGATTTGTCCCAGCCCACATATCATTCTTCCGAAAGTAACTGAAGCGCAGGTGGTACTTAACCTACAAAGGGCAAATAAGAAACAAATTGTGTTCCATGGGAACAAACATTTTTCATCTGAAACCTGAGAATAAATACTTCTTTTTTAGGCAAAAAGATGTTTTGATGATATGATTATGGGACAGATGCCCAAATACAGTAAATGTTCAAGTGAGTAAAGACTGAGTCAGAGAATGCCAGCAATCTTGCCCTGAACCAAGTAACAAATCCCATCATAGTGACACAGACATTAATTAGGCTACCTAAGTCAGTCTTTCCATCAGTCAGTAGTCCAAATGGTCCCTTCCAGAAGCTGTGAATAACTGAGTCATCATGAATCATAACTTAAATGGAATAAATGGATGGTCTCACTGACTCCCAACTCCAGGATAGGGGTCTTATGAGTCTCATCATGCCAGCCACACAAAACTGTTCTCATTCTCTTCTAAAAAATACTGCATTTAAAATGCTGAGAAATCACACCTAACTTCATCTTGAAATGCTAGCTAGTTACTCTGCTCGCAAAGGAATGCTTGCCATCCTGTTCTAGAGCAGAGGCCTAGATAACCCCTTTAGCAAACTTACAGAGCTAGAAAGGGCACTGAGAGATGATGAGGCCTAGCCCCATAGCTTCAGACAAGAAGCACTGACAGCTGTTTATTCATAAAAACTTCATGAAAATCAAGAATGTTAGATAAAAAAGATCTTCAGAAGTAAGACAAAGATCTGAACTAAATGAAGGCAGAAAGATAGATGATGATTTGGAGCCTCTGTGGCTGAATTCTTTGTTAAAAATCACTGAGATAAGGGGCAGCTAGGTGGTGCAGTGGATAGAGTACCAGCCCTGGAGTTAGGAGGATCTGAGTTCAAATCCGGTCTCAGACCAGACACTTGACACTTACTAGCTGTGTGACCCTGGGCAAGTCACTTAACCCCAACTGCCTCAAAAAGGGGGGGAGGGAGCAGCTAGGTGGCTCAGTGGATAGAGCACCGGCCTTGGATTCAGAAGGACCTGCGTTCAAATTTGGCCTCAGACACACAACTCTTACTAGCTGTGTGACCCTGGGCAAGTCACTTAACCTCATTGCCTAGCCTCCCCCATTCCCCTGAAAAATCACTGAAACCAACTGCAATCATAAAAATAATTTAAATAAATAAATACTCCCTTACCTCAAGTGGCAGGGGTTCCTTGTAATGACTGAAGCTGTGCTCAAACACAATACCAGCCAACACATTGTAAGAGTGATTATTAAATTTAATGTAATCTTCAAAATCCTGTTCCAAGGGAAAGCCACGAACTGCAGAGAAAACAAAGTGAGTATTCTGCATAAGATAATAATATTCAATCACCCAAGGAGATGTGGGAGCATTGGCCTATTTCATCCATAGCTAAGGGAGGCTGGACTTGTAAAGCTCTCTATGTTCCCATAAAAAGGCCTCCCCTGGACACAAGTTCCCTTGTCTCTTCAAGGGAGGATGAAATATAATAGTAGATGGGAAAGCAATCCAACTTATTAGATTGTAAACTTTCACTTATTTATCTTGTTGTCTCCTACACAATCAAAAATAGGACCTTGTACATAGTAGGGTGACAAATATTTGTTGAATTCAACAGAATCAGGTCTTGAATGCATGACTTAGACACTGCTCATTGAACCAAGAGTTGTAAAGGACTTTGCAGGTCCTCTTGTCCAGTCCATACCTGAAGTATGAATCACCTCTACAACATCCTTGATAAGTGCTAACCCAGCTTGTGCTAGAAGATCTCCAGTGACAGGTAATACACTGCTTCTGAAGACAGTCCATTCTGCTTCTGGACAGTTTGAATTGTTAGGAACTTTCTTTCCATTTTGAACTGAAATTTGCCTCTCTATATAACTTCAACCCCAAGACTGAGGTTCTGCCCTCTGAGGCTGAGCAAAACAAGGCTATCCTTGGATTGGAATGGAATCTCTTTCAGCTCACATTCTAACAGAGGAGATCACTGTCGGATCAAGGATTTCCTTCAATCACGAAGCAAAATCAAGATATCAGGCCCTGTGCACTACAGCTACAATTTCCCTTTGTGCATAGTATTAATGATAGAATCACAGAATTGGAACAGATATTAGGGGCCATCTAATTTGCCCCTTACCCCAATTATGAATCCTATTTACAATATCCCCAATAAGCAGTTACCTAACCTCTGCTTGAGGGTCTCTAGTATTGGCTCTTACACTGTATTCTATTAGTGAAGAATACAGTTACTAAATATCATCAGTGGTCACTCTTTAAGCACATCAGTCCTCTTCTCCTCCCTTATGCATTCCCCTCCTTAACAAAACCCAGTGTAAACAGATTATATTACTGGAATTATTTCACAAACAGAGCTAGGGCATTTCCTGTTTTTTGAAATACCAGGGGAAAGTACATACCAAACTTTTTCAAATGAGTAAGACTGTCCTGAAAGCAAGGACTTGAAAGCATTGGTGAGGGTCAAGACCATTCAAAGGTTCCTAATGCACTCAATTCTAGAGCAATGCCCCAGAAGGCCCATTCCAGAAAAGTCCTTTGAACAAACTACAAATAGAACCTTGGTTTTGCCAAGAAAAACGTTCTCTGTATTTGCCCCCTTATTGTTTTATTATTCTTTCTACTATTAAAAACCTTAGTCAACAAATATTTATTGATTACCCTCTATGTCAAAGAATAATTGCTTGATTTTCTGTAGAGCTTTATAGTCTTCAGAAGACTTTCATAAACATTATCTCATTTGTTTCTTTTGAGACTGAAAGATAAGCTATGAACTAATCCTTCCATTTAGCAGATGAGGAAATTGAGTCAATTGACTTGCCCAAGGTCATACAACAAGTTAGGGGTACAGCTACTATACTATGATTTTTTTTAATCCTAATTTTCCAAAAACACATCAATCTACAGAGATCTTCATTGCTAAAAGGAACAAGTATAAAGAGCTAAACCCAAAGGAGCTCTCTGATAAAACCATTTGGTAATAAATTTACAGAAAACTCCTATCTCCCCACACCATCTAACCTTTCATGTCGATGACTAAAGTCTTTTTCACCATCTCGGCGACAGTCTTCACAGCTTCGTTGTTAGAAGGAACATAAACCAGCTCCCACGTATCTTCTGGGGGAGGAAAGTTGAAAAACAAGGGCAGGTCACTGATGGACTGGCCAGGATATATGGTAGCATTGGGAATGTTTTCTGAGTGAATGTTCTGGCGAAGCCAAATTAGGATCCCAGAAAATAGCAATGGCAGGAGAATTTCCAAGACTGTTACTACAATCTTCCGCTTCTAAAAGAGAAATGGAATTCTGCATTAATCCAAAGTAGAACATATATACAGAGCACCCCCTTGAGAATAACTTCCTCTTCTTGTCCTGTGGATTCCAGGGGTTCCCTGCCTGAAGAAGTACAGTCAAAACTGAATGAAAGGGAATTGGAATTATTTTTCCCTTTTGTGCTATGTCCTGCACCCCATTTCTTCCCACATGTACACTTGTATCTACCTTTAAGGTGTAATTCTTCCAGAGAAGAAGTGTAAACTGCCTGAACACAGCCATTCTTCTGTCCAAATGGGAAGCTCAACTCTAGACACGGACAGGAAGAAAGAGAAACAGGGTTTGTAATAAACATTTTAGTTGCAGATCTTTTGAGGGATATAATGAAAGGGAAGGTAAAAACAACAGGAAAGAGAAAGTCAGTTTAACATAAATTCTCCCTTTCCCCTACATGACTTCTCCTTTGCTCAGATCTTTAACTTTCTCTATGTTAATGAAAAAAAAGGCATAGACACAGAGGAAAACACCTAAGACCACAGGCTTCCTTGTGTGGCCCAAAGGAGCCCTCGGAATGTAATGTTCCCTTCTGTGTTATCAGTACACAAGGTCTGTCAGGGTGAGAGATTATCTTTTTTAAAGGAATATGTACCTGTATGAAAAGAGAGTCATTGTCCCAGAAATTTCTGGGTTTTTTTTGTTTGTTTGTTTTGGTGTTTTTTTTGGTAATGAGAGAGCGTAGTTCATGTCTTATTTCACTGATGCGAGAAACCCCTAGTGTGGAAACTCTCTTCACACATGCAGATTTTCTATATACAGCCTCTGTCTATCTGTCTATCTGCAGCTTACAATTGAAAGGTTGAATGACTTGCCCCCAGTCACAGAGCTAGTATGTGTTGCAGGCAGGACCTGAAGCCAGGTTTTCTTGACCCCAATGATACCCCTCTATCTACTTTGGCATTTGGTCCAATGGCATACTTGATATATGGGATTGCTCAACATTATATTAATTAGAGAACAAATTTGAAACAATAAACAAGCATTTATTAAGGACCTACTACATGTAGATTGGACAACTAGGTGGCACAATGGATACTGCCTGACCTGGAGTTAGAAAGACCTGAGTTAAAATCTAGCCTCAGACACTTTCTAGCTATGTGACCCTGGGTAAGTCGGTTAGATCTGAGTTAAAATCTGGTCTCAGACACTAACTGTGTGACCCTGGGCAAGTCACTTAACCCTGTTTGCCTTGGTTTCCTCATCTAAATAAATTGAGCTAGAGAAAGAAATGGCAAACTATTCTAATATCTTTGACAAAAAATCCCAAATGGGGACATGAAGAGTTGGACATGAATGAAAATGACTGAACAACAACAAAATAATATGTAGGGTATGTGAATACAAACACAAAAGTGAGACACAGTTCTCATCCTCAAGGTGTTTTATTTGTATTCTACTAGACAAATAGGCAAGCAAAATATTTATGTTTATGAAATTTATCAGGGTCTTCTTTTTTTTGGCTCTATCACCAGACTGGCCTAACATAGGAACAGTGAAATAAGTTGATGATGTGACTCCTTAAAATCTGGTTTGTGTGTAAGGAGTTGGGACATAGGTGTAGGGGAGGACTGCAGGGTCAAGACTGCCTACCAAATTAAAAAGATTTTCCTTGTGTTTTAAAAAGATGAATGATGATGGATGGTCATATGCTTCAAGTCTTGATATTTCTACTTTCACATTTATTTTTTTTTAAATAAATGAGAGCTATCATTTATTTATTTGTTTTGAGGCAATCAGGGTTAAATGACTTGCCCAGAGTCACACAAAGAGTAACTGTCTGAGGCTGGATTTGAATTCAGGTTCTCCTGACTCCAGGGCTGGTAATCTACCCACTGTGCCACCTAGCTACCTCCCATATCTACTTTAAAAGCAAGTATTTGTTATTAATCTTGTATTTAGATACAAGATACATTTCTCTACTCACACAGCTACTACCTTAGTTCAGAGGCTCATTACCTTTCACCTAGACTTTTGAAATGACTCTTAATTGGTCTTCCTTCCTTAAAGCCTCTCCTCACTCTAAACTATCTCCACACAACGGCCAAAGTGATTTTTCTTAAGCACAAATCTGACCATATCACTCTGCTAATTTAATAAACTTCAGTGAAGCCCTATTGCCTCTACAAGAAAATGTAAAATTCATGTTGGGTTTTTAAAGACCTTCACAATTTAGCCTCATCCAGTCTTTCCAGCCTCATTATTTATACCCCTTCCCACACACTACAGTCTAATCAAACTGGCCTTCTCTGCTCCTCACATATGACTATCTCCCATATCCTGATCTGTGCACCAGGCATTTCCCCAAGCATAGGATGTATCTCTTCATCTTGAACTCACAGAATCTCTCTCATCATGAAGCAGTTTAAGTATCACTTTCTCCATGAAACCTTTCCTGATTCCCCAAAATAATGGCGTCCTCCCTCCCAACTACTTTGTATTTCTTTTTTTTTTTTTTTTTTGTTGAGATAGTCGGGGTTAAGTGACTTGCCCAGGGTCACACAGCTAGTAAGTGTCTGAGGCCACATCTGAATTCAGGTCCTCCTGACTCCAGGGCCAGTGCTCTGTCTACTGCACCCCTACCTGCCCCACTTTATATTTGTTTTGCATTTATTCCACATATACTTACATTTATACATGCTGCCTCTCTTATAGAATGTAGGCTACTTGACAGTAAGTATTGTTTTATTTTCTGTGTCTGTGGCTCCAACACCTAGCATGGCACATAGTAAGTGCTTAATAAACACTCATCGACCAATTGTAAAATATCTGGAAAAGACACTGGATTTATAGCAAGAAGTCCTGAGTTCAAATTCTGCCTCCATCACACACTATCAACTCAACCTTGAGCAAGTTGCTTCACCAACTTGGGCCTTGGATTCTTCATCTATAAAATTAGAGAGGGTTGGACTAGATAAACTTTAAGGGCCCTTGTGTGGCAAACAACCAATCATCATCAGAAGCAAGGATTGGCCATTATAGTCCATAGGGTTTTGGTTTTTTGTTTTTTTTTTTTGGTGAGGCAATGGGGTTAAGTGACTTGCCCAGGGTCATACAGCTACTTTAGTGTCAACTGTCTGAGGATGGATTTGAACTCTGGTCCTCCTGACTCCAGGGTGGGTGCTCTAACCACTGCACCACTTAGCTGCCCCAAAGTCCGTAGGTTTTTAATTAGTCAAAGAAACTATAACCCAAACCTAAATAAGACCTGGCATGTATAACTGGGTAGAATTAATCTTTTTTCCTTGCGCATTCAGAAAAAAAGGACCCTAAAGCAATTTCAAAATTAAAAATTGAACACACTAATCTGTTTTCATTGAGCCTGAAGTCATCAGTTAAAACATATTGTGTTAGGTGGAAGTACCGGCTGGAAAAGTATGATATTATAGCAGCACAGTTCAATGACTTATTGAAAATACCCAGAAAAAGGAAGGGAGGGAGCTAAGTTCCATGTGCTTAGGTTATGGATTCAGATGATGACTAGACTTTTGAAAAATTCTTATGTGTGGAAGGGCCAAAGCCTAAGGGTTGCCCTGTTCATTTCCCAACAAGATTTCAGAACTCTCAAATTTCTTAGTATGAAGAGAAGTATACGATAGCTTAAAGTTCCAATTAAGAAGCCAATATAAATGAAGTTATACGATCATAGCAGTTGCAAATTAAAGTCAATTTAATTCTTTTGATTAGGCATATAGGGACTAAGTACAACACCCTGAAAAGTTTATAACAGAATTCAATTCAATTTAACAAATATTTATGAACATTTGAGGCACTGTGCTAGGTACTGAAATCACAAAGATGAAATTTGAGTCATGTCATTAGATAGCTAGTTATTACTAAGGCATATAACTTACCAGGACGTATACAATTGGTAAATTCTCCTGCAACACACTTCAGAATATTTCAAAATGCCCTTTTTTTCTCAAAACAAAAAAAGGACAACATAACTGCTAACTTTCTGTGGAAAAATAAATGATATTCCAATAATCAATAAACAAAATATTAATGTTGTCCATATAGAAGTCATGCTGATTCTTTTCTCTAGTGTGTTCCTTAAGTTCATGCTTCTTAAAATGTTTTTACTCAAAGACCACTTTTAATATCAGTATGAAACACAGCCATAATAAATTATGTACATAATAACTTAAAATGTGGGTTACAATGAATCACATTATGAAAAAGTATAAGTTTAAAGGAAATTATAATAATGTGTGCAAAAGGGTTAATATGTAGCTTCTAAATTCTTATTCTTATTTTTAAATTAAATACCTGGTGCAAAAAATTAAAGAAAGATTTATTTATTACCATTAGTATCATAATTAAGACTAGAAGGAGGGGATGGGGACTGGGCTTGTGATTTCATTAGTAGAGAGAACTCCCAGGTGAGGGAGCTTCCTCTGTCTGTAAAGGTTGGCTCTTCCTCTGCAATTTATAGTTTTAGAAGTTACCTAGAGCAGGGAGAAATCAAGAGTTTCCCCAGGTCCACCCAATCGATACAAGTCAGATGTGGGACTCAAACTGAGGTCATCCTGGCACTTAGGCAGCTCCCTATCTATTATGCCAGGTTAGTGATTATATAACAGATTTCTCAACTCTAAAGAACTATACAGTACAGGAGATAGCAAAATGAGTGGTTTTTAATATAGATAAGGAAAATAGCTAGAACCAAATGACTAAGTATGGTGTGCGTGATTAGGGGCAAGAGATTTCATGGTGGAAACCAGGTGCCTTGAGGTGGGCTTCCCGGCTCTGATGAATTTGAACTGTCAACTCCACATGTGGGGATCAGTTTTAAAGGCAGTGAGTTAAATAAAACACCTAGGAGGCAGCTAAGAGGTGCAGTGGATAGAGCACTGGACCTGGAGTCAGGAAGTCCCACGTTCACATCAAACTTCAGACACTTACTAGCTGTGTGACTCTGAGAAAGTCATTTAACCTCTTTTTCCCTCAGCTTCCTCATCTGTAAAGTGGGAATAGTAAAAGCACCTATTGCTTAGGATTGTTGTGAGGTTCACATGAGATACTTGTGAAGTACTTAGCACACAGTAGGCAGTATATAAATGTGGTAGAACTGCTACTTATTCCCTTCTCCTTACTCATCCTTATCCCAAATTAATTATTTCTTTTTAAGGGAATGGGGACAAACTGATTGAGGATCAAAGAAAACGCTCCTCTAATGGTTGAGGAGTAAGATAAGAACCTCAGTAGTCATTTATTCCAACCACCCCTACCCCCAAACACACACACACACACACACACACACACACCACTCAAAAGATGAGAAAGCTGAGGCCAATGATAGTTCATTGATTTGTCCAAGGTTATTCAGTTAGTAAGCAGCAAAGCTAACTTTTGAACTCAAAAGTCAGCTCAGATTCCAAAGCTACTGTTCCTGCACCTACATTGCACAAAGTCCCTCTCCAGAATACAGCAGTAGGTTTCTCTGTAGGTAAGAGAGATACTCCTATGTGTGGTTATTGCTATCTGTGGAGATATTTATACACACACACACACACACACACACACACACACATATACATACATATATATACATATCTATCTATCGGCTCAGGAAAGAAAAAGAGACAAAGACAGACATCCTTACTCCTTAAGTGGGATAGAGAAGTTATCTAGGCCACTGACCTGGGGTCCTAGAGAGAAGCTCATTGTAGTCCTTCTTCCTCCAGGGAACAGGAAAAAAATGGAAGGGACATAGTTACCTTGGGGTGGGGTTAACAATCCTCTTGAGCCTGCCTAGGAGCTCCTTAACAGGGCAGCCCTGAAATTTGGCAACACTGACTATTCTGAGAGGTATCATGAAAAACATTTGATGATTTGACATCATTTCCAGGCACCTTCAGAAATAAAGACACCTAAATATGGTATGGAAAATGTTAACAAAATAATATATCACAAATAGCTCGCCCACAAGTCGGAACAGGGGCAAAAGTATAAATGCACTTTTACTTTAAGCAAAACAGATCTGACATATACAAATCTGTACTTACAAAGAGATCAGTTAGGTATCATGGCAAAACCTTAAAACATTATATAAATGTGAGACATTAGGCAGTGATTCTTTACTTTTCCTCAATGAATTTAAAATATAACTCAATTAGAACTTACCACCAAAATGATTTATACACTATTTGGAAAACTTTCTACTGCTTAAAATAAATAATACTTATATTTCATTTAGACATTTATTTCATTTTACATAAAAACACAAAAAGTGAATGTTACAATAAGCCTCCTCATTTGTATTTTGTTAGATGCAAAACAAACAGAGCGTCCACTCTGTTGGGACTCCCTTGGGAAGGGTTTTAATAATAGATATAGGTCTTAAAGCACTTTGCTCAATGAAGTTTAAAACTTTCTGCAATATGATATGCTTAGTTGGACAGTATTTAAGCTTAATATAGTGAAAAAAAATTGTATTTCTTTTTCTGGGAATCCAGATACTCTTTTTTATAAAAAGCTAATCCTCCCTAATTAATCTATAGTAATAAGTATCTTTGTTTAGTGAAAAATACACTGGATTTAGAGTCAGGGCACCTGGGTTCAAATCCTTGACCTGCTGACAAATTACCTGTTTGACTTTGGGTAACTCTATTCCCTTCCCCACATCCCCCTTTCCCTTTTCTGTAATATGAGGAGGTTGTGTTAGATATTGTCTGAATTTCCAGCCACTCCTACATCCCATTGAACTCTAAGGATTTGCCACATTTGTCAAAAGCTTCAAGCCTTCAGCCATGAAGAAACCAGTTATCATCAAGTACTTAGAAAGCCACTCACAGATAGAGCCTTAAAGAATTCCAACAAATTCTAGGGAGTTAATTCCTGTATTTGAAAACCCTGGTTGATGGAATATTGCACAAGTTTTTGGAATAGCAATAAGAGTTGTAAGGAAAGGTACAAAATTAAGTCCACAAAATAAGAAAACCAATCATCTGTGGCACGGACTATCTTATTTTACAGATTAAAGACCAGTGAGCCACCACTCTTGGCTCACAGAGATTATTACTAAGTAACTGGGGTAAAATATGAGATCAAATTACTATCCTTTATTTAGGGTCCAAAGACAGTAGCATATGTGATTTTTTTTTTAATTAAAAACGATTCACCACTTCTTTTCTGCAGCATGTCCACATTTCAATCTTGGACCACCCAAAATGATTTTTCACTGTCTCAAATAAAATCATTACATTTCAAACACAATTGTGTGTTATAAATTTAAGTTTTCAAAATGAGACAAACAAACCTGAAGGATACTACAAAGCTTAAGAGCAGCTTGGGTGTTTAATCAGTATGTCAGCAACTAGGATGTACTCTGCTAAACTGGATGCCAACAAAGCCTTCTTTGTTCACCTTGTGTGGAACTGTTGGGAGGCCTGACTTGTTCCCAGATGAGGGGCTTAAGGCAGGAAGTTAAAAAGAGACTGCCTCTCTCAATATCAGTTACTAAATTCAATGAGTGGGAGAAATTAAAAGGGATTTCTGACTGTCAGACATGAAAGATAAGAATTCTAGCGGAAGGAGCATAATTTCCTGCCTTAATTAGGGAACTCCTCCTGTTTTACTGGTCACTGCTACCAAGGATGGACTTTAATAACCTCTCCTGAGATTACAGGATGTGGCTTCCTGTGCCTTGCACGGATCTTAATAATGACTAATGAAGGCAAAGAGAAGCCAAGAAAACACAGCTTGTATTTCTCTCTTAAACCTTGCTCTTGGAATACAAGATAAAAAAAAGATAGTTAGACGTAGTTCTAGGCCTTGGAGCTGTGTTAACACTAGATAATACTGGATAGTGGAATAAACTAGATAAACTGGAACAGTGAATAAAAAACCTGCCTCTGAGTCAGGGAAGTCTAGAATCAATCAATCAATCAATCAATCAATCAATCCTTAAGCATTTATTTAGGTCCACTCCATTTCAGGCACTGTGCTAGATGCTGGGACACAAACACAAAGACTAAAACAATCCCTACTTGAAAGGAGTTTACACTCTAGTGGAAGAGGCAACAAGTACTTATGGAATACATACAGAACTTACAGAGAATTCATACAACAAACAGAGGGAGGTTCATTCAATACCAAGTAGACTGGGAGGGAGGGACTAGCACTTGGGGGAATCACGAAAGGCTGAGTGATGTAGAAGATGGTCCTCAAACTGTTTCTGGAAGGAAAAAGAGGATTCCATGTTAAGAAGCTGTGAGGACAAGAATGGGGGAATATGATCATCCTGGTGTGACTACAGGTAAACCTGCATATTCATATACACTAAAATGTAAGTCATATACAGTAATCAAGTTTCATATAACCCCAATTTAAAAGGAAATTATGGCCTATATTTGAAAATAGAGACTCACAAAAATTTTGTATTAAAAAATTGGAATTGAAATGAAGTTAATAACAAATGAAATTTAAAAAGAACTTTCAAACAACTCCAATTTTAATAGATAATTACAATTTAGTAATTTAAGATGTTAGTAATTTTGAGTTAGTAATTTAAGATAAATCTTGACATAGCTTTCATACTTGTTAAAAAAAAAACCCAATACTGAACTGTTGACATTTGTACGTTCTTGCACGGCATGTGTTACCCCCATATGTGGTCACTAATTCTCCTGCTAGATGCACTAAGCCATGTTTGTTATCATAAAATAGCAACTACTTCCTCTCAGAAGTATAGGAGATTCAACACTAAAGTCATCTGAGAGTAAGCTATTTTCTGCATAGACCTGGTGTTAGAGGCACCCATGGTATGAAGAGCCTAGTTTAATTCTAGAGGTTATCACACCTTCCTTAGCTCTAGCCTTCACCTCAGCTGGGCAGCCTCATTTACTGGCATCAAATATAGTTCTACATATGCAAGCATACTGACAACAATATATTGAGAGGCGGAGTGATATAGAGGAGAGAGCTTTAGAGTCAGGATACCTGGGATCAGATAGGCTCAAGACTAGCTGTGTGACTCTGGGCAACTTATCTAACTTCTCTGTATCAGTTTCTTCATTAGTAAATTGTGGATAATAATCCTTGTACTACCAAGGTTACAGGGCTATTGTGAAAAAAGTTATATAAACTTTAATGCTCTAAATGAGACTGTTTGCAGCACCAGGTCCTCCCTCTCCCCTCACCACCACACAGGTCCCTGAAAGTTATCCCAGGTTCAAGGCACATTGTGGATCAAATGTCCACTCAAAACCATATAGCTGATGAGCCCCAACCAATGTGTTTCTTTTATCAGAGAACCAGAGGACACATTAGCTCAAAGCAAAAGTCATTACTCAGCTCCTAACTCTCTGTCCACCATTCCCCTCCAGCTTTCTGACCCTGAAAGCTCCCTCTGACCCTATGGTCCTCTCCTCTGCTGAATTCCTCCTGGAATCTCAAGATTTCAGAATTCTCAAGTATGGTAGACAGAGAATGGAGAAGGAAATGGAGAAGGAAATGACAAACCACTCCAGTATCTTTGCCAAGAAAAACCCAAAGGGGTTCATGAAGAGTAGGACACAACTGAAAATGACTGAGCACACACAAACCCAGGCCAGTCATGCTTACTCCTACACTCTTTTCCCAGCACTTCTCCTCTCCCAACCATATCCTCACATGGGCACTTACTCTTCCCCTTCTAGCTCCCTCTGCCCACCAATGGTCATCCCCTATCTTCTTTTCTACATCTTCCTTCATTAAGATGCAAGATCCCTGAGAGCAGGGACTTTCTTTTTTGCTTGTATTTATATTCTTACCACTTAGAATAGTGTCTGACATATAGTAAGTGCTTGTTGACTTAAGATAGCACATCCAATAAGTGAAAAGAAAAAGTCTTATCCCACCCCAGCTAAAGACAAGAGTATGTTCTCCCACATAAGCCAAGCAAGGGGCAGATGCAACAAACATATATGGTCCTTAGTCTGTTTTGCTGAGGAATAATACCCTTAATTTACCTTTCCTCTTATTCTCCTCCTTTCCCTCCCATTTTCCTGTTTAGTTAAATGTATTTCCGTACCCTGCTGTGTGTATATTCTTCCCTCTGACCAGTTCAGATGAGAGTGAGGTTCAAGTGAGGGGCTCCCCTCATTCTAACTTTATTTTTCTAGATGACTACTTGCACATCTGATTATGTAAAATAATTTTTTTATCCTTTCTCTCTTTTCTTCCGCTAATGTATTCTTCTTCCTCTCCCTTACCATTCTTTTTTTAAGATCATCAAAACATAACAGGTACAATGTTTTATAGATTCTTACTATGAACTTCGATGATTCAATTCTGAGGAAAATATGAATTATGTCCTCATATTAAAATATAAACAGTATGTCCTCATTAAAGTCTCTTAGGATTACTCATATTTACCTTTTTTGTGTTTCTCTTAATTCCTGTGTTTGAACTTCAGAGATTCTATGCATTTCTGGTCTTTTCATCAGGAATATTTAGAAATCTTCATCAAAGATCCGTTTTTCCCTTGCAGGATTATATTATATTTGCGTTTGCTCAGTAAATTATTTTTGGCTCTAAGCTGCTATCTTTTGCCTTTTAGAATATAGTATTCCAAATTCTCCACTCCTTTATATTGGTGGCTGCTAAATTGTGTGTGATGCTGACTATGACTCTTTAGTACTTGAATTCTTTCTTTCTGGCAGCTTGCAGTAGTTTTTCTTTGATCTGGCAACTTTGGATTTTGGATAAAAATGCTCCCAGGAAGTTTCGTTTTAGGGTTTCTTTCAGGAAGTGACCAGAAGATTCTATTTCTACTTATTCCTCTAGTAAGAAATCTAGGTAGTTTTAAAAAATGATTTCTCGAAATGTGGTATCTTTTTTGCCCTTTTTTTCATCATGGAGTTCAGGTAGTCCAACGATTCTTAAATTCTCTTTCCTTGATCTATTTTCTAGGTCTATTTTTTTTTTTGGTGCTTTGACTTTGTTTTAATATTTCTTGTCCTCTCATCAAATCATTGACTTCTATTTAGTCTGTTCTAATTTTCAGGAACTTTGTTGCTTGAGTAAAGTTTTGTGCCTCTTGTGCAAAGCTGTTAATTCCCTTTCCAATTCTTCCATAGTTCTAATCTCTTTTGTAGTTTTCTCCCTCTTGCACTCTCTTTCACATTGTATAAGCATATTTTAAACTCTGTTTAAAAACCTTTTGCTTCATCTCTTCCAGGAATTCTAGCTGAAGTTGTGCCAAAGCTGTATTTTTCTTTGAGGTTTGTAGATGTTATGGAGTTACTCTCTTCTGTGTCTGTGTCTTGAGCATCCTTATCATTATAATAGCTTTTTATGGTGAAGTTCTTTTTTGTTTGTTTGCTCATTCTTCCAGTCTACTACCTAACTTTAGTTGGACTTTGTGTTAGGGTCAGGCTCTGTGTACTTCTAGAGGGAATGCCTGGGCTGGTATTGTTGCTATCTTCTTGGTGGTATTGAGTGCTATGTTATTGAGTGTTGAGTGCTGGGTTCTCAGGGATAGCTGAGGCTGAGATTTCAGTGTTCCCAAAGTGGTCTGATCCAGAGAAGTCTGATTAATTCTCCCCTAGTCTGAGCTATACAAGGTTTTGACCTGGGTCTGAGTTTCAGCAACACTCCTACAGGCTTGCTCCATCTGGGGTTCCAGTAGACTACCAGACTCAGCCATTATCACATACTAGAAAGCTCTGCTTGTTTAGATAACTGAATTGTAAGCTTCCCTTTCGTCTGAGATTCCTGCCCTGATTGTTCCTCTGAAGGTTTCAGACTGGGCTAAAAGCTGGAACTGGGGTCTAAGTCATATAACCGCTGCTTGCTCCTGAACTTGCTTTTAGCTCAGTACATAGCCTAGGGTCAGTAAACTACCCCTCACCCTGGAATGCCATCAGAGCTGCCAGTTTGCACCAATTCCTGCACCTTGCACAAGTTTAGAATCCTCTATGCTGGATCCAGGACCTCTTCTTTCCCTAGTGCAGAACTTCATCTTGTGCTCTGAGGCTCTGTATGGTCATTCTTGCAAGACATCTCCAGTGTCTGCAGACCTCTCTGTCTCCCCATGTTGACCTGGGCTTTAAAAATGACCCTTTGTGATTTTCTTCCCTGCATTTCCCAATCATGATTTGACACATTTTCTAGATTGTTTAGAGGAGGGATGTGTGTGTGTGTATGTGTGTGGGTTCAGCTGTCCTTCTTTCTGCTACTCTACCATCCTGGCTCCACCGTGGAAGTTAAGGAACATGCATGGTTGGAGAACATGTCCAGAGGTGTACATGAGTAGTTGGGAACTAGACCTAGCCCCTAAGGCAGAATCAATGCTAGAACACTTTTCTTCCACTGATGCTGCTGCGTGGTCCCCCAAAGATTTGCTGATATCCTTTTATGATTTCATTGGCTGTAAGCTGATCACTCCAAAGGTATCCACTGCTAAACTGTTCTCTGCTGGTCTTCTGCTATTATGCTGACTCTTCCCTTATAGTGGGAGGTCTGTTCAGCAATTTGAGTTCAAAGTTAATTCAACTTTGTTGTCATGTAGACCCCTGTCCTAGTCAGTACAAAGGTCCTTACATACTTAAGTGTCTTTTTGATGGCATTTTCCTCTGCTACTGCTATTCTCAGTCTAAACTCTTACCACAGCTATGGTCTAAACATTCTTTTAACTCCTATAAAACTCCTGATCCCTTCAAATCATTAGAAGGGCACTACTTGGCAAAAATACAAAGGAACTACATTAAGGAAAGTCTTTCTAATCTCCATTATATTCTTGGTGAAGCCCCCCTCCCCGATCCAAATTACTGTATTTACTTCCCATATATTATTATCATATGAAAAGGAAGATTTATATTAATAAAGATAATAAGAGAAAGAAAAATCCAAAAAATTTAATACAGTATTAATTAGAGTCTGGCTAATTTCCACAAAATCCTGGAATTAATATTTGTCAGTAATCCTGCCGTGAAGTACAGTATGGCATAGTAGATGGCTGATCACAGAGTCAAGAAGGCTTGGATTCAAGTCCCTCCTCTGAAATACCCACTGGCTGCATGACCGTGGGCAAATCACTGAACCTTTCAGCATCTATATTCTTCAGAACTCTAGTCTGCTGCAACGAGGAAGTTTCCTCCACCCAGAGTCCCTTGTACCAACTAAATCACACCCTTATCTATGCCGTAGCAAGCTGCTGATAACCTCAAAAACAATGTCAGTTGCCCTCCTTTG